TTTCGTTTTGCTGTTCTGGTTTTTAAGTGCATGACGAGTTGTGCTCCGGAGTATTTGACATCAAAGCTCGTTGGAAGATCCGCCGTCTCGACAAGGAATACGAGAAATTCTCAACTTTTGAACATACCACTCTTCCGCACTGCCAGCGGCCAAAGGACCTTTCAATATAGAGCAACCTCTCTCTGGAATGAGTTGCAGCCTGCGCTCAAACTTAGCCCATCCGTGACGGAATTCAAGTGTTTACTCAGGCAAAAGCTTCTTAATGACTGCTTTATTTAATTAATTTAATTAATTTTATTGACCTTTGTCTTCTTTTATCATTGTTATATTCTTATTGTCATGTACTTGGTTTATAATTTTGTAATGTAAAATTGACTCTGAAAAGCCCCGTGGGGACGAGCCAATAAAGTATGTATGTATGTATGTATGTATATGTACTCTGCACCTAAAACAAGAAAATATCTGAATTGAGTGTGACATCCTGCGACTAGTCTGAATATCTGGAAGGGCAACGAATAGCTTGGCTACTATGAGTTACAGTTTGAGATTTAGGCAAACTGGGTGATGAAGTGACCAAGGGTGGTTATGATGCTGTAGGTGGCAGAGTGACAAGGCTGGATGAAGTGAGAGACACAGCTGAATAATTGTTATCAGCTGTAAGTGGTGAAGGTGTTACAGGGGTTAGTGATGGAGTAGAGAGGGAACTTGCTGAGGGCCTTGTTGGTACAGGTACCAGTGATTGAGTAGATGAGGAAATAGCTGAAGTCCTTTGTGAGACCTGGGAAGGTAGTGGCATGGCTGTTAGAGAGTTGGATGATAGTTTGTCAGGAAGAGTTGGTGCAGCCCAGTTGTGAGATGGAGAGTCATCTGTGTGCTGAGGAGGAGCAAGCTGAACTTGGATGTAGTTTCGAAGGATTAGACTGATACCGCTGTCAATGAGGTAAAAGCGAGGGCTAGCAGAACCAATCACTTTGCCTTGGATGCAGGCCTTGCTTGATGAGCTGGGTGGTGGCTTTGCATAAACATGGCTTCCAGCAAAAAGATCCGGAAGAGGTGCACTTGCATGTTTGTCATATGCACTCTTCAATTTACGCTGGATATGATCCGTTACTACTGTGTCACACAGGGGGATGAAGGGTCTGCAGTTGCCGACTGAGGAAGATCAGTGTGTGACCAAACAAGCGCTGAGTGGGAGAGAAAGTGTGTCCAGCAGGTGCAGTGTTTCAGATGGACAAAAGGACTAAGTCTACATAATCACCTGTGAGTAAGATGTGTCTGGCTGACTTAACAGCAGCTTCTACTCAACCATTTGACTGCGACCAGTATGGGGAAGATGTGATGTGGTTGAATTGGTACGTCTTGGCAAATGTCTTAAATAGGTCAGAGGTAAATTGAGCACCATTGTCTGTTACAAGGGTGTGTGGAATGCCATGCCGGTTGAAGTGCTGCTTGGTGGCCTGGATGACCCGCTGATGACTGCATGGTTGGGAGTCGATCAATCTTGAGGCCGTTGATGCCCATGTTGAGCACAAGTCATACAGGATTGGCACATGTCTGTTATTTGACTGCTAAGGCCAGGCCAGAACACACAATTGCGAGTATGGTGGAGAGTAAACGCAGAACCCCAATGGGCGGCATGGAGTTTGTGCAACAGGTTTGCTCAAAGCGAGGATGGGATGATGACACGATTCTGCTTGAAGAATAAACCATCATGGACAGTGAGTTCATGATGTACAGACCAATATGGCAGTGCTAGCTCAGGGACAGCTAACTTGTCATTAGGCCATCCTGTGAGAACTAGAGGGTGGAGAGCAATCTGTTTGGGATCTGAGGAAGCTGCAGCTCTAATGTCTTGGAAGGTAGCATCTTGAAAAGTCGGAAAGGTCAGGTGTAGTGGACTCAAACTCAACTCGGTAGACTAACTCATCGTGGACTTGCTTATGAGATGTGGTGGGCAAAGGTGCTTGAGAAAGGGTGTCCGCAATGTGAATGGAAAAGCCCTTTTGATACTCAACTCGGAAGCTGTACCACTGGAGAGCAAGGATCATGCTCTGGAGACGACATGTAGCAGAGGCTAGAGGGTGCTTGAAGATAGTTTATAGGGGTTAATGATCACTGTGTACTGTAATTTCAGCCTTACCGAAAAGGAGCTGATTGAATTTGTGAAGGGTGTGAACAATGGCAAGAATTTCTTTCTCAATTTGAGCATACAGCTGTTCAGTTGGAAAAGTGAGCTAGAACTGTAGGTGACTGGTTGCCATTGGATGTTGTTGGAGCCAGTGGAGTCAATGGCTGGCTGAAGCAGTGCCGCGCCTAAGCCATATTCCGAGGCATCTACTTGAAGTAGTACAGGGGTATTTATGTCAAAGTAATGCAGACAAGGTGCTTTGGACACTAGTTCCTAAGCCTGTATGAAGGCTTTGCTGTGCTGCTCAAACCAGAGGAATTCCTGTTTAAGGTGTGTAAGGTTGTGAAGAGGACGGATTACTTTGCTTAGATTAGGACAGAATTTGGCCAGATAGGTGATAGTCCCCAAAAACCGGCGGGTGGCTGCCTTGTCTTGAGGTTGAGGCATGTCCAGAGCAGCAGTAACTATCTCCATGCTCAGCTTAAGTCCCTCAGGTGTGAGCATGTGGCCCTTGAATGGTGCCGTGGATGTTTTGAACAGATCGTGTTAGGTGTTCCACTCAATTCCAAAAAAGACTGGAGCATAATTGTTATACATTTCCACGTTCTGTGTACGATCGATTCGCGCTTTATTTGTCAACTTTGTCCCTTTGTTTTTGTTTCATTATGAAACAAAAACAAAAGCTAAATAATTTTCATTTCGTAGGGAAAAGAGAATGGCAGTTGGGTTGTTTCAGCTTTTTTTTGTCACCTATTACTCAGAGTTGGTCAGTCATTTTTAAATAACATTAAATTAAGCGTGATTTTTTTTCTTTATGAATTATTAATGAGTTTCTGAAGCTTTCACAAGCACGCAACCGTCTCTTTTTTTACCATGCGGGTTGCTTACAAGAGCTCGCTCTTGTAAGTGACCAGCTATAGTTACGACCACTTTTTCAAATTCACGTCACTCACAAGAGATTCTGCTGTATGTTTATATTATTATATTATAATATTGTTATATTACAGAGTTTAATAACAATATGGGGTTTAATTCTATACTCTCACCTGCTTCTTTGGGTTTTTCTTGGAAAAAAAATTGAACAATTTTCTGAAAGGAAATAGTCCAAGAATTTATGACCTGAATGAAACAGCACCAAGAAAAAAACTTTGATTTTAAAACCTATATACTGTACAAGGCTCGAAAAAAGCCCTGTTGGGTCATCCAGTACAACAAGATATTTTACTGGACAAGTAACTTTTTAAGTGGCAAGGGTCTAAAAATGTCATCTAAAGTCTACAAGCAAGCAATGGCCCTGGGCAAAGACGAGCTGGAATTCAAGAATTTTTTAGCCCGTATGTAGCAGCTAAAAACGTAACTAGACATACATAACATGACTTCACATCAATCTTTGACTTCCATTGTCTTTATCTCATCAAACCCCTTTCTCGTTCATGACCGTCCATCCAGATCCTCACAAATGAGCTAAATTTAAACACCAGGTTGACATGTTCATCATGTATTTACCAACTTGTCAGCTGGGATTTTCTTGTAGCCTAAAGGCAAAAGGAAGTTGCCAAAGCCCAGTGGGCACCCCCATAAGGGGCATTTTGCTTGTACACTGTATGGTTGACAGACTTCAATAAAAAATGATGTCTTTAAAAACAGCTGTGTTCCCCACAGTAAAGAAACTCCTATGTACATTAACTGTAGCATAAAAATATTTTTAACTAAGTATCAACTGGCCTGTTTATTTAGACAGGTTGGATCGCTTTACCTGGATAGCTCAGCTCATGCCCTATTTCCTAATCGAGATAATGCATTAAATTGTAACCTGAGATCAGGCCCAATTTTAGTAGTTCTAATACATTCTCTCTTATGTGCTCCCGCTGCAATGCCGATTGACTGTTAGAACAATGCCACAGGATCTGATTGGCTGTTGGAATCAACGGAAGTTGAAAGCACTTATTCCTCACATGGCCGATAGCACTCAAAAATAGAAAATCTTCGCAAATGATTCACTGTCATTGGAGAGAAGGATTTTGCTGTATTTTTTATTGTTACAGTCCTGTGGTAGGAAAATATGCCTTTTGCCATGGAAATTCAGAAAATTCAGATGTTTGTTCATATCTTCTCAGCATTTGCTTAATTTATGGAACTAATGTGAGTGTATCGTGGAGTCGAATCTCTGCAGGTTGTTGAGCTCGAACAAGGTGCCTATTGATTTACCAACAAACAAATGCAAGTTGAAATACTGTCCATGTTTAAACTGGTTTCATTTGAAAGTTTAGCCAGGAATGACGTCTCTGAATGGGGTTCGCAAGCTGAGGCTCACTGCAAAAGAAATCTCAATCACCAGCTGTGAAGTATTAGACATAACTTTTTGGAATCGCTGTTCAAGGAATTTTTGTAGGCATTATTATAAAAGCTAGTGCTGCTAGTCTTAAGGTAACAGGCTTGTCGTTTCCCTTCGCTTTTTGTAAAAAATTAGCCAATGAAACTGCTGTCCTCGCTCGCTGGCTGCTTGTTAATTTAGATTATAAAATTTAGTAAGATTTCGGGAACTGCAATAAAACAACAACACAACAGAACTACAAAGTGTGTTTGTAATATTTTTTTTCAATTTGTTTATAGGTCAGTTGCACATGCAGTTGTAGTAGTGTCGTTTCGTCTATCCAAAGTGACATTCAATATTTACCGGAATGTATAAAAGATGCATTTTCTTAGACGGTGGATTCTAGTAAAGTCACAAATTGCAAGTATACTTACGGGACTAAATCAAATGAACTTGAGAGTTCATTTAGTTTGTTCTGAGATAATTTATATATCCTTTGAAAAAGTTTGCGATATATTACTCCAAGATTTTTAAAGATTCATGTACTGAAAATCAGTGAACAACAGGAAAAATAGAAATTTCAGTATTTTAAAAACTAAGCACACCTAGCCAAAATATTAAAACTAGAACATTGTGTTGCCGTCTTTCAGAAAACTTTTACCCTCACGCCAACAGAAATAACTTTTAAGATCTCCTTTAATCTTGCAAGAACTTAAATAATTTGACTACGCTGGCTGTTTTATTTTTAGTTGAAAATAAGATAAAAGCTATTTTCTGCATTTTCTCATGTATGAAAAATTTGCATACTAAAAAAAGCATGCAGCAGAAGTAATTTTGGTTGGCTCATTTGGCAAATGTCAATCGATCAAAAAAGTGGGCAGCAGACGTTTCCCAGAAGGTTTGTATCAGGCTCTCTTTTCATTTTGCCTTACCCGCCGGAATGTTATTTACAAAGAGAAATGAAAATAGAGCCTGATCTCAGGTTAATTAAATTGAGCCAGCCAGGCTAGCCGGACTGGTCTCTTCATATAAACTCTCCCTAGGTGACCACAACAACAGTTAAAGGTTTTCAAAATAATCACTAATTGAGTCCAATCTCAATTCCCTACTCCCTAGATTATCTTCTACGGGTAGATAAAGCGAACTAGGCAGAGTTTAGGGTTGGGGATCAATCAAGGAATATAGATGTTGTGTAAGGTTACAACAATTTTTTTCGTGTTGTGAAAACCTTGACCGGCCCGCCCTGATCATACAGCCATATACTGCAGCCAGTATCAAATTTAGAATTACTTTAGATTCAAATCAGTGTAATTCTGAATAAGCCTTAACCGGCTTCAAACAAACGGGTAACTATGAGTAAGGCCTGTTTCAAACGTCGTGCTACTGCCGTGATAAGCTGGCTCGACTGTAGCTCGACTACAACACGACACTAGCACGACTTGGTTTCGGACGTCGAATTTAATTCAGTCGAATAGAACGGCTGTTGCCGAAAACAAAACACAAAAATAAAGAAACGGTTTAGCAAACTTTTAAATATATTCTAATGTATTTATAATTTAGGAATTGAGTTCAGCAGCACGGCAGTAGCATGACGTTTGAAACGGGCCTTAAGCCTTTTTAAAATTCACCTTACCCTTGGTTTTGAGATTTTTGTTTTGTTGTTATCAAGCCAGGGTTCGAACGAACCGTATTCGGTTTGGACTTTTCCTTCCTGAATTTGCCCAGTTGTTGAGACAGGTTGTTGATCGGAAGCTCACTTCGAGAAGCATCTCCCTTATTAACAAAAAATGACATCTGTTTGTTACTGCAAAACAGAAGAACTGAAGTGCGGAAAATCACAACTAGGCCATAGTCGTTGAGAGTGAGTATTCGGCGTAAAGAAGGCGAGGAAGCGCAGCACCTAACAGAATATTTCCCGCCAAAATGCTTTCACATTTCAAAAACCCTTCCCGTACCACCCATCCCCCCTGACCCCTCCTACTCCTCCCTCCAAACCCTGTTTTCGTGCTCAGTTTTCCCTCGAGAAAAATTCAACATGGCGGATGCTACTCTGTTACTTTCGTCGCTCCTTTCTTTATATATCCTCTGACCGTGTTTCGCATTTATTGGGATGGAAGGAACAAGCAACAAATCTCACAAGTCAAGACTTTTTACATCAAACGTTCTTTTGCAAAAAGATGAACTGGAAGAAGTAGGTTTTACATTTTTATATTATCTATTTGAAATCGATGGTAGATCCTATGAACGGGGCCTGCGAGTTTGATACGGTATTGTTTGTACTTGTCTTGCAGCTTAATCAGTTGTGTTCCAGTTAGAGCACAGCCCTTTCAAAACACTGAAGGGTCGTAAAAAAAATATGGACGGACGGTGGTCTGGAGCTTCTCATGGATTTTTCGAGCTACTGAAACCAATACTTATGCAGTCTTGAATTGAACTCCAACTTCTTCTTCCTAGCTAGATAAGCAACCACCAGTGCTGAGACCTTATTATTATTATATATTTGTAAACATATGACGAGAAAAAGGACAAGAGGGCAGGGAGCCGGGGATATTTTCCGGGCTACTCTAACTATGACCCCCAGCTACCTTCACAGAAAACAAGAGGAAATAAAAATAGAAACAAATGAACTTCGTAGCTGTTTAATTCTCTGCCTAAAATTGTATATACCAGCAACTTGAGCTTTAAGAGATAGCCTTGTCGTACAGAATTCACAGATCTGCATTTTGGTGGAACATTACCTTGGTAAACATGGTAAGGCCTGTTACCTTAGGTATTCAAAGTAGACAGACTGCAAATTATCTTAGTTGCTAAAAAATATATATCTACGTGCCGCAACTGTTCATCAGTAGGATGCCTAAAATGCATGCAATTCCACAATAATATTGGTTTCAGCTCCATTAAATCCTATACCAATTGTAGAACATTTTAGGAGGAGGTCCTCTAGTCCACCATATTGGGCAGTACTACAGTGTATCTGTAATAAACCATCACCTCTTCACAAATTCCTGCTGTGGTTGCAGTGGCTAAGTAGATGAAGATTCATGAGGGGGGTGAATAGGGGTATGCAAATCCGCCGATCTGTCAGGGCTGTCAACAAGGGCGGGTAGCTGGCCAAAACCTTCAGCTAGTTCGCCATCCTTAGCTGGCTACTTTCATCTCATTCTGCCATAAATGAGTCATAACTGCTAACAAAAAATAAGTACCATCTAATAAAATTTTAAAGCATCTGTTTCCCAGTTTTGAATGACATTGAACACATATTTAAACAGGTGTAGATCTGTGAAATGTTCAAACAGTGTGATGTCATGGAATGCCTGGGAAATTTCGATGGCATTGTTCCCAGTCTTACGTGTATTCTGACAAAACAACATGGCGTCCATGGTGGAAAATACCTCTTGAAACCCCCTGGAAATGGATGTCCAAGACTCTAAATTTCAAAATGTGATGATGATGATGATGATGAACTTTATTCATGTGTCAATGTATTTAGCTGACGCTAATTGGGGTCTCTAGATGCCTCGGCCCTTAAAAACTTGTGCCTTTTTTGCTAGTTCCAAAGCCACCTACTATTCATTATCAGCGGAGCCTGCTACTTAAAAACTTTTTGACAGCCCTGTCCGTTATGGTTTATTGACCAAATCCGCCCTTTCATTTTTGCCCTGAATCCGAAATCCAGGCAAAAATATTTTAATTACACCCAAAGTCCAAAATCCGGGCCCAAAAAATAGATGAAATCATAATCCACTGCAATTGCAGGATCCCAAAATCCATTAAAATCTCACTTTGATTCCGAAATCCGGGCAAATATATTTTCAAAATGCGCCGATCCGTTCACCAATTCACCCCCATGCACTCTGTGAATGGTTGAGAAACTTGTATTTCACTCCCCCACCATTACAACAACACAGTGTCTTTCAAACTAACCCCGTGCCCCCTCCTTCATCTTTTTGAGAAACGTAGTTTAATATGTTCAGGTATAAGTGATGGTATTCACAAAGCATTAGTTGTAAAAGGCTGTGATTTAAATGCTGTATTCACAGTTAAGCATATTGCATTTCTTTTTTCGTTTTTCTTAATTATAGAGGTTAGAGAAGTGTCATGGAATACTCTCCTCTGTGATTTCAAATCTTTCAGAAAATGAAGCTCATGATGCTCTTAATCAAATGGTTAGTAGATATGTAATATTTGTATCCTTTTAACCAATTTTGCAACTCCTGATCTTACCCGGGTGCTTAATCCAATCAAAATAATCAAATTCCAAAGTGGAAAATAAAAATCTTAATTGATGTTAAAGCTATTTAGATCATTTCACCAGAGAGCAAGAAGTCAACCTTTTACTCCCAATTTTGGCTAATGTAAACAATTCACAAAAAAAATCAATTTTTTTTTAAAAAATTGAGAAATAAAATACTATTGAAACTTTTTGCCTAAGAGGTTTAATTTGAATGGTAAGACCATAGGATTTTGTCCATGGATTCATATTTAAAGGGGAAATAATCTGGACATTATCTAATCTAGGAATGAAAGGATTGGAAATGTTTTATGATTCACAAAATAACCTAATAATGATTCAAATAATAATAATGATGATGATGATGATAATGATGATGATAATAAGGACTTAGAGATCAAAATCTCAAGGATATGGGGCCTTAAAATGGAAACTGTGCCTGCTAGTGATCGAAGCACTTGGCCTAAATAAAAAGGGTCTGGGAAAATACATTGAAAAAATTTGTCTAAAAAATTCCTGGAAACATCAATATTGAGGACCTCCAAAAGATCAGCCTGCTGGGCACAGCCCAAATTTCACGGTAAGTGCTCTCTACCACCAACTAGATAACAACGCCCCCTAAGCCGCTACCAAGGAAACTGGTAGCTTGTCGCACTTCTGGCAATAGGAACTGCGAAACAAGAAAAAGATAATAATGATAATGATAATAATAATAATAAATCACTTGAATGGACTCTTTAGGCTTCAAAAAACTAATGCATGTACACCACAGGATGTTTGCTTCATTCCTCCATCTCCTGTATCTACTTTGTCAGGTTTGTAAAGGTCCCCAGCAGCATGAGGAAGCATCTTTAGGTTTGTTGTACATCATACTGGTGGATCCACCTGCTGCACCAAAGGTGATTTAAGATGCTTTAAAGTAAAGCTGAGTTTAGACTATTAAAATTGTGAAAGATTTTTTGCCATCAAACTTATGGTTTGTAGGGCATATGGCACTTCATCAACCAGGTAGTAGTATTTGTTCAAACTCTGAACTTGTGTTGTCTTTAGTAGCAGTTTGTAGATAGTGCTTTTTTCTGCTTGCATAATTATGTTACAGGTCAATTGGATTTAAAGTCAAAAATTTGTAACCTAGGTTGAGACAAAAGGAATTGAAATCAACTGGAGTATGTTAACAAATTTTGGTCTGAAATCAAATTAATTGACTTGTAATGTACATTTTGGTATATTATATGTGTTACTGCCCAACTCTGGGGTCATGTTTACTGGGTATTTGCTATGTTAAGGTTCAATAACTATTTTATCCTTTGTTTAACTTGGATATTCCATTGTTTTGGGGTATGGTTTGATAATGGGTTTCAAACAAAGGAATATCAAATTTAACCCAAGGATAAAACTGAACCACAGCAGCTACATTCCTTCTTTTGGTCTCTTTTGGTCCATAAAAACACAAACTGAGCAGGTACTAATAAAATGTTCAAAATACACCTATAACCACAAAGAATATATTATTATAATATTATTATAGTAATTATTATAATATTAATATTATTATAATATTATTATTATTATTATTGTATTATCACCTTCTTTTTCAAGGCTTTCCGAGACCTAACTTATATCACCAGAGATGGACTTAGTTTGATTATCACGAGATTGATTGGCATTGTTACTGACAAGCTCAGTAAACTACTGGACACTGTTAGGACACAGGTAGTGTTATCACAATGTAAGCTTATTTATTTTAAAAATTTGAAATTCTAAGTTCCTTCATATGTTCTAAGTAGGATGTGGGTTTAATTCAGGTCAATTTGATAGAACTGTGGTAAAGTTGCCGTGGCAAGCTATAGTCTATGAGCCAATTTGAATACTTGGTCAACCAAGAAATCGTCCCTTAGTAGCCTATTCCATGGCCCATGTCTGCCCAATGTTTGATCAAGTAAAGCTCCCTGTGATTATAACTGAGGAGTCATAACAGTCTAGTCCCCAGGTGTCCTCAGCTTGGTCAATCATGGACTCTGCCTGGGCAACAGAGAACACCTAGGGACTTCGTAAAGGCTGTAGGCTGGAGTCCTAGCACATGTTAATATAATTATTCTCAAGGAATTTTGTAGTTCGAAATGTGTATTTTCAGTTTTAAATGATTACAATCTACTTTGATTTTCATTTCCTTTCTGTCTTTGGAGAGAAAATGAATTGAGAATCAAACAAGGTACATGCAAATTAGCAAAACCTTGGTAATGATCTGAGAGAAGTTCATTCCATATTAGCTGCTTTTCTGGGGAACAAAATGTTTTACCATGATGTACTTGAAAGAAAAACAACATCCTTTTGCCATTCATTTCAAGAGAAGCCATGAGTCACAAGTGATGTTATTATCATTGACGAAATAAAGATCAATAAAATGACTTGAAATTATTTGTATTAGTAGGGGAGAAAGGCCTATCTGCTCTCTCATTCATCTGTTCAACCACTACAAAAGGTCCTTGTGGTTTGTAAGTTATTGTATTGGCCTAACACATTGTATTACTTACTGTGTGTAGGTGTTGTGGCTCTCTGGCGAACTTGTGAAAAGCTCCAGTCCTGGTGTAGAAGGTCTGTGTCAAGCTCTTCTGAGGCAAATTTCTGGAGGGGATAACTCCCCATCAAATGTCTGGCTTGCAGAAAATGTTCTGGGATTATTAAACAGCAACAGGTATAAAATTCATTCCTTAGCTTTCATATCTGGATTGAATGAATGTAAAAGATTTGTATAACATGTGTACCTGTTTGTTTTTTATCGTTGAAGTTTAATAATCATTATTATTTATTACAGGAATAAAGTAACCAGCACCAACTCCAAAAAAAATTGTATTTGCAACCCGGGTGTTTAAATGATTGATTTTGCAATTGGAAGTGGTCTCATTAAAACAAGGGGCTGTCTGAGTTCAAAACAATGTGCTTGTAAGCATGATAAAATTGGTTTTGGTTGATTATATTAATATAATACTTTTAATAGTAATGTTGTGAGAGAGTTTTGATTCAATCACAAATTTAACGATTAAATGCAAAACTAACACAAGGAAGGAGGTACTGGTCAGTAAGTTTCAACATTGAATTGAAAACTGGGAGGGTTTGGAAACAAGATATTTAATTTTTTTATTTCTTCAAGAACATGGTTGGAGAAAAATCCAATTCTGCTGGCAACTGCTGTTTACACTTACCTCAGACTACTGGAGGATCACGAAGCAGCACCTTTCAAAAATTTACGGCAGATGGAAATAGAATTCTGTTCATCTCTTCTGAGAGAAAAGGTACTGTGATATATTCTGCAGTAGTTTCTTTAGAAGGCAACTGCAGGCCTAATATAGACTTTCTTTAAAAGTTTTTAACACCCTGGTTGATTTAGGAAATACACAAAGGTAGAGATCTTGTTCATAAAGTAACAAAAAATGCTGTTACTAGCCAGTAATGAACAAATAAGTATGATTATGACAGATGGATAGATATTGGTATTTCAAACTAGGGATGTGATTTCTGATGTGACTTGTGTGGCTGGATCTGATTGTATCTAAGCACAAGTCAAAATGAGTGACCACACTTCAAGGAGTATATTCTATTTTTATGACTTATTTTGTTTGTTTATTTGATATGGTTTTTATTTACAGACAAAATAGTGCTGTCACTGTACTATTTACTATTGTTGTTGAGAGGGGATGACCTCAGGAAAATGGACATTAAATTGATATTCATTTTTATATCTTAGTTTGCGGACTGCATTCCTATTGGGAGAGATCTTGTGCGACTGTTACAAAATGTTTCAAGGTTTGCTATTCATTTTTTATTGTACATTTAAGATGACTTAAAAATACACCAAATGATTTGACAAATTGCCTCCATCAGTTTCTGGAGCAGGATTTGTTCAAGTGAGGAAGGATCCTTGACTGTACCATTATACCTTCAAATAAAACAATCAAAATACTCAAATTTCCTGATGGAAATCACAAGTTGTATGAAATGAGCATTACTATAAATTATAGCTGATTTTAAAATCCTCTAAGACTATGTACCATACCCCCCAAAAAACCTTAAGCTGTAATGCTTGAGTCAGCAAAGGTCAAGATGTCAGAGTAGAAGTACATTACAGAAAATACCATAATATTCCTTAAATTGTGGTTTCAGTAGTGCTTCGCGTACAACCTTAGTATGCATTATGTTTTCTGCATGATTTGCTCATGCAATGCATTAGTTTGTTGAAAATTTGCTTACTCAGCATATTTGCAGGCAAACATAGTTGTGCTAATGTTCAACGTTGGTTTAAGCATAGTTTAGTACCTTGAATTTGATTTACAGTGAGGGAAGTGAGTTGAAAAAACTCTTTTATCAGAAATAAAGCTACAGGTTCTAATTGGTGCGACGTCCAATTTATTTTTATGTGCTTTTGTAACTTAAAAGCAGGGTTGTCACTAAGGGCCGGGGGCCGGGGATTTTCCCCGGCTACTCAGAGCATGATCCCCGGCTACTTTCGTCGTTAAATTAAACCAAAAAAGCACCCGAAAATTCTACATTAAAAAGGACATAAGCATTGAATTATAGCACACGTTTGAAACACACAAAGACTATCCATCAAACTAAATGCAAGTTTCATCTTCAGGTTTAAGTGATTTCGGAAAACTTGCGTGTGAAAACTAAGAAATGTCGAATCAAAGACATCTTACTTAGATTTGGTACTAGTACACACGCGCGAGAACTCTCCATTCGCGAAATGTCAGTTTCAACCGTTGTGTCGGCTTTGTGTTGAACATGTCGAAGAAGCGGCAAAGGAATCTGCACTCTTTGTTCACGATGAAAGATCTGAGTAGATCTCTGTTGACATCCAGAAGAAGTTGAGGCTTCATCCAAGCGTTAAATCTCCCTGATGCTGATGTTGATGAGGATTATCATGAAGGCTTTGAAGATGACGATTGACTGATTGCTATGTTTAATAAATTGTCATTAGTCAGTGACCAGATCTACATTAAGCTTTTCGTATCGAGTATATAAAATAACGCATGGTCAATGGTAAATGTTCGATCATTGTCGGTAGGTCACATCCTCTCAGTTCTACTTTCAAGAAGTTATATATAAAAGAGAAGCTAAGCACTAGCATCACTTTTGCATTCTTCTCCTCGTGTCTCGTTTTGACATCTCAGCGACGTTTATAAAATATTAGCCCTGTCTTTTAAACGCTTTTACGTAGGTCAGTTTCTTCGTATGTTAAGTGATGTTTCGTTCCTAAATTCGAGACCACTAATGTTACCAGTTGTGCAGTTTAGTTTTGCCATATTTTATCCGGCGATTTTTCATGCGTTATGCTTGTTTTCGCCTTATCATACTTTCATTTTCCAGCAAACCATTAAAGCCTCATGTTTGTGATGTTTTTTCGTACATTCATCGACCACTTGTCTTCTTTCCGCTCCTCCGTGGGTTAATTAATCTGTAATAATATTAGTTTTACCTTTGTTTTCGGTAAGTTGTTTCGTTCTTACGTAAAAATAAATAAAAAGTTAACCTACCTGTCAGTTTTTTCAGACCCAGAGCTTACATGTATTCCCATTTGGCGGCCACTAAAAAAAAAACCTCCAACGAACCTTTATGTAAAAAAAAAAACATCATATTCTAGTGTCTCACAATGTTGTAGTTTTCTTTAATAAAGAAGTGATTATCATAAAACCGCCAATGATAGCTCTGCTCTTGATGAAGATTGCTTTTTTTGGGAGGTAATGCCCTTTGGAAAACGGTATAGAAGTTGCACTTCAAAAACTTCTGGGGGGGGGGGGGGNGGCAATTGCACATGCAATTTATGCAAAGAAGGAATTCAAAACTAACACAGAAGTAAGGGTGACTTGAAATTCTATGCAAACAGCAATTTGAGACTATTAAGGTATTTTTCCTTGAAAGTGGCGTATACTGTTTGAATTGGCTGAACATGTAATTTCTTGTTATCATGTGTTCTCATAATTGTAAAAAATTGTCACTGAATGAGCCTAAATAAGTACTTGTTACAAAATTAAGTTGATGTTGTTGCCAGGGATGATGAAGGGATGTGTTATATTAGAACTAAACAGCCATCTCTGATCAGTGATGAAGGACAGTGTAGTACATGACATGTACTACACTGTCCTTCATCACTGATCATTGTAGTCGCAGCTTGTCATATACCTTGGTTACTGTCAGCTGAGTGATATTGTTATTGATCATCACAGAAAAAGTCAATTACCTTATTGTCATCTTGAATCAACTGCTTTTTATATGTTTGTCTCACTAGAATACCAGAATTCACTGCATTGTGGAAGGACATTCTACATAAACCTCAGTCACTTTGTCCACAGTTTACAGGTTTGTAAAGTGTTGCACTGCTATGATCCTTGAATAATTTATGAAATTAACATTTTCTCGAATGCACCCACTGTTGGCTGGTCACTACTACTTAAACCCACTAGTCATAAAAACTTTTTGATCAGTGGGACTGATTACAGTTCTTCTGTAATTTGAACTCCCCAATTGAAAAACTTCACTTGCCCATCATCAAGTTACGAACAGAATTCACTTGCCAACTGCAAAATCCAGTAGACTGGGGTTATCAGATTCAACTTTCATTGGACGCTGTTACCACTGGCTCAAATTGCTCTGGAAAAAAAGACATGGGAAGGTGCATTGAGTAAAACAGCTGGCATGACTAATAAAAAAGCCTACTAACATGTAGCTTTCCCTTTGCTACATCCCTAGGCTGTGATGTTTAATGTGTTTTATTTACCAGGAAAATACTATGAGCTATTAATAGAACTTATAGTAGAACATGAACTATTTAATAATAATAGTCCTGATACAGAATTATTTTATGATTTCAGGTATCTCACAACTGCTTTATACTAGAACATCAAGGAGGTTTTTAGCATGCAGACTACATCCTGAGATGGAGAACAAGATTTTGTTTTTAACATCCAAGGTGTGATAAAAATTCATGATACTCTAATCTCACTGAAATGATTATAATCTAAATAGTCACAAAATGCAGAAATAGGACTGGGCATCTTGTTTATTGATGCACAATATGAAGTGAGTGTAGAGTGTTACAAATAACAACGTTACAGTTTTATAAACTCAGGAAAAATTACAACAGTAAATAAAATTAAAAAAATAGAGTTGACAGAGATGCCTTCATGATCAGTGGCCCTTGCATAGCTTAACAGACCTTAAATAATCTACTAGCCCCTTGAGACACCTTACAAGCAAGCCTTAAATACCTTTGCAGTTATTATGTAACATAGTAAACATACTCTTGTGAAACTAAGAAAATGTTACAAAATATATTAATAGAGTTATGCTGACTAATAATCATTAAATGACCAGAGGAGATAAAATTTTTCTTGGTTTGAAAAAATTAATGTATAAACCAGTTTAATGTCTGGTTTTCTTTGTCTCTTGTTGTGTTAATGATTACAACACAAAGGAAACTAAAAATTAAACAGGTTTGGATCACTAAAACAAGTCAAAGGACATCTGCATTGCTTTTCTCATAATTCCTCGCCTTTTTTTCTTTGTATAGAAAATATGAACTGCCTAACATGTTAGGTGGATGCACAGTGTAATATATCTGTTCTGAACTAAGTGTGAAATATTCATGTAACGTAGATACATGTACATTAAGAACATTTGAATGTGGCAATAAATCGCAGTGGAAAGGAAAATGTTGGTCCCTCAAGTCCCAAAGGATGAAGAAGTGAAGTTGACCAAAAAGAAGAGTGCACAAATGAGAGAGTATCAACACGGAGCTGAAACAATTATCGATTACCAAAGGAGCATAATCAACTCCCTTAGTTCAGATCAGTATCTGTTTGATTGTAGAATAAATTATTGTTTGGCATGGTGGTGAGATTGATAATTTATTATTCAAATGTTGCAGGTACGATTTGGCCAGCAAAAAAGGTACCAAGATTGGTTTCAAAAGCAGGTTAGTTTGAGATACCTTTGTCTCAATATGCCTTTTTTGATACTAAGCGCCATCTGTTAGCTCAGTTTTTTTAAAATAACCGGTAAATCTTTGCTCAAAAACATTTTAAGAAGTTTAAAAAATGTTGAAAAACATGATGATATTTATAGACATTCTCGAACATCATTATCAAGTCAAAAGACAATAGCGTATGCATGTTCTATAGATAATAAGAAAATTCAATAGATCATTACAGAGAAATCAAAATGAACTTAAAATTAAAATATGTCCCTAGGTAAATGATGAGTTTTGCACTAATGGCATCAGCTCAGCTCTGAGTATCAAGACTAGGCCTGAGTTCTTTGATGCATAACATCTGATAAACAAAATCACTTCTTTTTTATACAGAAAAAAATTTGTCATTCTAACTTACATGGTTGATCAGCAAATATCCCAAAATCTCTACCTAGAGGCATTGTTTTTGTTATTTCAGTATCTCTCATCTCCTGAAAGTCAAACCTTGCGTGCTGATCTGATTCGATACATTGTTGGTGTGGTTCATCCATCTAATGAAGTGCTATGTTCTGATATAATACCAAGGTGGGCCATTATTGGCTGGCTCTTAACATCCTGCCAAGTAAGTGATAGTAAATTACTTTGTAGGGAATGGGTTTTAATAAAATTATTTTTGGGATGGGAATTTCAGCGGATTATGCATAAACTATACATCTTCTTATACCAGTATTTTTGATGCCCTCCCTCTGTATGGTTCCTATTTCAGACTGTGGTTTCCACTGCAAATGCTAAACTTGCCTTATTCTATGACTGGCTTTTTTACCAGCCTGACAAAGACAACATAATGAATATCGGTGAGAGTTTCTATAACTATTATAACTATTTTTGCTACCCTTCATTGGCATCAGCATTGGCTACCTGTGGAATAATATTTGCTCGGAACAACAGAATCTAATCTGTATTTTTCTATTTTCTAATGTATTTGATGTATTTTTTGTTGTTGTTTAGAGCCAGCTATCTTGTTGATGCACCATTCAATCCGGAGTCATCCCACCATCACCAGTACTTTGTTGGACTTCCTTTGTCGAGTAACAACTTTTTTCTTTGATCTATCTTCCTCCTCCCCCCCCCCCCCCCCCCCCCAATCTTTTTTTTGCGCGGGTGTTTTGCTTTTTTTCTCCACAAAAAAAAATTATTAACAAATTCTTTTGTGTTCATGAAGCGGTCGCTTGCGTGTGTCATTTTTTTTTTTTTTTTTTTTTATATTTTTTTTTGACCACACAAAAAATAAATAACAAAAAATATTTTTTATATTCTAAAAAAAACACAGAAACTAATTCTCTTCCCCCCCCCCCCCCCCCCCCCCCCAATTCACAATTGTATGACCGAGGTTGTGACTTGTTTCTGGCACAAAACAATAATTTCCAGACATATTCGTGACCATGGACAGTCAGTGGTTCGCTGGAATCATTGTACATTTTGCCTTTGAAATATTTCCCTTGAGTCAAACAAACAAATGCTATAAGAGAAATTTTAGTTTATGGCAAAATACCCAAATGGATATTGTTAGACATCGTTTGCATCTTGAACATCATATTTCAAAATGAAATTGACGTTGTGATATTGTCAAAATGTGAGAGGAACAATTTCACCCTGTTTCTGTGGAATAAATGCAGTCATAATTTGCAAATTTATGTAGATCAAGGAACTTAAAATGTTCGTGCGCAAATGTGTCTCAATGATGCTGTTATCTTTACTCTTTCAAGATCATACCCAATTACAGTACTTTACCAGATGTCCAAGCAAGACAAGGAGTTATCAAGGCGTTTAGGCACATTCTCAGTAAAAAGGTTGTAATGTAAGTAATGTTCAACAGTTTTTAATAGCAAACAAACAAATCTTTTTAATTTGTTACCGATTCACTTATATATGTACTTTTCTCCTTTTGACAACTGATCGAAGGTCACTCTCTCCATTACTGGATAATTCCAAAATGGAAAGAGACTTAAGAATTGTGGTCAGGACAACTCTAGCTGAGTTCTGTGATTCAGGTACAGTAAAAATACTGTGTACGTATTCTAGGCAGGTTTTGTCTCTGAATTTTAACTGGTCAAATTCTTTTCTGATATTACTACAAAAATTAGAAACCAATTTAGTTTATCAACTGTGTTGTTCAAGTGAATTTTCCACAGCAAATTGATATATGTTACTGAATTTATCAAGGCCATTTCTTTGTCTAAGCGATTCGCTCTGACAAAGTGCTGCCTCTGGAAGCGTCGACAAATTTCTCTGTCGAAGGACCAGGGCTTGAAACGTAAGCTTCAGCATCTTTACGGTGACAAATTTACTTTAAGTAGTTTTCTTTAACTAGCTGAAATTTGATCTCGTTATTTTAACTCTTTCAAAGATAATACGACACTTTTAGGTCGAAGTATTTTTAGTAAAGGTTATTTCAGTTCTTATATGAAGGACGCCCATGCTTTCCAGTTTATATTTAGGGTTACAGTTGTCTAATTTGATTGATTCCCATAACATGGTGGTTGTTTGGCCCAACTCGTGCATGCTGGATAAAACTGAAGTGGTCTCCTCCTTAAAGGAGAGGAGTTTCTATTTGAAAGACTTAATTGTACTGGTAAATTTTGCAGGTTCAAAACTAGAAGAGTCTTCCACATCAGCTTTTAGTAAAGTTGAAGGTTCTTCTGCTTCAAATGACATACTTGGTTCACTGGGCTCCAGGATGATTGGGGCAGCAGACAGCAATGGCGGTAACAGCAGCAGCACAAAAGATTCTGAGCTGGTGGACAGTGGGATGGATGATGAACTTGAACAACCCGATGACGAAGCTGTCTTCTCTGACCCTGAAGAGGATGATGATGGCGACGTAGCGCCTGGTAAGCCCAACGGCGCCGGAGGAAGAGAGAAAGATTACGAATTCAAACCGATTGAAAAGGAAGGCGTGGATGAAAACGAAGAACGTGACAGTAGTGAAGATATCACTGAACTAGAAGAACTTGAAAATTTAGGCGATGAGTTGAAAGAGCTGCTTATTAAATTCTCTCAAGAAAGGTATGCCAGTTATTAAAATACTGCAAGTATCAGTTTCTTTCAGTTTTCTTCACGCTTACACCGTTCGTTTTTTGTTGTTTTTCAGTGATGTTGGAGTGAGGTGTAGTCTAATGGAAAATATTCTTAAGAGTATCACATCCCTGGTGAGTCCTTTTACTCATCAAATGTTTAAGCGTAAAACCTAATTTTTAATGCCCTGTTTGTAAAAATCTTTCATAGTCATATATAAATCTTTGCTTTTCTAAATTATACTTTTAACCTATCTCGTCGGACTAGCTAAATGATTGTCTTTTATATGTGGCTTGAAGTGATCAATCGTCATTTTGCCCTTTTTAACCTCATTTATGATCTGGTAATTAATACGAGTCCTTTTTCTCAACTAACCAACTGTCACAGTTTTGACTATCGTTCACCGGTTCAGGAAACCTTGTTCGGCTATCAGTATCATATTATTTGTTTCTGTTCTATTACCCTCAATTTATATGGGTTTCCATCAATCCTGATGCCAGTTTAAACTTTTCAGGATGAATTTGAAGATGACACAGCCAAATCTCTTGCTGTTTGTCTTAACTTTTGCATGGTGGATGATTTAATGGCTCCTTGTATCATGAAAGACAGGTAAATATCAACAGAATCAATCAGAAGATAACCAGCGCTGACTCTAACTGTCTGTTAATGCCTATTCTACCTTATAGAGCGGTTTTACAGGACAATGTGATGACATGCAATTGGTTTAATGGCCTCTGTCTCTTATAACAGGCTAAACAAATGTTAAGATTTTGACTACGTTTTTCAAAGGTGTGAACTTTTCTCTCGCGTGTTGTTGTCGTTTTTTTGCTTCTGTCAGTCATAGTTGCGATAAAACGAAATAAGGCGAAATGAATTGAAATTTATTCCTACCCCGAGACGCTACCTTTCGAACCCGCTAAAGTACACCAATGTTTCCTGAGAAGTCCGTTAGAGTGATTGAACGAAGCGAAAAACGTTAATGTCAGAAAAAGCTCTTAATGTAAAACTCAGCAATACCTTTATAACAATCTACAAGACTAACCACAATATTTTGCAAATTGAAAGAAAATAAGTGTTACTAAGACCTTAGTTAGTAAACCGAAGAAAGTCGGAAATTTGTCAAAGCTGTTGTTGTTGTGCATATTTTGTCTAAATGAGGAAAATGGAGTCCCAAAATAGACAATCTGTGTTTAGTTTTTTTGTTTTAGTTAGTTTGTTTTCTGTACTTTTCTGTAAGTAGGCCCTCTCCAAGAAAGACAATTCAAAAGAAAAACAATGGGGTAAAAAATTTCTGCACCAATCCATGAACATCTCATGTATGCTCCTCTCACGTGTGACTTGTCTCCCCCCTCTAATGTTTTCTTATATTATAATGGATATCTTTTTTGCTTCCATTAGAAATGTGGAGGACTGTTTGGACGGGCCTCTTTATGTTCTCTGCCAGTGAGTATATCTTTTTGTCTCACTTTTTAGCCTGGGTGGCTGACTCGCTTACTGACTGACCGGCTGGCTGACTAACAGTAATTCTCACTAGTTGGCTGAGTGGCTTTACTACTGACTACATTATTGGCCAGATAATTATCTGACTTTTTAGCTTAACTCAAAAGTGAAAGTTTTCAGCAACAATCCTAATAAAAACGTCTATCCAGCAGGAATACGAAATGTGATATGAGCGATGGCAACGGGCTTTCGTTTGTTTAGAATTAAATCATATAAAAAAAAAAAATAGTATAGTATACAGTCAATAGCGTGAAATTGTTTTGATGAATCAAAATAGTTGGAATCGTGCTTATGTATTTGAATCTTGTTGCAGGAATATCTGCATACTCCCCACACATGACGTTGGTAGAGAACGTTATCTGACATTATTAGGCGCTCTACACGGTGTGGATAACAAGATTGGATATCGATTTCTTTTCTTTCTGAAAGCAAGGTTAGATGTGATAAGCCAATATAGCAGTACAACAACACTGCATGAGAGGAACTGAGACGTGCATCAATACATATAACAATATATCAATACATATAATCAATATTGTTCGTGGACGCTAAATTATTAAGCGTCCAGGAACAGTCTTGGCAAATATGTCATACGTCCATGTTCACATTATCCTTCCTTCATGCTCATATAAGGGAGCTTAAGTAACAGCCACGGCGACGGCAACGAGAACGTCAAAAAATCAATGAATGAATGAACTTTTTTTATACACGGTAGTAATTTCAATATGTAAAAGCTGGTTTTCAAATTAGCCGTGTTAGCAATTCTAACTAACTACATGACAATGATTAAAACTATCGTTACAAATACTAAAAGTATAGACGGAATATTAAGTATTTATTTAAAAATAATGATAATAAAACACCTAATGCAATTAATTATCATGGTGGTCTCTCAAGTACGTCTTGAACCTATTTAATGTCGCTAAGTCTCTGAAATGATTCGGAAATTCATTCCATGCAATTGCCCCACGGAAAGCAAAAGTTTTTTTCTAACGAGTTCGTTTGAGTTTTGGGCAACTGCAAGTCGAACTTACTACCTCTGAGGTTGTAATTGTGTCAGTCGAAAAAGCTCTTTTAAGTATTCCCTGGTATTCAGGTACAGCCGCATGATAAACTTTATACATCATGATATTCATTTGTATTCTCCACTTATCAGGCGGCGTTGGGAAACAGCTCTTTTAGAATATCACACGATCTTACTGAACAGTCCACTTTTGTAATAATGCCTTCTGCTCTATTTTGGAGTTTCTGCAATTGATCTGCACGCATTTGTGAGTAATTACCCTATACAAGGCCGCAATAGTCGGCTCAACAAGTGATCGATAAACAGCGATTAATGTTCTTGAGTCCTTAAAACGAGAGACCTAATTGTATACAGCATTCGCAGGCCATTTTGAGCTTCAGTTATGTTGTGGGATATCTGATTTTCCCAAGACATAGTCTCATCAATGTAAACTCCCGGCAATTTCGTGGTAGTTCTCTTCTCTACGGTTTTATCATATGTGCGAAGTGTTATGTCTTTAGCTTCAATGATGTTTTGTCTATATCGAACTGTCACATAACATGTTTTAAAAGTGTTGCAGCTAAGCCTATTGTTTAATAGCCATTTCTCAATTACCTCTAAGTCGCTTTTTCGTTTAGGTTCAATTTTGCTGGTACTAGAACCAGGTATTACTATAATCATAGGTATCATCTACAAACATACCCGGGGTAGAATGCTGCACGCATTTGGGAAAGTCGTTGACGTAAATTAAGAACAGTGAAGGACCTAATATTGACCGTTGAGGAACACCTTAAGTTATATATTCCTCATCAGACAGGACACCATTAACATAGCACGGTTGGCGTCTGTCTTTTAGGTATGACCAGTGATCGAAGGCCTTTTTAAGATCAGTAAAGACGTTGCCGGTTAATAGGCCTTCATCCATGTTTCCAAGCCATAAATTTGTCGCAAATATAAGTGCGGTACAAGTTGAGTGCATACCTCGAAATCCAGACTGAAATTTTAAGACCAAGTTGTTTTCGGTGAAAATTTCAAGGGCTTGCGTATGCACTATTCTCTCGAATACTTTAGAGATTGCCGGCAATATTGATATCGGTCTATAGTTGTTAGCTACGTTTCTTTCACAGCAGAAACTTTGGCCTTTTTCCAGTCGTCAGGAAATGTGTCAAAGCTCTGTTTAAAATATCACATATCACATCTGAAATGTATGCTTGGGCTGGCAAGCTTGGAAGAAGCTTGCTTTAGATTTTTTCTAGCCAATTTTGTCTAATCAGCAGGTGAAAATTAGCAAAACAATTACTCACGCTTTTTTGCACATTTATTTACCGTCACCGCACGACTACGACGTGGAAGTGCCTAATTTCACGTTTTGTGTAGGACGTGAACGCAAGGCAACGACTTTCTTTTCCTTTTCCTGAACTTTCATACGTCTTTTAGAGTTAAACTTCGGAAAAATTTGCCAACATTTAAAGAATTGAGCCAGATGGAATAAGCGCGATAAAGTTTGAAGCAGCGCGAATTCACCTTTGACGTTTTGGTATCCGTCGCCGTCGTTGTTGCTTAAGCTCCCTATTCTGTTATCCGAGATAGATATAAACAATACGAAAGAAGCAAAACCTTTTAGGTGTGACAAGAGGAGAGCTGCAAATAACAATCGGTCATTGAGCAAAAATCTGCCCGTGTCCCACGAAATCCTACATACCTGAGGTCTGACATGGCGACCAGACAGATCCGTCAAATACCAGAGTATCACTTTGTAGCTGATGATTTGCAATGGAATTGAAGAAATAAAAAGTTAACATGGTGTATGTCTGACATCTTTTCTTTTTTCTCCGACTAAAATGAAATGAAAAATTACACCCTATCTGAAAGGTGTTTTGCATGGCACATGTCCTTTATCTATATGTAGGCTGGTTTGCAGAGTTAACATGTGATTTAAATGCTTGCTTTGGATTGTTACTGTGTTGAAAATGCTGCTTAGGTTTTCAGGAGCACTAGATGCCATTGCTTGGACAGTGCTCCGCTTGTGCGTGATAGCACTATTCCTTAAGTATGCTTATCCCGTTATTTTCTTTTTCCTTATGGCCTTGGTAGTGTTCTGGACGATGAACGACTTACAATGTACGAAGATTTTGCCAGCACATTCCGAGGAGAGAAGACAATTCAGGCTTGTTTATGCGAAGACCTTAAGGTCAGCGGTTATTTCTTGTTACTTCTGTCTCAGTCAAACTCTTGTACTTATTTTGCATCTCAAAATTTTTTCCTCACGTTCTTGCTCTTTAGATGTGAAAAACTTGTCTTTGTAGGTTTGTCAAGATTATGATATCAAGGCTTTTCGCTACATCATTTCATCTATTTACAAAAAGGTACGCGCACTTAAACGAATTAATCATGTGTAGTGTTGTTTTTTGTTTGGTGACAGACCAAACACATACTTCACTCGACCAAAGCAACAATGTTAAGCCGAGAAGGAATCACTTGAAAGATTACGTTAAAAAGTGTGGTTTTCCGCTGGCTGAGGAGCGAACGAAGTAGGAAACATTTTTCTCACACACTGCTAAGCTGGGAGTAGGAATTCGAATAAGCTGGGTGTCTTCAGTTCACATGGTGTTTCAAAATTCAGTTTGTTTTGTTGCGATCCGCTATTGCCTGACCTGCCCCACCCCCCCCACCCCCCCACCCCTCATGTGTTTTTGTGTGCCACGCCCAACCACATTTCACGTAGTGCCGCAGTTCTGGTTGTTCATGTATCTAGAAGCAGTTTCTTTTCAGCCGTTTTTAGTTCTTCTGTTGCTGTAATACTGCTGATTTGTGGTGTTGTTATTAAAGGTCAGGCTGCTTGGTTGGTTTTGCATTGCTCCCAGTTGTGTGCGAGAAAGCTGAAATGTTTCTACTTCTTATGAGTTTGGAAGTAAGCAATTCTTAACATAAATAACTGAAAACAGTCTATCACCCAGTATGACATCATATGGCGAATCTCCCGTTAATGACATGTAATATTTGTGGAGAGCTTTAGAGTTACAACTGTAACGCAATTCGCAATATCGCGGATACAAAATGTCAGTTAAATGTTATATAAACAACAAGATATTCATCTTAAAGTTTGTCCCGCCGGGATTAAGGGTTTCTAGATCTTCTTGTTTAATCAGTTCTTTCATGTTTAGTTTCCAGAGCATGTTGTTGGTAACTCCGAGGTTCTTCACATGCTTGTTGGAATCATGGAACCACGGCAGGTAACTACCAACAAACGATCACGTTTCTTACTTCGTTAAAATGAATTCCAGTCTGACTTTTGATTAAAATCGACAAATACATTGAAACCCCTTTTAGCGCCCCTCCCCCCTGGGGAGGGGGGTTAAAGTGGATGCTCAATAGAGGTTCCATTTACAGTGATGACGGACAGTTTTGTCCGCTTGGATCCGGGTAACTGGCCCCTAAATAGAGTGTGTCCGGTTAATAGGACATTGCTCAATAGATGTTCGACCGTACTCAGCAAAGAGAATCATATAAACCTTGTACTTGTAATTTTTGGTAACTTTGGTAACTGTGTGATGCTTGTGAATAAAACTACTGATTGCCTCATACTAATTGCTGTACTGTCCTAATTGTGTGTTTTTGTTTCTTGTTTCTTTGGTTTTTTTTGTTTTGTTAGTTAAACCAGCTCATGAGTGAGATAACATTAGGAGAGTTGACGATATTTGGAGAAGATAGTAAACTTGACTCGTTGTTAGGTAATCAGCCTACTTTTTCACTTGCTAACCAACGGTACTGACCGGTTTCTATAGGAATCCGTTTAAACCCTTTATCACTCATCGCTTTAGTCGAGGAAGACACTATATTCGTGATCTCACGAGCGTGAGACGAAGCCGAAAAGTTTGCGAGTCTTCAGCCGGATTCGAACCCGGAACTTCCCACAATACTAAGCGGTGATCTCTTCGTTGAGCTGCGCGGAACTTAGGGCGCGTTCGATTGACCGTATTTCGGGGTAAGAATTAATCGAATAAAATCTAGAAATCACTTGTTTTTGGCTTTTATTGTATTTCAACATTTACAGAACTGCTTGAAATAACATATTCCTCTGTATATAAAGTTTAAATGGTCCAAAAATCACGGTAGAAGAGATTTCTAGCAAAAATTTTGGCGTGTTCTAATTCCGGAATACGATCAATCGACCGCACCCTGCTAGCTAGGCCGTTTGCTTTTAAGTTTTTTTGCAAATATCCGTCACTGCTAAGATAGCATATTTTTAGGGTGGTAAGTAGCTTGTCACGGATAAGTGATGAGTAAGTTGTCGCGGCGGAAAGATAATAGAGTTTAGGGTGATCTATTACTGAGTACATGTCATTTTTTCTAGAAAGCACTCTTGAATGGGAATCATTTGAACAGCAATGTGTTTGGCACTTGATCCAAGCTGAGGATGTGTTACTGGAGTCTTTTGTTAACATTCTTCCTTCTCTCAAGCAAGATCAACATGCAGAGGCCTTGTCAAACTTACTTATTCTCATGAAAAGTGTTTCGTAAGTCTTTTTTTTCCATTGTTTTCATGTTTACGGGTGTTGCGAATTGATCCGTCGATGGTCATGGCAATATTTTGCCATAATGTGCAAACTCTTTTGGCGGAAGAGGTGCTGAAATTTTAAATGAGATTTCTCCTCCTGAACGCAGATAGCCTGAGTATCAGGCCTTCCTAAGGGGATGGGGGAGAGGAGATTTTCTTTCCCCGTTTCCCCCAGAAACGCCTGATACTCAGGCTAGAACGCAGACGTGTACATGTGGAAATTGTAATAAGTGGTTAAAATGCTTTGTTTATAGTATAAGTGCATTCAGCTGTTCTAGCTGACTTGATCCAACGAACAATACACATAAACTGTCAGGAGGCTGCAACCAGTTGGCGATTTTCACGCGTGAACTTGAACTTGGGGCGACTGAAAAACAAATTCAGCTAGTGGTCGTTAGCAGAGCGGGTCCTGAACTCGGACCTGCCAGATTACTACTCCGACGCGCTGAAAAGTCTGTCACGTTGCCTGTTGTAGATATTTTTAGTCTTGTTAAGTTCCGTGCCAACACATTGCCACGTATCCATGACCCTTATTCTTTCCCTGCGATGTTAAATCATTGAACTTTTTACGGTATTCATTTCATGTTCTCATTTTAAGCGCGTTTGATGTAGTCCTTCAACAGATCTGGTGATTCCAGTCCTTTCCATGGAGTGCTCTGACAAGAGGCCTGGAAATCAGTTCAGTGTCTCGTTGCTTAGGTACTGGGCACAGGAATACTCAAGGGAACTGGCGCAGCTTATTGGTCAGCAGCTGTGCAAACAAGCTTCTGCCGGCAAGAAGAGAAAGTAATTCTGTTTTCATAATGGTTGTCATAAGTATGTTGAATACGATGGTCCAGGTGAACGTAGAACTGATTTAAGGACTGTTGGTTACAGTGGTAGTCTTGATTTCTGGATCTTTGACCTCATCGATAAAGCCGCGATAATAATGGTCATGAAAGGCTGTGAACAGTCTAATACACTGTATTGCAGTTTCAATACATGCATAACTCAATGTGGGTTTTTTAAGGCTTTGTTTTTTCCGATTTGATCTGTGTACTGTACGTTTTCTTGTAGGAATGCAAAGAGCCAGCCAGGTACCAACTTAGAGCTAGTTCTACATCATTTAGACTGGCTGCACAAGATCTGCCAGGAACAAGAAGACATGAGTTGTAAGTATTATTACATCGTTGCATACAGCACTTCTGTCATGTATTAACCTATAAGAAATGACCCAGCTGACCAGCGGTCTCTCAGTAGCTACTTCGTGTCTTTGAATGGCTTCTATGTAAAGCAATCTACTCGATTTCTGTTATGGATCTTGGAGAGAACAAACTATACTGATATCTCATTTCTAGCTGGTTCCTGGCGGTATGATAATAGTCGGGATCCAATTTTTTACTCTACAGCCTAAGAAAACCAGCTGACGACAATTCCCGACTCTACCACTGTTTTCCCCGCGAAATAACGTCTGAGGAACGAGCGCAGAAATTTCATACTGATCACGTGTCACTACTCAGATGTGGATGGTGCTTCTGATTGGCTGAAGCAAGTTACTCTCGTGGCACAACCAATCAGGGGCCTACCCAGGTCTGGGTAGTGAAAACGTCATCAGTATTTCTGCACTCGTTCCTTAGACGTGTTTTCGCGGGGAAACTCGCGGCACTGGCGTTGCATAATGTCGGCTATCACTCACGCTTTTTCGATGCCTTGACAAATTTGCCCCAGTTGTTCAAACGCTGGATACCGCTATCCAGCAGACAAATCACCATCCAGCGGATAAGTAGTAGGGAAACTAATTGTGTTATCCAATGGATAGTGCTATCCACCTTTTTACCAACTGAGCTCCTGTCCTTCTCATCCCCGTGCCCTACCCACTTTGATCCACTATCTCAACGTCTGTTACGAGCCATCTCATTTGGTATCGTCAAACCAACATTTCCCCGTGAAAGGTCCACAATATGTTAGTTTTATTTCGCTGCATTCTCTCTAAACTGTCTTATTTTTACTTCTCGTAGTTTTCAAACATGAAGGTCTGAGATCAGCTTTGGATCAAGTTAAACTAACAGCAAGTGAAGCAAGGAAAAACAAGTATGTCAAGTTCAGTTACGGGTTTATTCCAGTTTCAAATCTTACTATTAAGTTCTGTGACACATTATTGTTCATTCGTGATTTTAAAGTTTGAAGCAGAAAACAGACCTTTATTGGTGTGTTACTGTGTAACTCAGTGGCTTTGTAGAATGTTTTATTTTAGGTGCACACAACATAAAAGCTGCGTTTACACCTGACTTTGCCCGAAACCTTCCCTTGAAGAAACAGCTTAGGTTGGACTTTCTCTGGGTTTTGATCACTTCATGTTTGCGTTTACACGTCAATAAATTGCCCAAGGGGAATATGTCTAGGGATAAAAATGATCGGTCCCTAACCGTCTCTGCCACTACACGGTGCGTATGCGTTGTGTGTTCCTTGTAAAATCTGTAAAATCTGTTTGTTGTCAGGTTTAAGTTGTTGTTTTCGCTGTGCGATGACAAGGACTCTAGAAAAAGGACAACACGCGCTTCCATAATGGCTGCCAACAGAGCTGCATCCTCATCTTCTGAGAGCGAAGAGGTTAGCCAATAGGCCAATAGCATATATTGGGTATCTTGAATTTTGTAAGATTTCATTCAAGTAAGAATCTCCCAATGTAAGAGAATCCGGATTCCGGAATCCGAGAAATTTTTACTTGTGGAATGTGGAATCCTGGCCTTTGGAAAACGGAATACTGTTCAAGGAATCTGGATTCCCACTAACAATTGGAATCCGCAATCCATTATGTGGAATCCAGAATCCAAGACTGTCTTGTATTCTCTTACTTGGGGCAGTAAGTACAAGTATGGAAAGAAAAGTGAATCAACGGGATTATACTGTCAGTATCAGAATGTGCAATAGTGGCCGTAGTTACGAAGACTTTTTTGTTTGAGTGCGGACTGACGGGACGGCGCAATTGAGACTGCTGTGGAGCACTTTGTGTTTATCTAATATTTACACTGTATAAGAAATGTTTGTAAAAGAAAGTCAGTACTGAAATGTTAAAGTGTCGGACGAAACGTTTCGGGAAAATCTCGTTCATCAGTCGTTGGAAATGTTTGCTAAAACCGCTCGTAAAATCAACCTTTGAATTACGCCTCACGGTTTTGTCAACCATTTCGTACCACTGATGAAAGAGTTAATTCCAAAGCGTTTCCTCTGTAACTTCAACACTTCAGAACAGTTTTTTCTCGAACACATTATAAATTCAGAAAGAAAACGCAAAGGGAATTAATATTTAATGAGTGTTTGAAATCAGATGGAAAGCTCCTCATTTTTGCATCCTTATCATAATCCTTAATTTCTTCCTCTAAAGTCAAGCAAACATACCACACAGTATTTGATCACAATATCACCTACCTTGACGTTTGTCACAATACTCCACTGCGCGTCGTATTTTCAATGCGGAGTCTTATTTTCATGGCATTTCTCAGTGTTTAAACTTGTGATGGAACACACTCTTTACTCATGTTTTATATATTACGTCAAGGCAATCCCGCCGCTCTCTCCTCTAAGTCAAGTGTTACTTCCGGCATGGAGGAGTTGTTGCGTTTCCTTTCCAGTTTTGCTTTCGTTTTGTTTGTTTCTTGTACTTTAATTCTTGGTTTATGTGTAGTGTGTCAGTGATAAATATATAAATATAAGAATCTAGACTTTTCTGTAAAATAAAATCACCAGTGCGAGGCAATCTCGAGGCACTTTCATTATGTAGGCGACAAAGATACAACCCATCCTCTCTAAGATCAAGTGGTAATTCATTCATCCTTTTAGCCGTCTGGTAACTGATTAAGGTCGTCTTAGTTTAAGAAGATTCATTTCAATTCTATACATATATATATATATATTTTTTTTTTTTTTTTTTTTTTTAATATGGAAAAAAAAACTGGCGGGAAACCTTTTAACGCTAAAAGGGAAAGGAAAAAAAAACACACTTTTGATTTCAACGAGGGTGAGTTGGCTAAAGGGAGACTTGAAAAACAGTTAGAAATAATCTTAGCTGTAGTGTAATGGATTAAGGATGTTTTATTTTAAAAATATTTTTTTTTATTTTTTTTTTTTATATATATATATTTTTTTTTTTTTTTTTTTTCTGTACATAGGAAGAAGAACCAGCCGTGAAGCCTCGTAACGCTAAACGGAGAAGGAAAACTAACACGACTGTTGATTCAGACAGTGATGAGTGACGTCAAAGGGAACTTGAATAACGTCTAGAACGATAACAAGAACTAAATTTTAAAAGCAATGAGGCAGCCGTGGAAGCCTTCTGACAGAAAGGGTGATATTTGGCTTTTACAGACATGAAATACTGGCTAGATAATTTCCTCCACTCCTCACCAAGATTATGCTTTGATTCAATTTATTTCTCTTTGTTCTTGTGGCAATGAGTGTTGAACTGAACAAAAGGGAATGAGAATTTAACGATAGAAAACTCGAAACAAAACGCGACTTATATTTTGGTTAAAACGTTGACTGAAGAAATCACTTGCAACTGTTCATATTTTCTGAAGCTTTTAAGAATGCCCTTTTGTGGTGTCTGGTACATAATTGTAAATAACAATTTAAAAAATAAAGTTGAGAAAACATGGGTGTTTTTTCCTTTTAAGTTTGTTTATAGCCTTCGTTCAGATGTCTCCTATTTCCTTTCTCGCACGCGGGCGGGAATCATACGTCCCGTGCAAAGTTTCCTCCCTCAACTCATGACAGATCGTTCAGCAAAGGTGGCGCCGACGGTTTTTCATCCTTAACCCGAGAAGACAACAAAGGCTAACCATTTGTAGATGTCGAAGCAAAGATAGCACTTTCTCAGTTTTTAGAAGACCCTGAAAGTTGGTTCGGCACAATGTCTGGAAGGGAGTACTCTAGTACCCATCAGGCAAAGGTTCGAAACAAGCGTTCAAGCTAAAACTAGTATCAATTCCCTTGAAACCTTTCTTTATCTTCCTCAACCTCACAACCTGACGTAAGCTTTGACTATGGTGTCTCCTTCGGACCAAGCCTCATCGAAAGGGAATAAAATGCTTGCAGATAAAGCCTACCGTGATAATGAACACACGGCATAGGGTTGTTACGCGACCTGCACACCCAAGAAACACCGCGATCCCCAGTCGCAGATGTAATCCCATAGTAGATCGGTTGGTGCGGTTCTGTCGGCTGCTTCGTTCCAAAATACCATCAGGCGATAGCATTTACCTTGGATGCAGTATTGAAAAGGTGAATTAAAAAAAAACAAGACAATCGACGTTCCTACTTCAACCCGCAATTCTAAGAATTAACCTCAAAAAAGGATTATTTCATCCCTTCTATACTACTTCAGTTAAATGTATGCTTGCTTCCACAATTGCGCGTTTCAGGCTCGCCTTCGTCACGAAGGAACGCTTGACGAAGCCGTAAGAAAACTACACATATAGGAGTAGCCTGCGAAAAGATCCGTTTCTCCTCGCTCTTCGCCGCCAGGGACGTTTGGCGCGGAGGAACGCTTGAAACGTCCCCGTTGGCGAAGAGCGAGGAGAAACGGATGTTTTCGCAGGCTTATATAGGAGGCCATCCGAACGCAAGTTATGACCAGTTAATAGGCTAAAAACGGGCAAAAACATCATCATCCAATCCTAAACATTTATTAAATGTACTGTTACGGTAAGCCTTGAAGGAAAAAGCTACAACATCTGCATATTTTCTGTTGGTTTCTACTCGTATTGCAAGATTTCGGCGGTGAAAAGCCCACAGCTTGCTCATAGGATAATATATACTTCTTACATGGTTGGTGCGTCCGGGCTGTAGCAGGAGGCCTTTTGAGTAAGTTGTCAAGTCAAATGAAAACAAATGACTTGGAGAAGATATTTCTGTTTTCTACCCTGGCACTGATTTACAGCGAATACAGAGAACACACAATCGCTGTCTTTAATTTCAATCGTTTATTCCGCAACGACATTTTCTTGCGAATAGAATTCCATCATGTTACTAATTGTTGCTTGGATTTCTTGCTCCGTACTGTCTGGGCACATTGCCTGCAAAAACAAGAATACCATTGACTTTACATGATCTTACATGTGGGTGCTGTCAAAATTTTAATCATTAAGGCGTCTTGGCTAAGATGAATAAAACTGAATGTCTGTAACTAAATAAAAGTGGATTTTTAAAGTTATGTACTGTACTAGATCATGGTTCCGTCACGGCACGCGCCGAGGCTCTGGATACAGTTCTCTTTATTCGTGTGGTAAATTTACTTCGGTTTGTGTGAATACTGCCTGTAAATAAAGCTGTCTTTATCGCGTAAGAGTCCGCGTCTTCTTCTACATCAGGAGGACGCAGATCTGCGTTTTTTACGCAAAAAAAATCAAATGTAATAGTTATGAAGATTTCACGCTGCTCATATTTTTGTCTTGTATATCAGACCAAACATATGAGTCCTTAAGGCTTATCAGGTTATTAGAAGATTTCACACTCATATTTTGTCTTGGATGTCAGACCAAACATATGTGTCCTTCAGGCTTATCTGATGAATGGTGTCCCATAAAGCCACCTGTCTAGTCAAGGTGGGTCCTTGTTGAGTATATTTCTTTTTTATACTGACCTTCCACCAAGTATGTTGAGCTCCCTGAGATGGAACAGTTATACCAAGACACTTCAGAGAAAAATAGATCATGGAGACTGCAATCAGAGATGGCTTAAACTGGAGTGATAGCGTAGTGTGGAAACTGTCGTGCAGAAAACTCCAGCTCAACTGGCTGATAGAATTTGATGATTCATCTCCAAGCCAGTCATCAAGGGACTTAAGATAATGGAGAAGATACTACAAACACAAAAACAATTGTCATGAATAACTGTTAAAAGATTAATAGCTTTCCAGTGTTAACTTTAAGTAACAGAGGGCATGGAAAGAGCATTCAACATGAATAATTTGTTACTGAAAGAAGGTTTTATTTGTTGAAGCGATAAAATCATAGAGTGTATACCACACAAGTTAATAGTACTTTATGAGCAAACAAACAACTGATCCCAAAATCTTCAAGAGAAATTTATCCGCAATGAAGATAAGAGTACGGATGATTTCCCATACTGTTTGTTCAAACATCAATTCAAAGAAAATTATAAACAAGACAACAAGCTTGTGGAGGACGATTAAACTTTGGTACCTTATGTGGATTGTTGAATGCCACATGAAATTGAAGAATTCTTAACATCATCAGCTCACAGTTAACGACACTGTCACGTAATTCCCAGTACAAAGACCCTACTTCCAACGGTGCTTTATCCCTATGCAACACCCTAAAAAGATAAGTAGTTGAATAAAATAGTTCTATGGAGTTCTTAGTTTGTTACTGCATAAGTTGGGTCTTCAACCACTATGATCTTCATTGCATTTATTTCTTCATTCTGCGGATCTTCAAATACATGAACTTCACATCATTCATAATTTCATATTTTCTGGGTATATTACAAACTAATTTAATGACCAGCTCCCAGTTGGCTTGCTAGCCCAATTGTTTTGAGTGCTGCACCTGTATCACAGAGGTCAGGATGCAAATCCCAGCAAGCCTGCACTTTTTCAGGCTTTCTTTTTGGAACCGCATAATTTGTGTCTGATGATCGTCTTTGCATTTATTTCTTCATTCTGCCGTTCAAATGATATGAAATTTACATACTCAGCATTTCAAAACTAGTTTGTTAAGAGCACTTTACAAGGGCATTAAGTTACTAAAAAATTACATAAAACAAAAAGAAATTCTTTCAACAGCTTACACCTGCACATATACCCCTAATTAAACTAGTTAATCATGTCCTCTAGATCTACCTTGTCATTTTTCAAGCCTGTTGTCTTTTGGTCATTCCAAAGTTGCAATAATAATTTTCTAGGGTTTGCTGCCTCTACATACAATCTCCCTGCTACTGTATACCTTTTCAAAATTGTTGTCAGTACTAGATGCAAATACCATGGTGCAAAAAATTTTTGTGGCATATAATTTTTGCACCTTTTGCATTTTTTCTTCACAACCTGCGAAGAAATTCTCACAAAAATGTTCTCCCCTAAAATTCACTCTACTGAAGTAGATGTAGCACACTGGTGTGAAAAAGAACATGCGGGTGATCATGGTCCAACAAGTGACACTGACAGTAATTATTGCTGATCAACTGCTGGATGTGATAGAATATGACACTCATTAATGTTGTTTACATCTTAGAATGTTCTTTCACTTGTATTTAAAATACATGTAGTTAAATCAAAAGGCAAAGTGCTGTTATTCCAGTTGAATGCAACTTTCTGAAAATCCTAAAAATAAATGGCCAGCAAGAAAAACCAGTCTTTCACAATAACAAAAACCAGATCCAACAAAATACAACAAATTATTGATCTACAAAATTACCCCCCCCCCCTCCCCCACAGAACCTTGTGCCACATGGTATTCACATCTAGATACAGAGGTTAACCTGTTGATAACCAATGCTGTGATAAATCTTACTATTCAATTCAGGAGGGTATTATGTATTGATATAAAACTTGACACCTTAGAAGAGTTACTGGAAAAAGTTGCTTCTGGAGGTTATGTCCTGTTGATGCCGTCTCAGACCAGGCCATTATACACTGTACATAGAAAAGTTCGCATCTGCTTCTAGATGGTATGGGCAGCTGATATCACTCTCCTTGATGATGGTGAGAACCTTACAATGTAGCAGGTACTTATCGAGGAATCTATCAAACCCCTTGGGTAATTGGGTAAAATTTAATATCTCAAGGACTAGACATGGACTGAAATACCCTTCAAAGTAAAGTAAAAAGATAAAGACAACAATTTTGTTACCTGTAGGAAACATTTATGACATCTCGAAGTTTACAAGGAAATTCTTCTGTTTTTGATGCAAGATACAATGCAGTTGTTCCAACAAGCTAAATGAATCAAATGAGGATTAAGAATGTAAGAGCCTTGAAACTTACAAGTACCAACAGTAATTCACATCATAAAGTCAACTCCCTTTATTGCAGACATCCTCAGGACTGCGAGTTAACGTTAATAACAAGAGTCCACAATAGCGAGAGTTACCTTTCAGTCAAATGTCTGTGATTTATATTTGGCGGGGATTTGGCAGATGTTCATATTACTGGAGTGTACAATAAGACGATACATGTGGGCTACCACATGTACATCAACTGCCAAAAAGACTCTAGAGAACTTTTAGCTCACATGGCATTGCTTTACATCACAAGTCCTGCAGCTCACTAAAATCAAAGACCACACCCATCTGGATAAGAGAAGTGGTATGGTGATCCACATCAGTAGCAGTGCTCGTGAAAACCATTACATTGGGGATACTGGAAGACAACTAGGGGTGCATAATGAGAACACAAGACAAGCGCCACCTCAGCTTTTCATGAACATTGTAAGGCTTCTAATAAAAATGAAATCAGAATGGAAGATGTCAAAATATTGACAAAAGAGGATCACAAAAACTAAAGCCAAGTTAATGAATACAAAGGCTAGACATCTTGAGAATACTATTTACTTCTGTAAGCAGCTGGAGGGGAAGATTGGGGGATATACAATATTGCAATACCATAAGAAAAATTACCAAATACCAAAAATACCATCATAAAAATCGACAAAATACTGATACCGCATTTATGATCAATCACGCTTACTCTACACCATTAGGCATTATTAGTTGTGTTACTTTATTGTATTGACTAGTGAGCCGCACTCACCTAGGCAAGCAAACTCTGTCTTTACACAGACTCCTTTGCTCTGTGGGCGTTGTTCTTGTTGTTACTTTTCGCCATTTTGTTCGGATCATGTTCTGTTGTTTCTACAACCTTGTTGACTGGCGTGGTGGCAGCCGTTAAAACAAACTCCACACCTCATCAGTGAAGCAGTTTGCCCCGCTACAAACTTGTCAACAAACATTAAACGGAACCCAACAGTCAGCGATAGCGTCTGCTGGACAGATCGACCTAATGGCAGCCAGTCGGCGTGCGCCAAAACAATGGTGCCTTACCAAGACGGAGACCATAACTTCCTTTGAGAAGTGGCGTCAAAACCTTGTGTATACCCTTTCCTTAGACGCTCAGTTTGCTCATTTTCTCTCAGACGGAGCTACACGGTAAAAAAAGACCAAAAACAGCCCACTTCGAGGCATCACCAATGACGGCTCTTCAGTATCTGAAGGAAGCCACCGTACTGCTCAACAAAAAGTGAGCATGCTTGAGTTAATGCTTGGTCTAATAGCCAATTACTGTTCAGTTATCTCCACAAACACCATTGTCAAGAACTCAACATCTATGGGCTCCATTTGGTCAGCCATATGCCTGCATTTCGGCTTCGAAGCCACCAGAGCACATATTCTTGATCTTTCAGAAATCCACCTCAAGCCTGCCAAATGACCTGAGGATCTTTACCAAAGACTTATGGCTTTTACAGAGGATAACTTCCTTCACAGCAACAGCATACAACACCATGGAGTGCTCCTCACTGAAGATGAAGAATTGACTCCCACTTTGGAGAATTTTATTGTACTCACTTGGTTACGACTTGTGCATCCTGACCTCCCAAAACTAGTGAAACAACGTTACAGAACTGAACTCCGCTCTCGCACACTTGCCTCAATCAAGCCTGAGATCTTGCAAGCTCTCCAATCTTTGCTGGATGAAATCCGTGCCACTGAAGATGCTAAGGTAATGCGCATCTCTGCCTCCTCCTATGGCAGGCCCGCACGAGCTGCCAAGCCCACCACTCGCTTCCAAACACACCCTACATCCTGTCCCATCTGCCAACAGGCCACACGCGCAGACTTCCACCACTACCTAAGCGAGTGCACTTATCTCCCTGACACCGATCAAAAGTTCATCGCAAAAGCTAGGCAGATCATGTGTATTATTGTGATGGGTCGGATCCTGAGGAAGAACCACAGGACTACCAACCTGCGCCTACTGGAAACCAACCCACCCCCAGTGCATTGAGAATCCAGGTACCCCAGTCTCCCTTCCTGGACACGTTTTATGGTCACAGCCTCGTCCATATTACCATCAACAGTGGGGCCACTGGTAACATGATTCGCTTGTCCACTGTTCAGAAGCTGAAAGTTGAGATTTGTAAGAGTGCCCAGTCTGCCCATCAGGCTGACGGATCATCCCCACTAAAGGTCATTGGTGAAACCAAGCTTTCCTTTACTCACAGACAACATGTGTTCCAGTTTGACAGACTGGTCATGGAAAACTTGGATGTAGAGGTCCTCACTGGTACCCCCTCTATGGAGGCTAATGATATCGCTGTTCATCCTGCCAAGCACCTGATTACCCTCCCGGATGGCTCCTCCTTCACATATGGCTCTTCTGATGATCATTCTACACAGCAAGCTTCACGTCGCGCTGTGGTCCTACGCGCTCCCACAACTTCAACCACATTATGGCATGGAGATTATATCGAACTAGAACTCCCACAAGATCTCCCTCCAGACTCCCTCCACGCTTTGGAGCCCTGCTCCAACATTTCTCTGGTCCACCTAGCAACCACTTCAAATCTGTGGCCCCCTCCTGGCATTATTTCTAATGGGCAGGAAGAATACGAATCCCAAACTTGTCAGGCAAACCCATTCAGCTTAAACGACACGAGCACTTTTGTCAGGTTAGCCTCATTTTCACCTTTAGTACTCATGAACAGCCTCAACACACCGCCGACCTCTCTAAGTAGTCAATCAGCCTGTCGCCTTCTGTATCTGGTACTAGCTTCTCATCAGCTGTCCACATTGACCCAGACAATCTCTTGCAGCCCAATATGCAGTCGTCATTTCACTCCCTCCCTCACTCACTTTGATTCTGTTTTCGACCCCACGATCCAAGGTTATAATGGTGCTGTTGGCCCTTTTGAGGCTAGAGTGAACATGGGTCCAGTTGAACCACCACAACGAAAAGGCCATCTGCCTGAGTATGCGCGGAGCAAACTTGTGGACCTCCAAAACAAGTTTGACGAGTTAGAGAAACTAGGCATCTTCAAATGACCAGAAGACTTGAACGTCGCTGTGGAGTATCTAAAACCATCATTCCTTGTCAAAAAGAGTAACAGTGGTTAGTGCCTGGTCACCGCCTTTGCTGACGTGGGAAGATACAGCAAGCCTCAACCATCGCTCATGCCCGACGTTGATTCCACCCTTCGCCAAATCACTCAGTGGAAGCATATCATTACGACTGATCTCATGAGTGCCTTTTATCAAATCCCTCTTGCATGCGAGGCTATGAAATATTGCAGCATAGCCACTCCATTCCATGGGGTCCAGGTGTATGCCCGTTCAGCGATGGGCATGCCTGGCTCAGAAACTGCCTTGGAGGAACTCGTGTTGTGTACTTAGAGACCTTATCCACAAAGGAGTTGTTGCCAAGATCGCCAACAATCTATACTGTAGAGCCGACTCACCAGAGGAGTTACTGCAGAACTGGAAATGAGTTGCCCTTTCCGCAAGCCGCTCCATCTCCCTCCCCTGTCACGATGATCAATTGTGGATCATCACCGACAGTGCTGTCAAAACTCCAGGAATTGCTGCTCCCATGTACGTCACCCATAACAAAAAGCTACAGCTAGCCGGTTTTTTCAGTGCCAAACTCCGCGGTCGCCAAGTCACGTGGCTCCCTTGCGAGATAGAGGCCTTATCCATCACAGCTGCAAAACACTTCAGCCCTTACATCATTCAATCAAAAACACCAGCTTGTATCCTCACTGACAGCAAACCTTGTGTACAGTCCTTTGAAAAGCTATGCCGCGGTCAGTTTTCCTCAAGCCCTCGTGTTGCTACTTTCCTCTCCACTGTCAGTAGATACCACGCCTCTGTTCGTCATGTTGCTGGATCTGCAATTTTACCTTCTGACTTTGCAAGTTGCAATGCTTCCAAGTGTGACAACCCAACTTGCCAGGTTTGTAGCTTCATTCAACGCACTGAGGATTCCATGGTTCTCCGCGCATCTGTCCAAAGCATACTGTCAGGAACTGCTAAACTTCCTTTCACTACCAGAGCTGCTTGGCTTGCCCTCCAGGCAGAGTGTCCAGACCTACGGCGCACTCATGCCCATCTTACTCAAGGCCACGCTCTTCCAAGAAGTTGACAAACATTAAAGATGTAAAACACTACCTTAATGTCGCCACAATCGCTTCCAATGGCTTACTCATTGTTAAATGTAATGAACCACTAGTGCTTACCCGAGAGTGTATTATCTTCCCTCACCTGGTCCTCAACGGTCTCTTGTCTGCTTTACATGTCCACCTCAGCCACCCTTCCAGCCACCAAATGAAGATGGTCACCCAGCGATATCTCTCTGCCCTCGATATGGACAAAGCTGTTGATCACGTCACTACCAGCTGCCATCATTGTGCTTCACTCCACACAGTTCCCACTACTGTGGTAAAGCAGTCTACTAATCCAGCACCTGACACTGTGGGTATCTCCTTTGCTGCTGATGTCATCAAACGAGCCAAACAGTTTATTCTTGTCTTGCGTGAATGTGTCACTTCCTACACAGTATCAACCCTCCTTCCTAACAAGTGCCACGACATGCCATGCGATGCCCTTATCAGCCTGTGTATTAACATGCAACCATTAGACAGTCCCCTTGCTGTTATACGAACTGAAACCGCCCCTTGTTTCATGGCTCTCGACAATGACCCAGTCCTTCACGACCACAGAATATTGTTCTTGAGATCGGCAGAGTCAAGAATTGAAACAGGAACCCTGCTGCGGAAAGAGCGGTCCAAGAACTTGAACTTGAACTCCTTCGACAGGATCCCCATGGTGGGCCAGTTTCTCCTGTTGTACTCTCTGTCGCAACTGCAACCCTGAACTCACGAATTTGCTCTCGGGGATTGTCAGCTCACAAAATGTGGACACAGCATGATCAGTTCTCAAATATCCAGATTCCACTGTAGGTGACTATGATCTGATCTCTCTGAGCTCAGAGCCTCCATAAAGCCAACCATCCCAGCAGTGAGAAGTCCACAGCCCCGTGGCCCAAGTGGCCAGTAGCCCCTCAGTCGCCATTGGCGACCTGGTGTATCTCTATTGTGACCTAAAAAAATCTCATGGGAGAGATCGCTACCTAGTTACGTCCATGGATGGTGCTTAGTGCCAGGTTAGAAAGTTTGTTGGTTCATAGTTGAGGAGTACCACCTATTGTATCAAGAAGGCTGAGTGCTGCAAAGTACCTATGGATACTTCACCTTCCCTGCCACATCACATGAGCAGTGCACACTTCGACACCGATGACGAGGATGATACCTCCTTGCCTCCAGCCTCACCACCACAGATACCTACAGCTCCTCCCACACCCACACCTCAACTGTACCGGACCACAGAAGATGCGTTACATCCACCCTACCACCGGTGCCTGCTGCTCTCTCTACTCCTTCTTCTCATCCCGATACAGATACTAAACTTACATCCTTACCGTCTCCCTGCAACCAGCCAGACCACGATGTCGTACCTAAATGACACACATGCAATTGCCACACTCCACAATACCTAGAGAATTTTGTATTGTATTAGTCTACCCCTCAAGACCCTGTCATTACGAGAGACGAAGAAAAGAGACAGGAAAAGAGACAGTAGTGCCATTAGGCATCATTAGTTGTGTTACTTTATTGTATTGACTAGTGAGCCGTGCGCACCTAGGCAAGCAGACTCTGTCTTTACCCAGACTCCTTTCACTGAGGACGTTGTTCTTGTTGTTACTTTTCCACCATTTTGTTCAGATCGTGTTCTGTTGTTTCTACTTACCTTGTTGACTAGCGCTAAGTTGTATCCATCAAGCATTTTTCTTTATCTCAAGCATGTATGCACCAGAATCAACCTCAGTCATCGCAAAGAAATGTGAGAAGACCTCAAATTTATCAACACACAGATTAAAAAGCCCAGTCATGGATGCAACAACAATCCCATAATGGGATTGTTGTAGATTAACTTTCATAAATTGTCAAAAATTCGGAATCATTTACTATTAGACAGTAAGATTATTAACTTTTATTAACCGGTGTGTATGGCTTACTGTGTTTTGCATTGCATATTGTATTGACCTGTATAAGACAGGAGAGTGCAAATGAATGGTACCACAATACCACGAAGGGTCTTCTTTTACCGATTACAATCAGCCAAAATACCGCATACTGGAGGGCAAGATGATACTGCAATACCGTGCCTTTGTCACAGTATAGGTCACATGTTACGTGTCACCTGTACATTATGCTAAGTAGGTAGCCCTCACATGGAGCGGCCATGTTGGAGTTGTAATAAATGAGTTAAGAAAGTAAAATAATGTTAAAATTTAAATTACCGAAATACATGTACTGCTTAAAAAAAAAGCTCAAATTTATATCGCAATACTACAAACCCTTATGTCTCCTTCCAGCAGAGTAGTGGTATATTTAAGCAATAGACCACACTTTCTATGGGTTTACCGGCATGATAACCCACGCAGGATGTTGGGAGAACACGAGAAAAGCTTGTAAATCACGAGCCGAAGGCGAGTGATTTACAAGCTTTTCGAGTTGTAAATTTCTGGACTTTATTATGATCAAGAAATGCTGAGGTAATGACGTGGCTGCATTTGCGAAGTTGTCGCATGTAACTTTACATGCACGTACAGCGACCGATGGAAATATGTCAGTGGTGGAGAAAGGTTTCTTTCCCGTAGCCACATATTGGCGCTAATATTTGTCGATTTGGGAAGTCAGGTGGTTTGAGGTAGGATATATGGCATTGATATCACCAAATAATTTGTGCAAATGTTGGAAAAAACCAGCCCGAGACTCTGACATCTTTCATCATCGTTGGCAGCTTGTTTACAACCTAACTCTAACTACATGGAGAAAGTTGTCAGTCCAGTCGAGCCAGAGATCTCTTTTTGAAACAATTTCTTTAACTAAGGAATTTAATTTTGACATAAAATAAATCAAGAATGCTAGAACTATCCATTTTGTTGCTGGCTGGCACGTGGTTAAGTTTTCCCGAGAGACTTTCTACACCAGAAATTCACACAGTTGTTGTCTTTCTTGGCGATTTGGCATCATCTTGAAATGTAAACTGCTTTCCAGCTTTGTACTTTATAACTTCTAAAGCTATGGCAGTAGCGAATTGTGACGCTCAGTAATAAATGTGGAAACCAAAGCCTTTAATATTTAGAAGGACTGGGTAAGTAACTTGTTCTGTCTTTTTAGCCTTTCTAAAATCGTTGTTTGCAGATCAATAGCCGGTTTTGTTTATGGCTCGTGGTCCGGATGTCTTTTTCTATGGGTTTACCGGTATAATAAACCATAGGTTTTTGACCAATCAGATCACGCCTACTATTTCAGTTATTTTATAAATGGTAATAATCACTTACAGTTCCATCATACAACTTGTAGTCACCTTCCTGACACAATTTTAAGAAATGATGATAAAGTACACATGCAGAAGCACAGGCCACAGGGGGAAGCTTGAGTCTGTGACCTCAAAAGCAAAACATTCTAAATAAGAATTATTAAAATAAACTGCAGAGATTTTGAAATTTATTTAACACTTACCACAAATATGCCTTTGTAAAAAAGGGCGGTGTTTTATGGCCCAGAAATCAGTAGTAGGCTTTCAGTGTAACATATTGTGGTCAAATTACGCAAAGCTCAATTCTTGCTTTTACTTTCCCCATCTAAGCAGCCTATGGGACAAACTGTGACCAGGCAGAGGGAAATGGTTTGATGCTATTACACAGTATTTCTACTTTGTGACCAATTTCAAATGTATAAGCAACTTCAAGGGAAATGGGACTCCAAGTCAAGCCAGGGCAATAGGCCATTTGCATGATGGCATCACTTTACGACTATGACCAGGATCCTTCAGGGTTTTGCTTTCTTGTGAAAATTAGTGCTTCTGTCACTTAAACCTCACTGGGGCTACCAAATTTAAATATTAAAAGAAAAACGAAAGAATTCTGGTCTTAGTAGTAAAATGACACCATCTTGCAAATGGCCTATTCCAAAATATGGGGTACTGGGTGGGTTACGTGACGCAGATGATGCTGATTGGCCCTAACTCAACATTTATTTATTTTAAAATACACTATGTATACCCCAAAACATTACAAATTTGAAAGAAAGAATGGCTTTTGTTACTTTTAGGAGACCATCACTCTATTGAGGAAAACAAGTTAGTGTGTGAGCAAAATGATAATTTTATAACGGAGGAAAATTTTGTATATTTGACAATAAACAACAAAAATGGTGCAATTGTGTGGTCATTTCTGGGTGCATTTTTAGCCACAAACAATGAATATTGCAGTCTGGACATGTTAACTCATGTCTTGGTATTCCTTTGGATTTTGGCTAATTTACCATAGATTTAAGTGAGAATAAATACAGCGAAAAACCAAAAAAGATTCTTTATTTTTTGTCGTTTTACATTCTACATTTGGCATATTCATTCGTCATATTCTTGCGTAAACTTGTCATTTTGCTCATGCATTCACATAGATTTTTCCTCTATAAGGCGATGGTACCCAAAAAGTAACAAAAGCCAAAAGAACAGCAAGTTTCTGCAGCAAATCAACACTTGCAACGCCCTACAATATATGCAATGCTAAAAAGAAATTACCAAAATTCGTGCACAGACAGTGGTAGCGGGTAAGATTTCCGTATAACCCCGCATACATGTGTCGACTCTATTCATATTAAACTATTTGTGACAAAAAAAACTAAGTATGAAATTGCTGCATGCATGTAATAAATGTATGGGTTTTATACGGAAATCTTACCAAGAAGTATTATTGGTATTATCAAGGTATTAAAGTCAGCATCTACCTGCCTCCAAGATAAACTTTGTTGTCCTAAATTTCTCTTTTAATGAAGGACAATCATTCATTGTTCATCGACGTCTTTAATCTGCAGATATTGATGGACAAACAATCAGTTTATACCACGCCTACCATAAAGATCTCCCATTTCGTCCGCCATATTGGAAAACGAGCTGACCCTGGGTACCAGGCTGTTCCTCTAATAGTACTTTTGAACAGCGTTTTTACCTATTTGACATGCGTACAGTACAGGCAGCCATCTTGGAAATCTACCGGTGAGCAAGTATAACCATGTCGGGGATGCGACCAATTTCGGAGCTCTTATATTTAGGAAGATACTACAAAAATGTTGGGAAGTCATGGTAAGCAATCCTATTTTATCTAGGAGTCCTTTTATCACGGAAATCGGGAGACTTCAGAATAGCGGCCCCCTCGAAGCGATATCAACTGCTCCTGTAGTTCTGAAGTGATCAAGTAATAAAATTGCGTGTTTCTAGTTCACAGACCTGTTGTGCTACAGGCAATAAAACTATTTAAATCGGGTATTTGAACGACTTCCCCCGCATTCCCGCAGTAGTCGATGAATCTTCTATAATCAAGTAACTCAAAGGACTGCTAACGCAGTCCCGTCTCAAAAAGCAGCTGTAAAAAGTCCTGTGGTCGATCAATCTATTAGTCAGCTATTCCGCAATCCTGTACTCAACATGTGAGCTTATATAAATTAAGTTTACTTCATTTCATATAAAAGTATAACAGAATGAAGAATGACACAAGTAGAGCTGGAAATGACCAGATTTGAAGGCTTAAAGAACGAAGAATGTTATGATATGTAAATTTTGACGATTGTAGGACTGCCGGAGGGACTTGTACAAAGTGGCCAGCTATTCTGACATTTAAGGAATTCCAACCCTCCCTATTTGATTGGGAGTCTCCTAATTTGTTGTGTTGCCTCCCATTCTTCTGATTTTTGTTTAAATCTCCTTATTTATCATGAAATTCCAAACAGGTTTTTTTGGTTTTTTGTGCGATCTGAGGGTAGAACATTACACAACACTTTCCTCACGTATAATGTTTCATAGAATAACTCAGAAATGATAGCAAAATGCAGGAAACGGCACTTGAGAAAATCTTACTTTCCAAAATTTAGAGGGAGCAAGCTCTCAGAACTCCCTAGACAATTGCACCTTTGACACTGGAAATAGCTTCTTGAGTTTGCATTTAGCCAGGAATAATTCTCCTAACAAACAGGCTCTAAGCTTCCACTCCCCAAATGAGCTACAAAGCATGAAAATGAGCTATCCACTTGCTGCCTATGCAAACTAGCCACCAAAATAGTGTATATTTTTTAGTTGATGATTTTATTAATTCAAGTTAGTAGAACAGTAGCTCCTGTAGTCAACAGATAATGACTCAGTCAATTCCAAGCATGGATTTGTCAGAAAACCACTGCCCAGGGGTGGAGCATTTGTCAATTCTTCTAGAAGTGCTTAACGTCATTCCTTTTCCAACATTTCACTTAAAATATGCTTATATAGATAGGTTTAGATATTTCTATAAAGAATATTTTTAATGCTTCAAAAAGATACTTGTGATTTTCACTCCATCACTTCCCTACCGCACAGTATTTTTTGCGTCTATCTAAGAAATTGCTTCCTGCCATCGTGATCAGTTCACACATGCAGGAAAAACAATCGATGTATTGTTTGAAGAGTTTAAAGAAAAAGACAGTGGTTTCTTTGTGCGTAAATAGTTGAGGCAGAAAAAAAAATTCTGTGAGATATTTGAAAGCTTATATAAACTTTGTCAATTGTACGATCAATGCAACAATTAATACACTGTCAAAACCATTCTATGGTGATGAGAAAATACACTCATTTTAAGCTCGTCTGTTGTTTGTTTATCATTTACCATATTAAATATCTTTGAAAATAAGAAAGGTATTATTAAAATTCTAGTTTATAGTTCAGTCAATGGTCATTGATATTAAAATAATATCAGATCAATGTGATCTTTTTTGCAATAATCGTAACTAGCGGCTAGGAGCGATTTGCATAGGGTGCTTCACACGTTTTGATCAAATTATTACAGATTTCCCACAAATATGGTATTTGCAGTTTATTTACTGAAAAATGCAATTTTGTTGTTGTCCTGGGATGGGGCGTTTGCACACTAACATTAAGCCCCACCATGCTGTCTTTGTTTGAACCACCTGGCCCCACCATCGGGCATTTGCAGCTTTTCCAAAACAAACTGATAAATCCCCCCAGGGGGGGAGGGGGGATGGGCACTCTTGGAATTGACTGAGCTATAAGTTTAAGTTATACACATCCAAAGATATTAAGCAAGTTGTGGCAATATGGATAAGAGTGCTCTAAGGTTAGTTTAGGTGGAAGATTTTAACCCATTCACCCCTGGAGATTTGGCCAAAAAATGCGTTTTGAAGCTTGTCCAGCAGCTTTCTGGCCACTGTCGTGCTATAAAGAGCTAAAACTTACACAAAGTCATTTACAGGTCGTACACTTTGTGGCCTTCTGATCCAGATGCAAAATATTAGCATGCAAAGTTCGGGCATGCCCAGAAAGCAAAATTTTGAGATTTCGGGGGTCGTTACTTTCGGATGGCTAAAACATATACTCCACTTGGGCACTTCAAAAATTAAAATTGCAAAAAATGTGAAAGGAATACTTTTTGAAAAAAGGTAATGTATATCCTGTACTTTTAGAGTTATGAATGGGAATGTCAAATTAGCATTATTAATAAACCTCCGATCAGTGTGGCCTTTGTTTAGGGTATCTATCATATCTGTTATTTTTTTGCAAAAAGGGAAATTAGTTTTGAGGTCTGTACTTTCAGAGGGTCATTATTTTCTGGGGGAATGCTTCTTTTGGGAGTTGCTAACACTTGTGACGTTTTATGGCTACTTTCAGAGGTTTGTCACTTTCAAAACTTTATGGTATCACTCTGAGGAATGTATCATTTCTTAAAATAAAAAATATTGAACAATTGCTATAGAAACTTGGCCCCTCCATGCTACAATGTATATAATTTATCCACTGCTTTTATTATCACATTTTTGTAGGGTTCCAACAGCAGCTGCATGGACAACAGGAGCAGCAATTGCATTTTTGTTTGTTTCAGACTGGAAGGTTGTGACAAAGAGAATTCCTTTTATCAAGGACAAATATGATCACGAAATTCCTAAGTAAAAGGTACGTGATTTTACTTCATTTTTAGATGGATTTTTTTGCTAAGCCATGTGCGAGTATCCTGGACCCAGGGAAATGCCGCAGCTGGTATGGACTCACATGGGTTTGAGACCCTTTGAGAGAACAACAGAACAATGTTCATAGCCCCCCCAGCCCCCCCACCCCCCCCCAAACAATACCAATAGAACAAGTTGTATTCAAGGATTGATAGAGTTCATTTGAAGATAGATGGTACAACTGAATTCATATTGTTTTTGATGCTCTTATCACACTGTTGTCAAGTTTTGTGGTATGCAATGATATTTTTGTATCTGGCTCACAAAACGTACAGTCAATTTTTAAATCTTTCATCCAGACAACATTAAAAAAAAGCAAACTGTTAACAAACTAAGGTAGAAGTTTTAAGCACTTTCAAATGGCTACTAGTTCCAATCGTTGGTTTAGTAAGTTACCGCCCTGCCCTGTATTTTGAGTTTTAAGTCAAAACAGAGATCAGAGACTATCTTTTGTTAAATTTAAAGCTATTTGTTCTTTAAGCCACTTTTTAAAATAATCTAGCAATGACTAGAACAAGCAAATAATAGTTTTGGGCTTACAGGCGGTCATAACAACTTTTTTTAATAGTATGACTCATCAGAAACAGGCCTTGACTGAGCAAAAATTTCTTCGGCCAGTCAACGTGTCTGGCAACTGCTTGAGAATTATTTTGAGCTCTGAATGTTATACTTAGAAGAGATTTTAGCTGATTTGAAGATCTTATGTGGTTAAAAAGTGGGTGGTGAATATACAATAATTTATTGCCTTTGAAAAATGAGTACAATAGATTAGATGACCAGCTGTGTACTCCAATTCACTTTCCCATCCTGAGAAAATGTTGGTCCTGAACGGATTGATTGTGTGAAAAAGTAATATGGATCATAACACAATGTAATCATCAAAAAGAGAACAGACAGATAAGAAACTTGTGTTAATTAGTGAAATTGCTTGATAACCTGTTATTACATTACCACAAACTTCTTTTATTTCTTTTTCTAGATCAGCAGAAATTTAAAGTGAGAAGATTTCTTCACCAATTGATGTTGAAACATGATGCCCGCAATTTGTTTTGTTGAGGACCTTTTCTATCACCTTAAAACGAATGACTAAATGTTTGGTTGGTGTTGGCAATAAACATGTACAGGACTTGTCTTTTAAAAGTGATCTTCTTCAATATTTATTTATTTATTTATTTATTTATTTATTTATTTACGTAGGTTCGCCAATTCTTGGCAGGGTCACCGCAACAGCACGTGGCGCCACTGTGCAGGCCCTTGAAAGTCTGCCCCCTCCCCACCCCCCATGAGAGATAGACCACCACCGAGAGGCAGTTAGCGCAATTTAATTAACTTAATTTACTTTGGTCACCCCTGCTCATTCTGTCAAACTCTGGCTTGTGTGTAAAGAGACAATAATTCTAATGCTGATACAAATTACGGTCAACACTTGGCAACAAGAGGTCTTTCCCTAATCTCAGGGAGCCTTAAAAGTGTAGAACTAAAGATCATCATTGAAGTCAGTATTCTACATTACCACATGATGATTGAATGCTTTTCAGTCAAGTAATTTATTCGTAATTTTCAAGTAATGTTCTTGCCATCCAATATATAAACCACACACATCTCATTATCTGTTATTTGCTCTAACAAAGGGTTAGTGTGCAGCTTTTCAAGTTTTTACTGTGGCAAATATACCATTTATAAGGCAGCTCCTTGCAGTCTAAACAATGTGAAACTCAGTGAGGAGAAAAACTACTGGTACTTAACTAAATCATTTATAGAATACTCAGCGGTTGGTTCTTGGGTATCAATATGTGCGAGTTCAGTTTCCAACATCATAGGCAGCCTGGCATTATGTACGGCTGTTATGTGTAAAAGGGATCGAAGTAACATTAAAAAGATCAGTAGATTATCAAGGTAAAAGAGCTAAAGGGTAAGTTAATTGATTCCTTGGCACTCACCTTGCCAAATCCTCTGAACAATAACTTTCCATCAAGGGTGAGGTGATGTGCTGCTTGTGGTCTGGCTGAAGTAAAGAATGATTTCAGCCCCACCCTTCGCCTGGGAGGCTGACCAGTGATATCCTGGGGCCAGTTATGTAAACCTTTAAACGTCAGTGGCCTGATAAACCATGTGAAATTACCCAACACCATCGCTTCGATGGGGAAACCAGTGTTGGCATCAGGTAACATCTGGTTTTTGAGTGTGCTAAAGGTCAGTCAAATCTGTTACGTCCGACGTTCAGATTTACAGTCTATACCCTGGTTAGCTATTATGACAGTTTTTGTGGGTCTCACTTCAAAGGGGTAAGTTCTGAACAACAGTTCAAACCGAATTTTTAAGGAAAGAAATGCCTTTTTCGTCCTAACCGTCAGTATAACCCTTCACTGTTTTTTTTTTTTTTCAATCAACGTGGAGTGCTTACCACATTAGTAGCTACTCTCCCCTCTGTAATAGGAAAGAAACCTGCAAAACCAAAAAAGAAAGTAAAAGAAAAAAGGCATAATGTGTGCGCCAGTCAATGGCACACCCGGGGGAGGTGCTACCATAATTCCTGACCGATGTGTGCCACCGAGTGTATTATAAATGGAAATTGACTACCTCGGTTATGGCCCAAACCCAAATAACGACACGCTTTTCAAGAGGGAATCAAAAAGATGAAATTTAATGGTAATACACAAACCTCAATTTAATCACAATCAAGATACCCTAAGGAAAAGTTATTTTAGTTTTAACAGATCATTTGTTTGTCGTGTAGCTGGGCATTTACGCACTTGAATCTTAGCTGAAACTTAGGTACCCTATCAAGGATCACACCTGGAACAATGCCAACAAGGGGCGAAAACCTTACCCTGTCGGGTAGCCTGGGGGACCAGACGCTTTTTTTAGTTGGCTTGTTCACAGACCCTCTGTTTTTCTCTTCTTATTTTTCTTTCTCGCGCTCCACGCTCGTTCTCGCACGCTCGCGAGCTCGCCAACGTTTTCGAAAAGAACGAAAAGAAAAATAAAATAACATCTGTATACAGGCAAGGTTTCACCCGCCGACAAGAGCCGAAAAAAGCGTCTGTTCCCGCAGGCTACCTTTTGGGCAGCACATACCTGTCTCATAATTTATACTCCCGCTCCAGATGGCACGTGTCTGACTTGTCAGTAAACAAGCCGAAAGCTTTATCAGTTTACTTTTCACTGGGGTGTTTGAGTCATTTGTTCTGCTCTTGATGGTGAAAGACAACAATGGCCAGGTAGTAGTGCAGTCGTGCAATAAAAATTAAAGTGAGACGAAAAACACGCCAGACTGGCATATGTCGCGCGTGTACGTCCACGGTCTAGCCTGCGGACACAGCTCAGACGTATTTCCGATCGTCGCTTCTGTCGAAAAGCGACGACCGGAAATACGTCTGAGCTGTGTCCGCAGGCTACCCACGGTCTTTTGCGGGTGATAGATGACAGTCACATGACAACCCTGTCGGAGGAAATCAAAATGGCGGACGGCAGAGCTGCTGTAAGGATTATCTTGTTGGTTGGATGTTTTTGCTTATCGTCAGCGATATTTTCCTCAAATGATAATCAAGAAAGGAAGGTAAGACATAGCAAATATGTACTGAAACTCACTGAAGGGTTTTTTTTTTCGGTGAACTATATCCGAATTGAAACCAACCCGCTTATGTAGTACAAAATACTTGCGTGAGGTATCTTGTCAGTGTCTTGTTTGTATAAAATTTTATTAAATTGATCACTACTTGTGCCATGTGTTGATTCCCACACTAAAAAACTACAACGTAGTACTTGCAGTGACAGTACAGGAACCCTGCCAGTGGCAGGTGATCCTGGGATGTTTCCTTTTTTGCCTTCTTGGACGTTTTCAGAATAGGAACATACTTTGCTAGTCACATGTTATTTCCAAATAAAATTCAGCACGGGACCGGTCGTTTTGATACAAGTTACTTCTATACAAGTTAATTCAGTCGAGGTGGAAACAGTTTCACGTACTTGGCTTAAAGAACATGGAATATTCAACCCATCACAGCATTCTGGTATAGCATCCATCAAGGGAGTTTGTCTTAGCAATGGTGAGAGTACACATGACGAGCTTTGAAGCGCGAAAAAATTTTATGCAAATTAGCTGGCTGCACATTGAATGTGCAGCCAGCTAATTTGCATAAGTAATTCAAATCCAAGGTCTGACAGCTCTAGGCTTTTGAGGTGTCGGCTGAATACCCTAGGACTTCCGTAAATTGTCCACAAAAGAGTACCTCAAGCTACCATATACTGAAATGAAAGTAACCACAATATCCAATTAAAGCAAGGTTTAAATCTTTTTCTGGTCCGCTAACCGCTCTTCCAAGGCACTTATTATTTCGGTAATAATAAAACGGCGTAAACATTTTACATTGCACCTTTATCAGTCTCAGGCAGTAAGATAGTATGAAATGGAGGTAAACTCCAGAATTCAGTTTTGTGACTGCACTGCAATTTTGAAACTATTTAAGCCGCTTCCTAAAAGGTCGGGAAAATGTTTTTCGTAAAATTCGTAAACGTAGCTCCTTAGACTCTAATTTAACATTACCAAATTTAACAAACGCACTAACTACTTTATGGTCCTGTATCAGTATGTAAAGGCATCAAATCCTTATAAAGCCGACAGGAACAACAATTAACAGACAAGTACCAATATGATTTAAGATTTTTTTTACTGCTTTTATATCAAGCAAATGAAATAGTCCTGGCGATATGTCATTATCGCAAAATCACCAAATTCAGAGGCTCCTAGATCACTAACACAAAATACTGCAATAAATGTTCTTATACCGCTCTTTTACTCCACCCGGCAACACTCGTGCCAAAATCAAGTTCAAGCGCGTGCTAAAAAAATAAGATGGATTGAGAGAAAGCTGTTAATTGATCATGAATATTCAAAAAGAGTAAGAGTTGAATAAGATTATCACCTCCATAAGTCAAGTAAGTCAATGTTATGTATTTTTTGGGTATACATTAGCCGGGATACTACAGCATTGATTAGAGTGTTTTTGCAAGTTAACTGTAGATTTCAGGTATACACTACCCAGGATACTACAGGAATGATTAGAGCATTTTTGCAAGTTAACTGTAGATTTCAGGTATACACTACCCAGGATACTACAGGAATGATTAGAGTATTTTTGCAAGTTAACTGTAGATTTCAGGTATACACTACCCAGGATAATACAGGAATGATTAGAGCATTTTTATGACTCAACTGTAGATTTCAGGTATACACTACCCAGGATACTACAGGAATGATTAGAGCATTTTAACGGTCGAGTTAACTGTAGATTTCAGGTATACACTACCCAGGATACTACAGGAATGATTAGAGCATTTTTGCAAGTTAACTGTAGATTTCAGGTATACACTACCCAGGATACTACAGGTTAATACTATGCAACACAGATAACAAAAGCTCAGGAAACAAGGGGACCCAGCATGACCCAGCGAGGTTAATTGTCTGCGAAATTTTTTTGAGAAGAGCTGACTCTCTCGAGTGTTGAACTAGAATAGAATAATCCAGAATAATAATTTTAAACATCAAATGCTACTGATATGATTATTAAGTTTTGTTACCTGTCTGGAGTCTCCTTTTTTCTTGATTACTGATGTCACTGATCTGGGCGCCAAACAAACACGCACGATACATATTTCCCACCAGAAATAATTAAAAGCACTTTCATGAGACGGTGATCAAAATGCAAAAGCAAAATAGGAAAGCGCCAAATGCTAGAGGCTAGCAATTGTTTGTTGGGCGGCGTGTGATAGAGCAAAATTGATAAAATATCGAGAAATCTGGACAGAATCTTTTTGGAATACATTATCAAAAATTATGTGAAATACATCATCAGAGAACACGTGCGAAAAAAATAATTTGCGCTCGATATTTTTTCTCGGTATTTTACATCAACAAAAAACTGGAGTATTAAAAATCACGACTTACCAGCCATTGCTCGGCTAAACAAAGCTAAACTTACCAAAGTCGATAACCAAGTAAGGATTTCCTACAGAAATAATTTGCCACTCTCGTTTAGCAGGGTAGTGGTTGAACTTGATGTAGGTTAAAACGGATTTGTTTTGCCGGCATCTTCCCGTTAAATTAAAGTAGATTTAACACTTGCCAGGAGTAATTAGAAATCTAGCCATTTTGCTCATGGCTTCGCAAATGCAACCAGCATTATACAGTAAAGCAACAGAAACTTTACCAAAATATTCACACGCGACAGTCCGGACAACCTCAGTAAATCTAACAAATGAAACAACATACTGAGAGAAGAAAAAAAGGCTTCATTGATTGTTTCCGGCAGGCGGTGACAAGTAATGTATGAGATTAGAAGACCTCCTGGTCAGAATTTTTTTGTAACCTAAGCCCATCATGTACAGGTCTCACACCCATAAAGCAGTATCAATGCAATCAATGCCTTTATTTTTAATCTCTTTTCTTGGATTATTTGACCAGATTTTCCGCTTGTCATGGGGAGCCTTCCAGAATAGAGCTTTCCAAACCTTAATGTCCTTGTCATTAAAATAATAAGTTAATTTACACAATTAAGATACCTTAGTATTACTCAATGGTTGCTGAGGGTGAAGATGTTATCAGCACATGAAAATCACTAATGATTTTCAAGGGCCAGTTAATTTGCAAGACCAACAGAACCTCTTTGGGCTGGTAGAATCAAACACACCAGTTGTTTGCATTGCACTTAACTTCTTGACCCTGTCAAAAATTTGTTTTTCTAATAATATTCAATTTGAAATGTTTCAAAACTTCCGGCATTAAAAAATACTTCCTTTATTGCACATTACTCATATGTCAGTAGCAAAGTTTGAATTATTTCTTTGGCAGTATTCTATTTTTGTCCACCAGTTGAAGCACGTGTTAGAACAAATCCCTCAGGTGGTCATTAAAACCTAATCAGCCTTCATTCCAAAATCTAAACTTAACTGATTTAAACGTGGAATTGGGTTTGTGATATCAAAGAAATAACACTCAGGTCTCTGGGCATTGCATCTGGGTTACTATAGAGTTGACCAAAACCAGAAACTGCATGCAAAAAGTCTCTGGCCCCAAAGGTAGGCTGTTCATTGTATGAAAATTGTGCACTTGTCTTCCAATTGTTAAGGCCATGTTCTTGACTTGATACTTTTGTATTTTGTAAACTATTCTGAGGAGGTTCAAGCACCTGCTTGAATTAACATTGTTGACTGTATACTGGAATGATTGTCTTGTTCTTTTTCAGATTAGCATTGTGGAGTTTTTGTGTGAGTCTCCCAGTTACCCTGATTGTCGGGGTAAACATTACAGTATAATTCATGTTGTAGCAGAGAGTCTTGACAAAAGAAGTGCTATTCATTACCTTTGGTCTGTCATTTACTCACCAACAATTGTCATGGCCTACTTTGAGAAAACTGGAGTGAATGTCACTGTAGACTGGAAAAAAGTTCTCACGAATGGAAACTTAACAGATGGAATAAGTTTCACTGAATACAGTGAATACATTACAGCACTTGTTATTCCTGCAATCTATGAATTCCAGGATCCAAAGGATGCACTTTTTTATACTGATTGGAAAAAAGTCAAAGCTGACACTATTGTGAAGCATCCATTTCACAAACTGAATTGGGAAAAACCAGTTATTGACCGTGAAAACAATATAACAACATTTAAGGCAAGTATGTTGGGAGGAGAAGTTACATTTCAGGTTAGTCATGAAATCCACCTTAATTTTGTTCCTTTTTTTGCTTTCATTCGAATGTAATCCTTCCCTCTATTGTCCAGTCAGATTGTCTAGCAGATACCTAAAGTAATCTGTAGGTTGCAGTGATTTCAAAATTAACTGTAGGCTCTTTGTCAGGCAATAAAAAATTTCAGTGCGCAAATGTACAGCCATGCCCATATGATGCAAATAAATTTTTTCACCCAACGATTGGTTGAAGACAGGATGGACATGGGACTCACAAGCATGCAAACGGCTTGTGGATTCTCTGTTCTGTATCACATGTTCCCTCGAAAACAATACACTCTTTGTTCTTTTGTTCTTTTTTCTTTGTATCCTTACATTACCATTATGACTGTTACATCAATTCGAGATTTTTTCTGCCCCTGGAACAATCACGCATGGCTGTATTAGGCTGCCGCTTTGCAGCCTCGTGTCTTTGAGAGGCTGCTCTTTGGCAATAAACATCAATGAAATACCAGGTGAGCTTTTGTGCAAAAACATGTGTAAATAACACATTATCTTCACATGTGGAAAGATCACCATTGCCATCTCTTCATGATAACTTGTGCCTTTGGTAACAAAAAAGTATTGAAATGAAATGCAAAGTAAGATGGTTCGGTATTTTATTGGTGTTTATGTAATAAGTAGAGTATTACATGGCTGCTTTAAATGGTTTTTCAACACTCAAAGAGCTGGCACTTATTATCTTCTTTGTATTATATTATAAATATTTGGAATTTGTTGTGTGATTTGTTTGTTGTCCCATTTACAAAGTCCAGTATATCTCTAGATGCCATATCCTTGCAGCTGCCTCATATTATATAAACATGTAAAGTCATGTCAGTTAAGCTGATATTCCTTATTTCCAGTATTATATCAAGCACTGTTAAAAGACATGAAAAACGGGTAATAATTATTATTACATCAGAATCAAGCACTTAAGTACTGAATCTATCAGCATGTACATTAAATTTTCACAAAGTAAAATTCATTGTACAGTATTAGCAGGAAGTTAGTAAAACTCTTTCATTTTTTTTCTCTGTAGTGCAATGCATCTTTTCACCAAGAGCGGGAGTCAGTCCTACCACGCCAACAGTCATCCAGCAACTCTACAGTGTTAACCCTTACACTAAATAACTTGACAAAGCTTAACAAAACCAGAGGAAACACTCGTTTTATATTTGAACTATACTCACTAACAGCACAGCAAAGTGAAAGTACTACATGTGTTAAAGCTGAAAAATATATAGATGATGAATTTACGCCTGCAGTTTTTAAGACCATTATTGTCAATAGTACTGGCACGGGTGGTACAGCATACAGTGCATGGAAGCCTGTTGCCTACATAGACAAGAAGAGAAGTTTGGAGGAACAAGTTCCCTCTTATGCATATTACAGGAATTCTCACCATTTTATATCTAGCCACTGTGATTCTCTTCCATATTCTCCATATCACCCTTCTTCATTTAGCATAGCATACCATTTAGAGAAGTATACATTTCTGTCTTATGGAATGAACATCTCATTTGGACGACAGAAGGATGGATGGTATGATGGTAAAGAAGCCAAACGTTATCTCAGTTGGTAAGTGAATGAAGCCCCACTAACAGAAACCTTCAGGAGCTCCAGACAGATATTCCCAACTACAGTCCCTGCAATTTCACCTCTCAAACCTGCATTTTTAACTTCTTGCAAACACACAAACACCACATTTTTCAGGGTGCAAAGAAGCTAAATTTACCTTCAGTGGACAACAAAGTAAATCTAAACTGAAATTTAACATAAATAGGTAAATAATAATTCCACATTTATTGAAATTCCACATTGGAACAAGTAATTAATACTAGTGTACAGGGTTGTCACTAAGATTTCAAGTTGCTGGGTAAATACAATAAGTACATGTAGGCGGGGAATCAAACAGCTAGGGATTTTGGTTTCTTTTGGTTTTATTTTCTTCTATTTCCGTACAAAAATGGCCGGGGACCACGTTCATAGTAACCGGGGGAAATCCCTGGCCCCCAGCTCGAAATGACAGCCCTGAGTGTAGTTGTTTCTTTCCAATTCTGTACATCAATAATTGAAATTCACAAATTTCTAGGCAACAAGGATCTTTCATGTGCTCTTCATTAAAATTAATTCTCTGATGGCAGGCCTTGAAATAACATTATCATTCATTCAAAATATTTCTCTGTTTCTGATTAGCTCAAATCCCACCGCTAATTCTTCATAACCAGCTAGTATTGACCAAATTTGGAAGACATTTGAGATATCTGCAAAATGATGTTTATAGAATACAACTATCCCCCAAAGGGGAGGTGAATAGGGGTGGATATGTGTGCTGAGACATGAAGCATTGAGGTGTATATAGATCTACCACTGTTCACTGATCCTGAAGGTGATAGTTGTTTTAGTATTTACCAAATCAGTTGGATAAAACTGAAAAAAGTAACTTTTTGTCAATTAAAAATGTCACTTAGTAGGACTTTTGTGTACAGTTTACAAACATTTTGAGGATTTTGTCAAGTGCATTTTACAATTTTGTTGTAAATTTAGCATGAAAATAATTTTCTACCTACCACTGAACACCGACAAGCCAAAATTCATCACTTTGTATGACTGCTTCATTTATCGGAGAAATTTCATCGTCCAAAAATGTCTCGAAACGAGATGTCAAGGATATTCCAAGTTACGGGAGCCAATCAAAACTCGCGAAAATTGCTGTTCACTGATTTTTGGTAAACACTAATACAGAATGAAAAAGGATGGCAAACAAGACACCCTGGAGGCACGGTTGTGTTGTTTTGGTAGAGCAAGGCAAAACAGAAGATATAACACCATCCGAGATCTGCATAATTCTTCAGATCAAATTTAAGTCAAATCCAATAATTGCTGAAGATTTCTAGAAAAGTTGTCGGGTATGCATTTTGCAAAATATGTTGATCTCTTACAGGCATTTGGTGATTTTATCACTAAAACAACAAAGAGACTAATAAAAATGAAATAATAAATATCTTTGCAAGCCCAAGAGCTGGAGATGAGTCATTGATGCTGTCATTGTTTTTCTCTGTGTGTCTTCCATGCGATTTTCCAAGAAATTTCAAGAAAATTTAATGTTCAAAAACTTTATTATTATTTATGGTAAAAATGAAACACAGTGACATACTAGTAGCTTCTCTTTTCTACACTCCTAAGGATCAGAGATGCTGGCAAAATTTTTAAACTCGTCTGCAGCTTGTGGTTGCACTTGAGTTTTGAAAATCATTGACATCATGTCTAGCATAATCAGAGTGTAGACAATGGAAAATTGTTGTCAATTTGTTATAAATAAATATAGACAATTCATCTATTGATTTCATTCTTTTCACAGCTCTATTAATAAATATTTGATTCTTCTTTGTTTTTTACTTATATTTAGGTCTGCGGTTGTAGGATATGGACGTCCACTGTCAGACCATTTTTCTCCAGTGGTGCTGATTATCATTATCGTAGGCTTTGGTGCTCCATTGCTTCTTATTTTTGTCACTGTTGTTTATATTATTGTCAAGAGATTTAAAGCCAAAAAGGCAGCATCATCGTATGGTATAATAAACTGACATTGGTGGTAATTTTAAGAACCAATGTAGTGTGGTTTATGAATACATACATTCTAACCAAATAATTAAAACGTCTTAGTATTGATAGCTGGATAGTAAACATCCATTATTTGAAGTAAATGGACCCAAACTATCTGCACTTGTAAAGAGCCTTACGTTTGTGGGTTTTTTTTTGAGAATTTAAAAAGAAAGTTTGTGACAAGATTAACATATTTAATGGGGCATCACCATTCGATGTATAGCAGAATAAGAACAACCAAACTTTGCAACTGTGCATACACACTCAATTTTTCAGTTTTAAAATTGCCTTTACCTATGGTTGATGAAAAGGACTGTGGCTAGGAAAAACTGGGCTCAATTTTTCATTTGCAACTTTGCTTTTGCACAAGCCTTTTTTACAACCCCTCTTTCTAATAAAATTAATTTGACTTTGAGACCTTTAATATATTGTATGTTCTTTTCAACTTATTATTTGTACAATATTAATTTCATCATTACACTAAATGACCTAAGAAATGAGAGAATGAGGCTAGCCGTGCATAAACAAAGCTTTTCAAATCTCCTGGAACAAAATGGCTGCCGCGTGACAAAGGTCTATTACTCCAAAATACCAGGAATAAGCAAAAAGGAGCAATTCATTCCAGCGGGGCTAAAGTGCAGGGCACAGGTTACAGGTCAGGTCACAGGTTACAGGCCACAGGTCAGGTCACAAGCCACAGATCACAGGTCACACAAAAAAACAACAGGACACTGGACAAAACTGTTCTGGACTGACGTTTTACTATACAAAAATGAAATAAGCCAAGGAACCTTGATGATATTTTTGTGCTTTAAACAATGTTAAATTCCACACATGGAATAATATTTTCATGCTGATCATACGGCATATCCAAACTTCGTAACGAAATCACAAAGGTCTGCAAAATCATGTGATTTGTACGAAAAACAAATCACATGTTTTTTACTGAAAACGAAGTGTTGTCGTGTTATTAGAATGTCATCTCCAAATAAACCGTGCAGCCAAGATAACTTGGAACGAGTCATTGACATGTAGCACTGTAATCCTTTGATACATCAGCAGTTTGCAGAGTCAAAGATTCAAGTTGTAATGTCGGAATGCTCCCATCTAAGGCCCACGAGGCAGATCCAACAGAGGTTTTTCAAGCTGTTGTACAACAGAACGTGAGAAAATGGCAAGCTCTTGGGAGAAGAACCGAGAAATATGGTCCAGCAACTATTCAAGAGGCCCATATAGCAGTGTCTGAAGATCTTAGCCGACTACACTTTAACACAGCAGTATTTTGTGACTGGTACGAAGCGCGAGCAGCAGGCCGCCATCTTCAAAAGAGATGGAAGACCGATCTAGTGGCAAGAAGAGTTTAGGACGAGGAAAGTCTGAAGAAAGTTGCAGTATTTCAGTGGTCAAATAAGTTTTAGACTGTCCTTAAGTTTTTCTTCCGTTTTCCCGTCGAATGCTTTTCAAAACATCTACAAACACGTCGTGATCTTCGTACCTTTGTGTTTTCGTTACCAACTTTGGTTACACTGTAACGCAAGTCCTCCTTGCGTGATCAACATGAATATATTTTCTCATGTGTGGGATTTGGTAAAGTTCAGAACAGAAAAAATATAATTGAGGTTCCTTGGCTTGTTTTATTTTTGTAAAATAAAATGTTAATCAGGAACAGTATTGTCCAGTGTCCTATTGTTTTTGTGTGTGACCTGTGATCTGACCTGTGACCTGACCTGTGGCCTGTGGTCTGACCTGTAACCTGACCTGTGACCTGTGACCTGCACTTTAGCCCCGCCGGATTTCTAGACGGCCAGACATATCAATTGATGGAGTGGATATTCGGCTATTTTAAAACTCTCTACTGATATTTTTGCCAAAAGCATATTAGTTTTCTTGAGCTTGTTACAGTTATGAGAAAGAATGCCTCTGTCTTTTGACAACCCCTGCTTGGACCCCTGAAATTAAATAGACACCCCAGGCGTTGATTAGGTCATTTATGGAACACCAAGAAACAGCTAAAAATAGTAATTCTTTCAACATCTGCAGGAGGAAAAATAATAAAGATAGCAAAAATGTATGTTAATCACTTATATTTTTGTATATTGATAATAAAATGCCAATTATTGGAAATATCATTCTCTGATCTTTATAATTTGGTTGTTATCGTATCTCATGGCACAGTTTGCTAAGAATAACAAATTTTTTAAGAATAAATTTTTATGCCTTTGTACACTCAAAATGTCAATTATTTTATACAATGAGATGCATTGCTCAAGCTTGTTTACTTGGTTCATTGTAAAGAGAAAAAAAAATGTATTAAATAAAATGGCTTAGGGCATAGCCTTAGAGCTACCTTTATATAAAAATCAAACTTCATTTTCCAGTGAAAATGAGAGGAGCACAAGAAATCCTAAATAGTTACTGATGTCTAGTAATTATTGGTGATGCCTGTAACCAGTATGATAAAAAGTCACCAGTCTCTATGTTGAAACAATTGAAACCTTGATGGAGCCAAACTTATTTAAGGATTACACATGTGGTGTAAGTATCTCAAGTTCATAAAATTATTAGAGATAAAAACCGTCTTTCCAACAAGAAGATCATCAATCCATGAATGAACTATGTGGATGTAAAAAAATATCGTCAGGCTGATACAGACATTTCATCAGTTAGCTACTTCTAAATCTGCCATACCAGAATTTATTATTTTCTGATAAATGAGAAATTTTAAGAATTTAATGGTACGGAAACGCAGACTCGGAAAGTTCTCGAAGTTAAACAGATCTTCAACGTCAGGTTATTACAAATATTATAATTATCATAATATTATTCCCTTATTTTGGCTGGAATTAAACCTGTACTTCAGTGACTGAATTGTCTGTAAACAGAACACAGGACTCACACATCCTAGTGGAACTCAATAAATTTGGTAATTTAGCTTGAACTATGCATGGTTTTTGTCTTCCTCAGAGAAAAGCCAATCTACCGGTGTCTTGGAAATACAGTCAAACTTCCTATTATAAGTGTCCACCCTGTTAACAAAATGCTGAGATTTGGCAGTCACTCCCAGCTATCAGACAAAAACATCACAAACAAGACTTTGGATAAACAAGGACCTTTATATAGGTAACAATAAAAGAAAGAAATAGAGGTTATTACATTAGAAATAGAGGTTATTACATTATTACATTTCCCTTGAGTGTTGATGAATATTTCACGAGTAAGTGAGATAAACAAGTGAAATATTTTTTAACTTAAGAAGATAAGATTTGTATCTCCAAATGGGCATTTTAGGAATGTTAAAGACGTTTATGAAATAAATCTAATATAAGAACTGCGGAAATGAAATCAAATGAAGAATGATCCTCGGCATTGTGAACGCAATTGATGCAATTGCATAAGAAGCCCGAAAAAAATTCAGGACTTCAACGAGGTTTGAACCCGTGACCTCGCGATACAGGTGCGATGCCCTAACCAAATGAGCTATGCAACCACTGATGTTGGTAGCTGGTTCACACCCCGACCCGTTGAAGTCCTGAATTTTTTTCAGGGTCCTTACGACAATTGCATAAATTGCGTTCACAACTGGGAGGATCATTCTTCATTTGGTTTAAGAATGTTCCATTAATTATATTAACTCCGACGAAATTATAAGTCATTTCACTTTTAATATAATTAATTTTTGGTGGGAAAGGTGCAATCTATCATGAAGCCATAGCAACGGGAATCTTTTCCAGGAGAAGATAACATTTCATTTCCACATGTGAAGATATCATTATGTTTTCCCTTAAAAGCTCAACTGGTTTTCCATTCAGTTGCATTGGTTAAATAATACATATTATTAAAAACTGAATCATTGGATGCAACTCTACAGCTCTGATTGGCTTAGCCATCATGGTATCTGAGCCATTTTATTGCTCTCCAAATATGGTAACTGTACGCGTCTGCTGAAAGTTAAAAACAAGCTGAAAATCGGTTGTTTTTACAAATAAAGTCGGAAAGAATTCTCGATATTTTGTGGGCGTTTTTAATAAAACAATTATTCCACTAGCTCTTGTTAGATATGAGATGATTATAGCCAAATCATATCCAACGTGCACTCGTGGAATAATTGTTAATTATCTTTAGTTTTCTTTGTTTAGAATAGTGCTTGAGGGTCCCTCTTTTGGTTGCTGGCCATTGCCACACCAAGAAGTTAAAAGACTTAACAAGGGCCACAAAATTAAGGTGTCTATCTGAAAAAATGCACTGCTTGTAGTCTGGTATTTGCGCAACGAGTAGGAAATAAACATATATATATAACCTGCAGTCTTAACTGGAAGCTAAGAGAATGAAACATTTGATTCAAGCTTCAAGACTTTATTTCAACAACAATACTTTCAAAATGTACATGTAGAGAACGCATGTTTTATTAATAATTGAATTCAACAACATATTAGCAGGAAATTAAAAAAGGCAGAGTATTTAATCAAAAATATGCATCAAGTTCAAGTATAAAAAGCATCGATGCAATACAAAATGTTTCCTCTGATAGTAAAGACAGGAAGTTACAGCCACAAATATTTACCAGATAGACAGTTACTACTGTATAAAATAATTAACTAATTCAAAAACATATACTCTTAAAGTGGTTTAAAAGGCTGTGGTTAAGAAGGTTCACAGGTTAAGAAGACAAGAGATAGTGGGTTTCATAATTTACAGTATAAAAATATAACAATTGAAAGACTAAAAGAATATATAACATCTGGACTCAAAAACACTTTCAGCATCAGCCACAGGCCAGTTGCACTCATCCAAGTCCATCATGGCGTCCGCGGATTCGTCTGGCAAGCTGCATATCTCTGGGCATAACAGTTACTCGTTTGGCATGTAGTGCACATAAGTTACTGTACGGACAAAAACAAACAAGAGAAAAGACAACAAGCACCAAAAAAAGTCAAACAACCCATTCATGGACTGAACTTTGTAATAAACGTGAGTGAAGTAAATGGGGGCACTCCAATATTTTCATAAAGGTTTATAACTTGGCATAAAACCTGCAAAATTTGTCGTTAATTCACCTAAGAAGGGACCATGAACATGGCATTTTTGAGAGAATAAATATCAAACTGAGATGGAAGTACCGAAAATGATTATCATATTTTATACTCCAAACCCATGTAAGGTTGAGCTGGAAATTCCCATGAAAATCTTGTTCCACTACCCACCTACCTTTCCTTTCATCTAATCCTAAGATCCTAAAAGCCTTCCGAAAAACGTTTCCCCCCAAAATGAAGTCTACTAAATGCCCAGCAAAAGGAAAGAAAAAAAGAAAAAATAAATGAATCAAGAAGAGGGGAGGAAAGAAAGCGAGAAAAAAAAGCCAAGACTACTGTGTCACTTTTACACCCAAGAACTATTTGAGAAGCCAATATTTTGCATCTAGATCAGAAGACCGCAAACAGTACGACCTGTAAACAGCTTTGTGGTAAGTTTTAGCTCTTAAAAACCAGACTGACCAGAAAACAGCTTGGCTATATTCAAAATGCGGTTTTTTGGTAAAATTCCCAGGAGCCAATGAGTTAAATTACCCGTGCGTAACTTTCTAATTTTCAAAACAAACCATTGGCTTTAGCTCCTTGTTTAATACTCTAAAAGCACCCTTTTTCCACAATTATATATAAAATATAATATAACTTTCTACAGAGGTCCGTTCTCTAAAAACCTAGGACGAGATTTACCACACTCACGGTTTGCTAAAGCTTTTTCGATTCTTAGCACCTTGTGCCTTGTCACTGCAAACTGTCAGGAATTAGCTAAGAAAAAAACTCTGGCACCCAGGGTATAATATAACCTACAAATGAAATGACACTTTTTTTCTGAGGGATATGGTAAGTATTTTTTCCGCAAAAAATCAGGTAGCAAATCTACATGTAACTGCAATTTAAAGTGCAAAGTGTATTTGTAACCAAGGTGTGACTATAGTATAAATTAAGAATGGTACGCATCCTCAAACAGTCGCACAAGAAATGCTTCCGCTGCCTGAAAAAAAAAATGGGCAAGAGTTACGTTCCTAAACTAATATGTAATATATTAAATATTGTATTTTTTTTATAATAATATTGACAGGCTCCACGTCCCCTCATTTTCTTCTCGTAGGGGAGTTTTTTTTCATGGCCCTTATACGCAGGATTTCATATTGTCACAATAATTTGCCAGTAACTTCTTTGCCAAATTTGTTATTCTCGCTACTTTGCGATATTTGCAAGCAAGTGTCTGACAACATTTTCTTGTGAATCACTTCTTGCTAAAATTGCTATAAATAATTGCTAGCAAATTTTCGCGACAGAGTTCAATCCTGGACATATCACTTTCATGAAGCCTTTCAATTTAATCCTAAATGATTATCATTATACAGTACAACCTCCATGTGGGACCACCTCTCTTAAGTGAACACTTTCAATTAGCAACCAATCATGTGAAACATTACTTATAAAAGCATTTTTCCAGTTACAGCACTATAAAGCATTTGCACTCATACGGCCAGCATCTACACACATTTGTTGGAACAGAAGCATTTAGATAAGAAAGGGTTTGACTCCTACAGGATTGGTTTGTAACAACAACAAGATTGCCGTGTCGAGCCGTGGGTTCGGTTGCCGCTTCAATGTTATGGACTACCAATGTGAAAATACTCTAAATCTCTCAGACACTGATAGGAAGAGCGTTCAAAAGTTTCTTAAAACATCTATCTAAAATAGTTGTGAACTAACAATAACAAGAACACTTTTAATATCGGCATTAAGTCTCGTTTGCTTGGAGATTTGGTAAGAAATGAGGATCCTGAATGAGAAGGTGATTAATTCTAGACGAAACAGGATTTACTCGCTAAAAGTTTTTCACTTCCTACTTTACCGACAGTTGAGTATTCTTCAGGTTTTTTACTGTTTATATCGTCTTTAACGATTTGTTTCTGAATTGTTTTAGTACGTGTGCTAGCGACAACCGGAGATACGTCTGTGATTGTAGGCTATACCCGTGTATAATTACACAAAAATTCAAGGGCTTCGATTCACGACAAATTACATCATTGCCAGAGATCAAAAACATGATGAGAACACAGCATGTCATTCTAATCATCACCAAAAATAAACTGCATGTTCATCACAAGACCCATTTGCATACAATAAAAGTTTACAACAGCCAACCAGTTAGCCTTTGTTAATTAAGATTCTTCTTTTTTTTTCGACCACTGAAGTGTGCACTTGTTCCAAAGTTATCAACTCTTTCAGGCGATAGAATTCGTGGATCAACCCGTTCCAGAAAAGCTCTTAAAAAGCTAAGAAAAGAAAAGCTCGCATTTATTAACCTTTCCTAAAGTTTCTTCGCAAAACATGTGTGGCTTCGGTCACGCAACGATTCTTATTCCCAGTTTCCACGGTCTTTGCTAAGAACGCCTGGGACCCCAACCGCCCTTTTGTGTCCTAAATACGAGAAAAAACCGCTTACAGATTATGAGTTTCGCTGCTTACGCAAGCGAGACTAATGAGATAAGAGATTTCTTAAACAAGTCTATTGAAAATGATGGTAATCTATCTCCTACACAAGCAAAAAGCGATATTTATCTTTCAATAATCCTTACATTCTAAAAATATTTTTAATAAAATCATAACCGAAAACTTAGTACCTACTGCAGACATAACACAAATTACGAAACATTCATAGAGACACTTTAAATAAATTACCACCTCTTGAAGAGCCATTAAAGCTGGTACTTGCCATCTTAATTCTTCCCCATAGTAAAACTTGTCAGCTATTTCTCTAACCTTTTAAAACAAACAACGACAACATTAACAAAAATTAGCAATAGTCTTATCATGATGATTTTATAAAATTCTCATGCAAAGAGATGGATCTAAGGATGGGCAGACTAAAAACAACATTTATGTCCTCTTTGTTTTCCCTTTCATTACTTAATACTTGAAGTATATCTATACTCAGTCCATCTTTTCGGGGTAAAGTAGGTAGTGAAGAATAAACATTACAAAATTATTAAAATTCTTCCGGCCCATTGCCTTCACTTAAAAGACAAAAATTAATGACATTAGGTTAAATGGAAATTATAATTTTCACTAAAATTTCTGACTAAAACCAAGCTTACCACTCTCATAAATGGTGCTTTTCTCAGTAAAAGATGAGTTGTTTTTTGGTAGTGTCTTATTTCCATAAGCGCTCTTGTTCCTGGTCGATATCTTCTCTTTTCTAGCAAAAAACATTTCAGACAACACATGTACATGCATGATCACACTGGCATATGTTGAAGTTAATTTTTCATCTTTGGTAATTTTTATTTTTCCTTTAATTCAACCTCATTAGAATATATTACCATAACCAAAAACAAAAGAAAAACAAAAATTACCTGAAATAAAAAATTAAATACAACACATATAATAATAGCTTTTATATTTTCTGAACTGGTTAGAATAACTCTTCAAGAATGCTCAACTCTGCAGCAATAAATAATGCAATTAAAAAATAGTTCCAGACGTCAGAGGTTATACATCAGTTTATTGCTACACCTTGTTTTGTATGGTCTAAAGGCGACCACACTCATCAGGCAGTTGCCTGATGAGAATTATGGAGATAGAGGAGGGTGCATGTTATGCGCGGGGGCAGATAACACCCTCTGAGATCTCCATAATGATACGAAAGCCGAATTCAATATTATTCATTTAAAATAATTGCTAGTTTGAAAACAACCTAAAACATGCTTACCTCCATTGATGTTAAGTTTATCTTTGATTGTGCATGTTTATAACCAAGTTTAGGAGATAAAGGGTTCTTCAGTTCTACAAAATTAATACAGTGTGTATTCTCCAAATAGCAGATGTTGACTCGTCCATCGAGTTGTCTTCTTGATGTTCTTGCTTTTAGACAATAGCATTTTTAGATGATATTTTGCCTATTTATTCCTTGTGAAACAAGTGAAATGTTCCACTATTTTGTACTCACTAACCAAATGTTCAACTCAACCTCGTCCCCAAGTCTTCTCGGTTATCCGTTCAATAATCTGGCAATTTTGCTGCCCGATCGATGTCATCAGTTCACAAATCACAAAATTCCTCCAAATTTGGTCGACAACAGCTGGTTATGATGAATTATGCGTGGGATTTTAGCCAGTCAGAGACAGAAAAATATTTTGACTGAATAATAATAATAACATTTATTATATAGACACGAGTATTTTACTGGAAAATATACCACTCGTAAAATTTATAAAAGCTACATCCTGGACCCAAGTGGTTTATTTTCCATAATCTCACACGTGAGACTATCGATGACGTAATTTCGGTCATTTCCCTCTATTATTTTATCGATGTCTTTTTGTCTATATAATAAAAAGAACATTACACGTTGGCTTGAAGATATGAATTTTATTTTCTCGTAGCAAAAACAATATTTTACTCACTCGCTGCGTTCGTTCGTAAAATATTGTTTTGCCACTCAAAAATAAAATTCATATCTTCGCACCACCGTGTAATATCCTCTATTTATTACCCATAAAAACATTTCCTAACATCTGACATAAGTTTTAAAATAACAAAAAAAATATCCACATTTACACTTTAGTATTAAGGTTAATAAATAAAAACTAATTTTAAAAAAGAAAATTTAAAAAACTAAATGACTACTATTAAAAAAACGGCTTAAAAAGGTGCATCTCTAGCCTAGACTTGAAAAGTGATAAACTATCACTGAGACAAATGTACAATTGCTTATAACTCATTGCATAATAGAGGTGCGTGCACTGCAAAAGACATTAAACCATAATAATATTTATCATATTTCACTTAGGTTTGAGCTTTAAAGGACCAGAAAAAGAGCACAGTGATCTGGCAGGTCATAAGTCTCCAAAAATTTCTATTGTAAATAACATGGCGCAGAATCATGGATTGAATGATAATTAGTCGAGCTTGCTTTAGCAAAGTGAGACTGTAAAAATGCATGCCTTTATTTTTTTGTCTATCCATCCTGAAAAGGGCGGCATGCTCCCAGGCATTTCTAGCGGAGATCACAGAAACTGGGGGTGAGAATCTTGACAAGTTTCATATTTGTATGCAAATGAGTCTTGTGATGAGCATGCAGTTTATTTTGGGCGATGACTGTTATGACACATTAAAGTTGAACATGTTTTTGCTGTTTGGCGATGATGTAATTTTCCCAGAATTGAGGCCCTTGATTTTCTTGTCATTATGGGCGTGTATTATAAAGTAAATACCCCGAGTAGGATGAGAAAATATCATTGTGGTGTATTGAGGCGTTACATTTCTCAGAATATTGTCGCAAAAACTGGAATTCTACCGTCAAATAGATTCACTTATGTGTTGTATGTATTCAATTGATAGATTTTCGCAGTCGTTAAGATGAGAAGGCGCGTTGCACTTTACAAATACTTGAGATATCAATGATTTAACCTTCCAGTACTACTGGAAGCAACTTCAACTACGCATCTGACGTTACATTTGTGTCACAGATGTGTTCTTATACGGGTAGCTTCGTACTTGACCATTATATACTCTACTAGTCATGCAGCACTTCATGTCCACAGAATAGAAATCCCATATCAACCTTTTCCGGAACGGGTCCGTTACGAATTCTATTGCTTAAAAGCTATGATTACTTTGGAACAATTGATTACTTCAGTGGTCGAGAAAAAAAAAATCTTACTGAGGAAAGCTTCAAGGTTTACTGGAAAACCAGTAGCGGACTGAGGATCAAGGATCGAGGATGCAGGACTGGGGATAAAGGATCAGTTAAAAAAACATGAAAATTTAATTAAAAAATCGTGGATCGTAGCAATGCGGGGCGCAGACTGTAGATAAATTTCACAAAACAAAAACCTGCTTGCTGTACTGAGCACTAAATTTAAGTAAGCCTGACTGAGTCAGTGATTGTTTTGACGAGAAAGTCAAATTTTCCTGGAAAATGAAATGCTTTATCCCAGTGATACTGTGATAAAATGCACGCTGTGTAAAGCTCTAAGCATTGTACACTAAGATCGCGTAAACATCAACTGTATGAAGATATGCAAAGCAGATACTAAGCAGCCATGGAAAATTTAATATTACTTTCACACAATGTTGATATCTTCTAAACGGACAACAGATTCAACAGGAATACGAGCGAACTGAATTAACTGTCTGTTGTATAAGGTTCTGCTAAACTTACACATTTTTCTTGTGCTGAACAAATACTGTATCAAGCAATATCTTGTCCCCTTTATACATAGAAGAAGCTATGTATATTTATACTAATAAAAAATCATTGTTAAATCAGTTTTGAGTGCAAATCCCTGACAGAGTTCTCCTCGCTGGAGCAATATTAATATGCAGAAGATTTTCAAAGGCTTTACACCGGTGTGAAGTTAAGATGTGCGGCCTGTCTCTTCTTTGCAAAGTTAAAGTTTTGAGTATTTACGTTATGACATATAACACTTGTTTTGTATTCCAAACGAAAAAGTAGCATAACAGCACCAGCTGACAACAAAATTTATCTCCAAGCAAGCGAGCGTTCTTGTTTAACTAGTGCATTTACATGCTTTTCTAACCTCATAATTGGAGTGTCAAACACCACCTCAATGATGCAGGCATGATCGGATCATATTGAATAAAAAAAAAATGTAAATGAGTAAAAATTTTTAATAGCGAGAGTGTGAGAAAATAGAAATTTTTTTATTTTCAAAATTTTTAAACCTCTTTTTTTGTTTTTCCCATTTTTTTTTTTTCAAATCTCGGGTTTTTGGGCCCCCCCCCCCCCCCGCCAATGTTCTCTTCTTAGGCCGCATAAATTATGTATACCACAGGGCAGAGCCTTAAATTTTTTGAACGGAAATTGGTGGGGGATGGTAAAAATTTCTGAAGGCAGGAAAGGGGAATGCCAATTTTTTTGATGTCATTGAAAGATTAACTATGTGTTTTGTAACATTATTGATAAACCACTACGCAAGTGAAGTTCCTTCTATTCTAGTTCAATGAAGGATGTCTTTATTATTATTACTATTTTGCCTTTACTTTGTGCAGTAAACAGCTCTGTCTACATGATCATTACCACCTTTACTTTTATCCTGCTTTTATTAACAACATCAGAGATTGTTTTCATATTTCTCATTATCATCATCATCATCATTGTCATCATTATCATTATCATCATGATCACCATCATCAGCATCAACATTAACCCACCTTTCTCACTTTCACAGCTGTTAAAATGATGATTAAGTCTTCAGCTTCTAAGCTCGCAAGATTTAAATCAACTTTCACAGCTTAGAAGGGATGTAAATGATCAGTAATATTTGGTTTGTTGGCTCTGCAGTTATGCTGCAATCAGAATGATATACTTGACTACAGGTCAAGTACGGTTTCATAATCAAAAAAGATCGTCTGCAAATTCCCATCAATGTGTATTTTTTAAAACAGAGAGTTTTGAGAGCTTCAAAAAGAGATCTTGAACAAGAAATTTCGACCACTTTAGACCAAGATTGGATTTTTTTCTTGCAAAATTTTCGAAGTACAAAGCAAGCCAATGTTGAGTAGCCATCTTTCTCTTGTGAAAGGTTTGAACCCAGGAGTCATTTCAAAAGTAGGTTGAGTTTGATCGTCCAGGTGAACGTAGTCCTGAATAGGACTGTTGTTGTTGACAGTGACTGACGTTTCGACAACCTGTGCGGTAGTCATCTTTAGAGTCAAAGTGAGTTGTATCACATCAGTTGATGGTATTTTACTCTGGTTATTGATCTGATTGGTCAATTACATCATGATGTTATTGGTCATCTGTCAGTTAAGCCATGATGTTATTGGCTATGAAGACTCGTAATCAGTAATGGGTGCGTTTTGATCTGTCTTTTGTCACAGTTAAACGGTTGTCTATTGTTAGTTAAATTGTCAGTTCTCCAGTCGTTCTCTCGTGGTTAGTTTTGCTTGATCTCGTCAATAAGTCATTTATACAGCACTGGTAACTGTTGGCTACAATTCAGTGGTGTTTGTTCTAAGTTAGCAAACCAGCTTTCCAAAGTAAGACGTTGATAGTAGTCTGTAGAATACGTCCCAGTCAATTTGATGTTTCATCTGTAAATGGTGCTCAGCAATTTGATTGTTGACATCACTATTCCTCGTCGCTCATTTGTGTTCGGTCAGTTGCGTGCTTAGGTTTCTGCCGGTTTCACCAATGTAAGAAGCCTGGCAGTCGCAGCATTGGATCTTGTATACTGCTCCCTGTCTGTCCTCTGGTTTGTCTTTGTCCTTGACATTAGTAAGCAGTCGCCATAAAGAGGTTATCGGTTTGTGTGCAACATGCATGTTGTAAGGTTGTAATATACGTGCAATAGTCTCAGATGTGCCTCTGATGTACGGTATAATCGCTGTCGTAACAGGACCAGAGTTGACGTTGGTCTGAGTGTTGGAATCAGTGTTACTGTGAGTGTTCTGTTTAACAAAGTCTGTGTTGTAATTGTTCTTTCTGAAAACGTTGTTAAGATAATCAGTCTCATCTTGTAGGCTGCCAGGTGAGTCGCAAACTAGTTGTGCTCGTCTAGTCAGAGTCCGGATAGTAGTAGCCTTGTGAGAGGTCGGATTGTACGAAGACTGGTCTAATAATCGGTTGGTATGTGTCAGTTTCCTGTAAATAGTTGTTTTTAGTTTGTTGTTGTCGCAAGTGACCAAGCAGTCTAGAAAAGATATCTTATCATTTTATTCGATCTCCTTGGTGAACTGTATGTCCGCGTTCTGTCTGTTAAGGTGTTCGTGAAAATCGTCGATTCAGTCTTTGTGTACGGCGGTGAATGAGTTGTCAACGTAACGTAACCAAAGAGGTACAGGTCGTGTGTAGGTGGCTACGGCTTGTTACTCCATTTTTTGCATGACAATTTCTGCTACAACAACAGAAACTGGAAAGCCCATAGCTGTACCGTGTAACTGTTTATAGTGTGCGATTCTGCGACATGTATAACGTATTCTACAGACTACTATTAACGTCTTACTTTAAAAAGCTGGTTTACTAACTTAGAACAAACGCCACTGAATCCTAGCCAACAGTTACCAGCGCCGTACAAACGACTTATTGACGAGATCAAGCAAAACTAACTACAAGAGAACGACTGGAGAAAAGACAATTTAACTAACAATAGACAACTGTTTAACTGTGACAACAGACAGATCGAAACGCACTTACTGATTACGAGTCTTCATAGCCAATAACATCACAGCTTAACTGACAGACGACCAATAACATCACAACGTAATTGACCAATCAGATCAATAACCAGAGCATAATACCGTCAACTGACGTGATACAACTCACTTTGACTCTGAAGATGACTACCGCACAGGTTGTCAAAACATTAGTCACTGTCAACAACAACAGTCCTATTCAGGACTAGCTTCACCCGGACGATCAAACTCAACCTGCATCTTTCTATTGTCATGTGTTCTGCTTACACGAGACTGAGATGATCGCACAAGCCACTTAAACAAGTAAACCACTTTACTGTAAAATTGAAAACACTGATTTGAGTCTTTGAAAGAATCAAGAATCAAATTTATCAGGCTTGTTTACTTTGTAATAGGGTGCATGACCGAAATATGTTAACGCAACCAGACTTTCCGCCTCGCTTTCTAAGACCTGTGAGCATTCCCACAAATGTCGCAAATTCAACAGGCAAGTCCGAGTATTTAATGGAGAAATTTAATACTCATCAAGTAACAATGGGGCTTAACAAAATTTGAAACAAAAGAAAGATATCACACCTAGCTCAAAGAAATTGCACTTGTGGTTTCTTTGGAAGGTAATCGACAATGACAAGAACAATAGCCTGAATATATGAATACTTGATAACCCCAAAATTTGGGGCACACACAAGTTACATATATCGGCATGAAGTTGTAATGTGATCATAAGCTGCTGTTTACTTATACTGTATAAGTTTTTTTTTCAAATTCATGGAAAAAAAATCAAATGTTTAAGTAACAGAAAAAAATAATGATAAGCAAAAATATTACTGCTATGACACAAGTACCTATAGGAAAACAAGGGACTTCCCGCCAAAACCAATAGACTAGGTGACTCAAGTTTGTAAACGTTCAATGTATAAAGTTATGACTTCAGAATGAGTGATAAAGAACGTTTAGGCTCAACTTACATTATCATAAAAAAAAATTCAGATAAAAGTATAAAATACGCAACAGACTCAAATCGTTTTGCTCAAAATTATCGATCGCAGGTCCAAAGAGTACAATATATTAATTGTATTAACTTAGGAGATTTTTATCACAGTAACTGGAGGTCGGTTTTTTTGAAAGTAGCATTTATGTGTAGAGCGCACTTGATTGACTCAATATATTAGTACAATATTTAACAGATAAACCACTTACTTTTCGTGTGCGCATCACTCTGAGTCGAAGTGGATGCTCTCGCTCCAGGTCTTTTCGGACTACTATAAATTACTTCAGAGGAAGGTTTACTGCGTTTGTGTGGTGTAGACGACTTTCTTTTATCCTTAGGTGATTGAGTAGTAATAGTTCGAACCATGACAGTGAATAATGTTGATATCTACTGAGTTTTTCTCCGTTTTGCAGTCCCCGGACCTTTTGGCGTCCGACCTCCCTGTCTACAGACGCGGAGCCCGCGAAAACCACCCTGTTGGTCAGCACACATCCCCTCGGGCAATAATACTGCATGTAACAGGGAGTGGAGTATTCAAAATGGCGGCGGTATTCAAACCAATGGTTCGATGGGCTCAAAGCAAAGAAAGACTGTTTTTAACGCTAGAGCTTACAGATGTTCAGGTTTGCTGCATGGAGAAATAAAACGTTGTATTTTTGTTCTGATTGTGACCTTTTGGTTTGTTTTTTATGTTATTTAATAGTACCCTGCTGTTGAGTTGACAAGTACTCGTCTGGTGTTTCAAGGTATTCTCATAACAATTACGTTACTTGGACTTTTTTTATTTACGTTATTCTGTTTTATCACTTAAGCGACATGATTTTTCCTAAATCTGAATTTAACTGTATATTAAAAAGTAGACTAGTCTATAACTATAACCAAATAACGACCGGTTGCATTTAATTTCAGTCCAATTCATTTTGTTGTCATAATTTTTTGCAGGTTTTGGACACGGTGCAAGAGGAGAGCAACAGTACCATGTAGACATCAATTTTTACAAACCTGTCGATATCACGGTATACCTTATTTCACTGAGTACAATGTTTTGTTAATTTAAACAATAAAATGAACAACTGACACTTTTTAAGACTGACACCTTTTCAGTGGAAACTTGTTAAATAATATTGGTCTCCACCTGGATTTCCATCTAGTTCCTTAATTACCATAAATGTTTAAATAAATGCCCATATTTCCATAATAACTGCCCAATATCAAATCGACATCCCTCGAAATTTCAATTTGGTTTTAAAAAAATAAGGGATATAGATTGGTTCCTTGAAAAACGTGGGTCTAGGAAAATTTTTGCCAGATCTCTAAATCTTGGAAGTGCTTGTGATAGGTCTCAAAGTCTTGTTTTTGGGTGATTCTGCATCTTGGAGTCTCGAGTTCTTTGAAATCTCAGTCCTGAATTTTGAAAAGGCATCGTGCAGTCTTGCAAAGTCTCAAATTTACTATTCTATACCTCTAAAATTCTTATGTCTAATATTTGTATTGCCCCCTTAGCCTGTTCCAGATGTTCAGATAGTTGGGAGCAGTGCAAAGTAAAACAAGCAAGGAAAAATAGAGGGGGGACTAAAACTTCAGCACAGCTGACCATTGATTCAGAGATTGTTTAGGTTAATAAAAACATCTCTTGACTGATGACCATCTGGACATTGACTCTGACACTAAAGACTATGCTCAGCTATTACACTCAGACATGTAATTCCTGTTTTGAATTTTCTTCAAGATTATTACCAGAACTATGTATCTTACAGAACCTTGTAAAACCTGGAAAAGGGGCTAACAGTAAGAAACTAAGAGGGAATAGCAGCCATAAAACGAATTGAAAAGAAAAGGAAAAATTATGTGGCTTTGCAGGATCTCTAACCCAGAATTGAAAGCATAAGTTTTACCATTTGGCAGAAAAAAGCCATTTACCTAATCAATGAGAACAAAAGTATCCTATTTGAGAAAACTGACTTCATGTCAACCCACTGTTTGAAAAACAAACATATATTTTCTTACATGGGTGGAATTCAAAATATATGGCAAAAAAAAGTTACAAAGTGACTAGTGGAAACATAAAACCTGGCATACCTCAGGGAAAGGGCCAAATAAGTTTATTGGCATGGTCTTGTTTGTTGTTTGGTTTGTTGTTAGGGAACTGGCAGACACCAACCTTATATATTATAAGTAACCCAAGCTTCCACTGCCCTAGGCAATCCATGTATGACACGAATTCTGTCAAATTTATAAGCCTCTCTAAACTCAAGCTTTCAACCCTGACCTTGCAAGGAACCAAAATGTAGTAGTTGTAAGTGAATGTTGTAAAAGTTAAATGAATGCCTCTCTTTTGAATCACACCTACCAGTATTATCTAATAAGCACCCATGGTATAAACTTTACACACATTTTGAGCAGCCGTGAATTGACGTCTCTCCATTTCACATTTGCCTCCTTACACTGCCACATTTCTCTTTCCCCTCCCTTCCTTACCCTGTCCTTTTGCAATTCCAACTCACTCAAGCATGGCCCCATATCTCCATTTTTTATTAAGGTAGTGTGAATTCAAAGAGACTATTCAGTGTTGCAAATAGTATGCTGTTAGTTGTCTGCTGGTGATAGTAAGAGATGTATAAATATCATGAATAAAAAATATATAATATTATTCCTTAGTCTAATAGACGAGAAATAATTCGTCTGCCTAAAATAAAATCCACTTTTGGCCAGTCTACTCTTAATTCACAGGAGCAAAGGATTGGAACAATTGAGTTACCCAATGAATTATGGGCTGATGGCCTAAATTACATAGGATCTTTCAAAGCAAAGGCATTTGCGTATTTGCCAGAACTAGTCAAAACATAGCAAAAAATGTAGATTTTAGATAAATTTGTTATTTTAACATCTTTAATTTTATATATTGTAAATATTAGTCTTTCCACTTTTTTACCATGTACTATTCTTTTTAATCTTGAAATATTTTATTGCTGCACATAGGTTTATACCAGCTACATTTTCATACTCAGCTGATCTATTTTTTTGCAATATACATAAAGTATCTAATTAATTCAATTTAGTAATAAACTGGAAGAATTTACCCAATTTTAGAACTTATGGAATAGTCTCTATCATTTCCTGACTTGTATTAATATTCATTTATGATAATATACTGTGCTAGGCAAGTAACCACAAAGTCCTGGACCGTTATGTAGAGTTTTCCATTGCAAAGCAGGCAGGCCAGCATGGTAAGCAGCTTATAAACTAACAGTTCACATTTTCAGAAGTTAGGAATTCCCTTTTGGGAGACCTTTCTTTCTTTTCTTTTTTCTTACAGAATAGAAGATTGCTAGTTATTGCTATCCTCATGTATAAGGTTAAACACAATTAACTATGTCTCATGAAAATATCCAAGCTCTTTTATATGCATTGTACACCTTAAAACCTGAGAGTAGCAGAGTTCGCCATCCCCATATTTAAGACCAAGAAATATGGAAAACACCTGCTCACTTTTTTGGGACTATAAGTTGTGGAATAGACTAGCTACTGGCATGGGCAAAATTAGGACCCTAATAACATCATTGAAGGGTTCTAAACATCGTATTTGGAAATGTGATTTAAGTGCGATGGTAGAAGATGATAAATTGCACAAACTGCATTCATTGTAACTCATAACAGAATGAAATTTTCCAGACTGGCTTTCTATTTTAGTTAGTTTTTTAGGTCTTTTAACTAGGCTTTTAGTACCGAATCGTTAGTAGGCTTTTTGATCATTTATTAGTTAATAGGTTTTCTTATTATCAAGCGTCCCCAATTAGTAGAGCTAGCTACTGTAGGCTAGCTACACTGACATGTTAATAAAGTTTTTGATTGATTGATTTTTGTGCTTTTTATAAAGAGTTTTGGCCTCGGTTAATTGTGGATGAGCAGAAACCAGCATGGTTAAAAGTGAACTTTGATCGATGGCAAAGTGAAGATGCTTCAGAAAGTGAAAAGGAGGAAGAAGAACAGAAAGCCAAACTAGAGGTAAGGAAATTCCATGTAATTGTCCATAAATCTCAATTTCTTGTTTGTAACTTAGTTCTTTAAATTGTTTTACTGAATTCTCCCAGTCGAATCATGTCGGCCTCACTAATGAGTTGATTTGTAGAGTTTAAGATTAATTTTGATCTCTTGATCATAAAGCTCATAAAACTAAATGAGCAACAAAAAGAAAAGCTTGACGGTACTCACAAGTTTCATTCTCTTTCAGGATTTACTGGCTCAAAGTAAAGCAATGGAAGCAGATCTGGATAATGAGATTGAGAAAACAAAACAAGAAGGTGCATGTACATTTTATATACACTTGCAAAGTTATTACACAAAAAAACTTAAGTCTTGAATACAGGTATTAATTCACTTACACTACGTCATGTCAATCTCTCAGCTCATATCGTCAGGAGCTATAGGGCAAAGTATTAAAACGCTTGTTTTAAAATATTTCGTTTACTGATAAGATTGCTATCTTAGTTTTCAGATTCATTCGAACATTCTACCTTGTTTTGTACAACCTGTTGCAAGCAGGATTGTATATTTACATCACCTCAGTTCTTTTATCAAGATTAGTGTTTCTTGGAACAGGTACTGGAAAAAGAATTACTGAATGATTTACGTACTGTTTACTATTTGTAGTGACCACTATCACTGTAAAGACTGAAGCAAGTTAAGTTAGAATATTTTTGCAAAGTAAAATAAATTGTTATGTTTATATGGTCAAACCTCTACTAGTCTAGTGGCCATCTCTCTACAGCCAGTTTGTTCTCCAGAAAATGTAGAGTAAAGGGAGAAAAAATTAAACTGTGTGGCAATAGTTCAAAGTAGTGGAAAGCCTTTCATGCAACTTACCCACACCTAGAGTCTGGGGTTATGTATGGCCATGGGGGTTGCACCATCATATTTCATTTTTGTTTTTATTGAAAAAAGTGTTAAGAAACAATTACCACCAATTTATTAGCCTTTTAAAAAAGAAATATTTTGTGTGAGTAGTCGATGTTTCTCAGTGTGGTGACTATACAGCAATTTTTGCCAACTGCCGGAGCTTCTGGGTGCTCAGACATAAATTCATGCTTGTTTTTGATGATAATTACACAAAACAAAACAAAATGTTTACATATAAAATGCTTACCTATAAAATTTCATTTAATTGTTTACTACTTGTTGTCTTGACTTGATCTCTGATTGATTCATCACTGATTTCTACTGCTGTCTGCTTTGATCATTTTAACAGCTGCTTTTCCATTTCTTTTTTTTTCTTTTAAATTTATTATTAGGTGCCTTCCCAGTAGCTTATGATGCAGTTAGTGATGTATTAGCCTCATGTCAGCTGGCTGCATTCTTGGAAGTTGTTCATCCTTTAATAGGCATTGTAAAAACAGGAGTAATGGCTCCATTTATGCAGGTATGTATCGTGACAATCAAAAGTTAGTTATTAAACTCATGTCTAATCTGTACTTGATCCATATGGCATGGTAAGTAAAGTAATAATTATAAAGAACTTTAGTATTGACTGTATTATTTTAATCATGTATAGAACACATCCCAACCTTGTAATTGGCAAGCAAAGGTCAAACATCATTGACAGTTATTTGCTGTAAGCCAACTAATTTCCTCACAGTCATATTCAAGCCATTAAGTTTCAATAAAACAATATTTTTAAAGGAGGCAGAGAATAGTCCACTGGCTGACCATATACCAAGTGAATAGTCAGTCTTGAGTTATGTCACAAATAATACAACAATGATCCCTAGCCCTTACACAGTAACATAATAAACTTCACACAATAGAATGAAACAATAGTGCAAATATATTATATTGACGTACGTCAGGTATATCACACATCACCCAGCTAGTCCAACCTCTCACCCTGAGACTATAAGTTATGACAGAAAGATTTAAAGCCATTTTTTATGGCCCTAACAAACCTTTCTCTCTAATTTAGAGCACTATCAAATAAGCAAGCCAAATGTATGAATACAGTAGCATCATTTATGAACCACAGTACTTTATTTTGAGAGCTTTCAATAATTCACTGCTTACCACACTGTATAGCAGGCTGGTTTTTTGTGTTTTTTTTTTCTTTTGCATTTGTAAAACAAGAGATACAGCTGAGTGAAAACTGAGGTCACATGAGAAAACAATGGGGGATGCCTGAGTGGGGGCAAGGTAAAAAATTCTTTCTGTTTTTTTGTTTCCCTCACCTCTTCCCCCATTGTTTTCACACTTGACCTTGGTTCAGCCTTTGCAAGACTGTATCTCTTACTTTACAAAACACAACCTAAAAACACCCCAAAAAGACCACCTGATCTTTGCTATATATCAGTGTTGAAGTATTCATTATTACATAAGGTTTAATATTGCATTTGTCTTTGATCTTTGTTCATTGGTAGTAGGGAGGTGGTAGTAGGGAGTTTGAAATCATGTGATCAGGTAAAACTTTAGAATTATTGTTTTATTTTATCACAGCTATTTCAACTATTTGTTTAGTTACCCGTTTTATTATATAAACACCAATGAAATACCAGGTGAGCTTTCGCGCGAAAAATTGATATCTTCACATGTGAAAATAACATGTTATCTTCACATGTGAAAATATCACCTTTGCTATGGCTTCATAATAAATTGCGCCTTTCACACCAAAAAACTATTAAAGTGAAATGGTTTGGTAGTTCATTGGTGTTTATATAATAAATAGAACATTACATGGCCGCTTGGAGATACGAAATTTCTCTTCGAGTGTTGAAAAAATATTTCACTCGTTCGCTGCGCTCACTCATGAAATATTTTTCAACACTCGAAGAGAAATTTCGTATGTCCGCGCGGCCATGTAATATTCTCTATTTATCATCATAATTGGTCATTTATTTTTCCTTATACATTTGTTTATCTATTTATTTTGTTAGTTTAAAAAAATCAACTTATGTTACTTAAGGTGTCATCAACCAAAAATTTTTAACAAAACATAACTTTGTTAAGAAAAAATCCACCAGGAAATTGAGTAATTTTAATTTTCAGTGCACAAAAACCTTGTACCAGAATAATTTAAAGAATATTGCATTCTTTTTTTATATTTTTCAAGGGCTTAACATGTAATAAATCATCTGCAGTAACACCAAAGAAAATTTCTCATGGAAGCCCAAGAAAATGAATGTCAAATTTCACAAGAATTGTGATTACAGAGTTAAAATTCTGAAAATTTCATGTGTAAGATGTAATATTTCTGTGAAATTTGACATTCACTTTCTCGGGCTTCGATGAGAAATTTGTTTTGGTGTCACTACAGATGATTTATTACATCTTTAGCCCTTGAAAAATGTAAAAAAGAATAAAATATGCTTTAAAAATTATTCTGGTACAAGATTTTTGTCCACTGAAAATCAAAATTACTCACTGTCCTTGTGGATTCCGTCTTAAATTCTTGCTAGTGTAAATTATTGCATGCAATTTTAATTTGCAGGTATTTGGTAGAAACTTGGTTCTTTTTTTGGTTGTTGTACCAAATGAGGAGCTTCACAAGCAGGCTACAGTATTTGGTCTGTTCTTTGTGTGGTCTCTTATTGAAGTCATCAGGTACCCAAAATGCAGGCAACAATATGGCATTTAATTAATAATATTTGGACATTTAATGCAACTTGGACTACTGCAAGCACAATTTGATATTTTCAGTATGTATGTTGTTACAATCATTATATTATTTTTTTGTGACAACATTTTTATCACATAGTGAGGGTGTTTCATGTTGTTGCAGAAACCATTGCTCTTTTTCTTTTGTGTTGTGCTGTGGGTACTGTTCAGTGCATATTATATGCCCGCAAGAACAGGAAACCACTGGCCTACAGTACATGCTACAATGTAGTTTGTTTTTACGGGCGGCAAAGAGTTCAAAAAAAAGCTCTAAAAGGTGCTCTTAAGTTCTTTCATTGGATTTTACTTTGAGCAACTCATCTTTAGAGATGACCATGTTGTCCGTAGTTCCCAGTTCGACTGTATACATCCACTTAGTGTAGGTGTTAAGGGGTAACAGGCTGAGTGATCTTTATTGTTGTGAACATTAATTTGAAAACCACAAGTTTCTTGTGTCTTCACTCTAATTACTGTATATTTTGGTGATTTATTATCTTGACTACTTTGTGGTGGGCAGACTTGTAGATTTGATACAAAAGACACAATAGCAGACCTGCCAACTCTCATGATTCTGCCGTGCACCTCATGATTTTTTGTCTTTGTTCAGGGCCTTACGACAAGTTTAGGAAAGATTAAATTTAGAGCTTTTCTGAAACGTGTTGGTCCATGAATTCTATCGCTTGAAAGCATTGATTACCTTGCAACAAGTGAACACTACTGACTAGTTTAAAAAAAAAATCTTATTTAGCAAAACTGCGATGGTCGGGTGTTGTAAACTTTCATTGTATGCAAAATTATGATCTTGTGATGAGCATGCAGTTTATTTTTGGGAATGATCGAAATGACGTGCCATGTAAATCACTTTTTTGATCTCTGGCATTGATGTAATTTCTCTGGAATCGAAGCCCTTGAATTTTCGTGTATTTATACATGCGTATAGCCAGCGACCGCAGACGTATTTTCAGTCGTCGCTAACATGCGTACTAAATCAATTCAGAAACAAGTAAAAAGTATCAACGTTGATAAAGTAGGAAGTAAAAAACTTTTAGCGAGTAAATCCTGTTTCGTGTAGATTATTAATTGCCTCCTCATTTCTCGATCTAATATCCAAGCAAGAGAGGCTGAATGCCGCTGTAAGCGCATTCTTGTGCAATGTTGATCAGGATTCGAATTAAAATAGAAACTCAATACTTTTTGTAGAATGCCCAGATTTTTTTTTTTTCATGAGTCTCCAGATTTTCCTTTATCAGGGGTTCGCGGGTCTGCAGTAGGTTTCCTCAAGACCCATTTCTCTAAGTTTTAGTACTGGAGAATACACTATGTAATAAGCTTTATGGGTAGACTTGAGCATTTGAAATTTGAAAGTCATTCCAATCCCTTAGAGAAACTTATGAAAAATTGTATAATTCAGTAATGTTTTTGGACAACGATCGTAAAGAATGCGGTTGTCAGAAACACAAATGTGTTTGTCTATAAAATAATGTTTGCCTCAAACTGTTTTAGTTTTCATCAGAAATACAGCCTGCTACTTTTGGCATGTTTTCATTAATATTGATAAATTTATGGTACAGATCAATCGTGCTGTGAAGGGGTGAAAAATTCCAATAAAAGGCAGTTTGTGTCAGGCTTTTTTTCCTTTCCTTCCTTCCCTTTTTTCTTTTCTTCCCTTTCTTCTTAGAAAAGCCTCATGCTTAGGCTGATAAATTACTGGTATAATTTATTAGTTTCTCATTCCTCAATTCTATACTATGTTATTTTTGTTGCTTTGCTATACACTCAGGAAAGTCACTGCTTTTAGAATTTTACTTGCTTGTAGCTTTGATATTGCACAATGATAACTTTTGCATGTTGATGTAGGTACCTTGAGAGGGCAACTTACATGAACCTGAATTATATTATTACATAAAGATTTTCCTCAGAAGAATGTGTTTGCGTGTTGTTTCACAGGTACCCATTTTATACCTCTCAAGTCCTTGGCATCAAAATAGAACCACTGATCTGGCTTCGATATACAATGTGGATTCCTTTGTATCCACTGGGCATTTTATTTGAAGGTAAGGCTTATTAACACTTCATATGAGATTAAACATTGTCTTAAAATGAGCTTGGATGTTGCCATGCAATCTTACTGTTAATTGTCTACCAGTTGTCCACTGTCACCTCCTTCAATAGCAATAGAAGATGTGGTTCGCATTCCATGATTTTCATGGGAAAGAACTAAACATTTTGATTGGACATTATTTGACCACTAGGCATTGCACACAGATAACTCAGATTAGCAGATTTTGAAGACGGGTCAGATGTGGAGCTGAGTGGCTAAAACAGTAGAATCATTTTTAGCTTGCATGCAGGCGTTTCATTCCTTCCTCCCCCATATACCTTTCACTCATGTACTGCTTGCGCACCTAATTATTTTCCTCTAGAGGAAAATAATTAGGTGCGCTTTCCCTTGCCCTTCACTTAGCCTGCATAGCAGGCGTTTCCAGTCGAGTTACAGCGCGAAAATTAGAGCGGGAGCAAAAAAAAAATGGAGGGTTCCTTCGCTCCCTTCCCCCTCCCCCCTCATTTCTTTTTTTTGCTCTCGTCTCAACTTTCTCGACGAACCCGCCGGAAACGCTTGATATGCAGGCTACCCTTCAGTACACCAGTTTTGCATGTTATTTTGAAATTCGCCTTCTGCACATGCATGCTTGAACTTCACTGAGGCCATAAAGTAATATAAGAAAAGCCAGGGAAGTGCTAAACATCAAAACAACATTTTGGCTAATTGAGGGTTTATTTGGCCTGATAGTGATCCAGAAATGGCTCCTCTAGACTCGAATGGGGATGGCATAATTTCCAGGGGATAAGGGTTGCTGTTTGGCTCAAAAAGTGTGGTTGTGTATTACAACCGGGCTGGTGGTAAGGTGTGGTTGTACTATTAAATATCACCATTGGCATTACTAAGATCCAACTGAATTTCTTTTACAACTGAACAGGTACTCTGATATGGCAGGCAATTCCTTTGCTGGATAAATCTGAGAGGTTTTCTGTCAACCTGCCCAATGTGCTTAACTTTGGTTTCAGTTTTTCATGGTTCCTCATGGTGTACCTTGTGTTTCTAGTTGCAGGTTAGTTGCATGAGCACAATCATTCTTTGTCAGAGACAGAATTTATCAATTTCTGGTTAAACATTCTTTCACCAAGATGACTATTATCTTGCTTGATTCAGAACTGGACTTTTTCAGAACAGAAACCATAATTTTTCAGATTTCTCTAAAACCATTTGTAGAATGGAAATGTTTGAAATATTAAGTTTTCTTGTGTCTGCCTTAAAGAAGACTACAAAATGTGGCATTTTTCTGCTGGTGCAGGAAAACAAACTGTCAAAGGAAAATAGAAGAAAATAGAATTAAAAGAAATCCCTAGCTGTTTGATTCCCCGCCTACTTGTTGTATTTACTCAGCAACTTGAAATCTTAGTGACAGCCCTGCCAAAGATATATAATATATAATGCATCAGTCAATTCCAGCTGCACCCAGCAAAATTTTGCTCTGCGCGGGGTCAGGCATTTGCCAACCCCATGACTACCACAGAACTTTTAACACACACGCAATTTCGAATTCCTATCTGAATATAACTATGCAGAGGATTTTACTGGAAAAAAAACAAGGCGGGGGGGGTTGGGCTGGGCACAGCTGGAATTGACTGATGCATAAACAGGTTAGGGGGATAAGGACTAAAAAAGCCTTTAGTAAAGCATCCTGTACGAAGCCTCATAAAGTGGAATGCACCCTCCTAGCCACCACCACCTATTCCAAAACCAATAGAACTATTCTTTCCCAGTCAAACACTGTAAATTATGTTATACTCAGTCTTGATTTTTCAAATATCAGAATAATTCATATTAATTAATTCCAAATATTTCCTAGAAGGAATCTAAGTGAACATAAGACAGTAACGCCAATTACTGCCAAAACAAAACATCTTTAGTTCAATAATGATAAAGTGAAATAATTTCCCCTTGTGATTGTAATGCTTTAATACAACATTTACAAATTTCTTGCATATGACCCAAACAGACCATGCATGTAGGAAACATACCAGTAGGTTCCCTTCAGCATTTTTTAAAGATCTCTTTTGCATTTTTTAATTCATTTTACTTGTTTCACTTCGTCACAATTATGCCTGATGGAGGCAAAAAACATAACCATTAGTTAAATTTTTCACTTATGTCGAGTTTGCGTCTTTGCAAATAATTTTACACCCCATTATGTACATTTTTTTTTGGTTTTGTTTTTTTTATTTTTCAGGAGGATCTTACATGATGAAGCATATGTATATCCTGCGCCAACGACGCTATGGAAAAAGAAAAACAAAGACAAGATAACTAATGAAATGCTAATGTAGTGGTTCAAATTTATCCTTGGTTTAAATCTAATCTTCCTATTGTTTTTGGGTATGGTAAAATGATAACGACTTTTAAACAATGAAAATAACATTTAAACCAAGGATAAAACTGAACCACAACACATTTGCGTGAGAAATAAATGTGAGAAATAATTATAAAGCACCCAGTTCAGCCTCTCAATCTGTCAGTTGCTGCTAGTATTTGTTGGTTATGGAACAATTTCTTTTAAGGTGGCTCGGCCCAGTTTTCAATCCCCACTGAATGTCCAATATACTATGCAGCTAAAAGTACACAAGGCACTTTCAATAACATCATACTATGCAATAAATTCTTTTTGAATAAGTTTTGTGTCACAATGTTCCCTTATCAGCAGTCAAGATCTCACATGGTCCACCTCCCTTCCTTTCTGCTCCTGCTTTCTAGCTTTATACTCCTCATCCCATACTCCACGAGACAGCCTGCATGTTCACAGGCTAGTGACAACCAACAAGTTATACTTCACTACACCATTATCAATGATTGCGCATAATTTTTTGTTACACAACATTATTGGTCAGAGTATCAGCTAAAAAACAGTGGCAGTTTGTAGCATAATTTATCCATCAAAGTAGATGACAAATTGTATAATATTATTGTAAAATTACTATTTTACTCCAAACATCAAGTTTTTGGTCACTTATAGACTTGTACAACCTTTCACAATTTAATGTGTGTAATTTGTAATGGTAACAGGACTGAGTGGAGTCCAATTGGGTCTGTAATCATACAAGTGATTAACAAAATCGGACGACCGCGTAGCGGGAGTCCGATTTGTTTAATCCAGGTATGATTACATACCTAATTGGACTACACGAAGTTCTGTTACCAATTAATCATAACTTTAACAAAATTTGTGTCATTTGTTTCTCAAAACACAAGAAATTTGAAATTTTGTTTTGCTAGCAGTAAAAAAAAAAGCCATTTAAGCACACGCGTGATGGCGTGTACTGTCCAGTTACTTAGGCATGACATGTACTGTCCTATTAAACTGTCCAATTAAGTGCTAACTTTTCTGGTGAAAATAACTACAATAAACTTTCCAGGGTGTCAACTATTTTAGAATAAACAAAAAAAACTTAAAAATTCAATTTACCAAGTCCTCATAATCAACCTCATTGTTGAATCTAAAGGTCTCTAATACCATCCACTGGACAAGTCAAAAAACAACCTCAACTGTGTTATGCCACTGTGTAGAGATTCATCCACCTTTTGAAGAACTTGCTGATGCCTGATATTCATTACTATATAAGCTGTCATACACGGAGCTATGCTCTAAAAAAATTTTCAAAGAGCCCAAAACCCCAGGGGGGAAGGGGCTACTCCCTTACAAGAGACTAGTGCGGATGTGCCACCGGATGAGGTCACATTTTCAAGAGTGAAGAGACTATAATGGGGTCGCATTTTCAATAGAGTTATAGAATGGGGTCGCATATTTTCGGGGTAAGTAGGTATTCAAAATGGGAAGACTCCCAGTTAAAAAGATCAGAAAGTTGTTTATTAAGTTTAACAATAAGCTGGTATTGACCGCATTACATTCCATTCTTGAAAACACAACTTAAATAATAACCAGTTACTCAATGGCACAAAACCACAGGCCCAGAACAAAGTCCACCGAAACATCAATACTACAGCATTTACTTTTCTACTGGATTGTTATCAACCATCGAAGATAATTTTTGGATGACCTTTTTAAAGGATTGACAAGGTAGATGAATAAATAGAAAGTGACTAAGTTGGGATCACAAAAATTACATTTTCCAAAAAGTGACTAAAATGGAGTGGGGGCTCTGAGAGGCCAGCAGCACATATCCAGCAAACATTAACCAAGTACCCTGTGATTTCTTCACCACAAAGGCAAAAAGGAAGTCACCAGGGGCCACTAAGCTCTGCTAGAGCACAGTGGTGATACGAATCTTCTCACTACCCTAGACAGATGCACAAAATAATAGGCATCAGAAAATACAAGGTTGGAGGTGGGAGGCAGTTGTGATGGACAGCGTCCTCCCAGGGAACAAGGTGGCAAATACTGTTATACTACAATATTATAAGCTAATGTCACAACTTTGTGCAAACTTTGTGCCAAAGGTGGAATGAGCTTTGCTTTTCACAGCAAGCTTCTGAAACAGGCTATTGCTTGAACATTATATTTATTGGTGAAAGTTGTATTTAGCGGCCAAACTGAAAACAAAAATATCATCTACTGAAACAAAAAAACGTATTACTTTATTCTTTTAATTCAATATAATTTTTACATACTGTGTTTCACAGACTTAATAAATTCACTTACAAGACACTTGATTTTCACCCATTTCCCTGGACTATACTCACAAAAAATAAAGTTCACTTCGAAAATTGCTTGAAGTGTGACTTAACATGACAGTTGGCATAAAGCTTTTTGGATACTAAGGGTGCAAAACAAAAAAAGTTATCATGAAACAGACTGTGGTTTGCCACACAGCATCTCCATGATCAGCATACATTGAACTTTCACTTACATGGGAACACAGGAAATTATGTTTAATCAGGGACTAAGTTGGATGTAACTGCTAAACAAGTAGGATATCATAACTGAAGATTTGATCAACAAGGCTTTTGTCACTAAAAGGAAAGGACAGAGCCCCTAGTACCTAAAGGAAACAAACTTGCAACTTGTTCAGTCTACGTGCTAAAGCCAAAATATAAAGGGAACCCCAGGCTTCCATTTTCTGCTATAGACAAGAGCCTTGATCAGTATTATCTATGTGTATTTGTACATAAAAAACACCAATGATCATTAAGGGGAAATTGAGTTCACTGATAACAATGCACTGTCAGCTACATGAAAGTAGAGATGATAAAAGGCTGCAAAATAAATGCCACCAAATATGGTGAAAACCTGTGTTAACAATGATCAAAACATTAAGAGAATTTAGTGCAAGATTGATCATGTCATGCATTGCAAAGTTATTTAAAGCAGTAATATTTTAGTAATGAAATACAGCTTGACAGTTCAAAAGATTTAAAGAAAGTTTAACTGCATTGACACAAGATTTGAATCAGTGAAAATGGAAGAGTTCCACAGCTTAACACTTGAAAACTTTGTACAAAGCATTACTTTAAATAGCAGCTTGTATCCTGCTTTAAAAGATCGTAGCAGCATTATCTTCTATAACTACCAGTATAAGATTGTCAGTCTGTTAGTTTTAGTTAAAGGAGGAGAATGAAGTCTTGAACAGATTCCAGCCAAGTTTAATGATCCAATACTAGGTTATACTCTCCACTTCTTGTTCGACTGTGATTATCTGCTGCGGCATAGAGCAAGAATGAGTTAAATTTACATATAATAAACATTCCGCTACAACCATTATACAACATAAAAACAAATAAACTGAACTTGTTTTCATAATTGAGATTTTAAAATCATTTCAAATATTAAGAAGGCTCACATAAAATATTCATCAATACACAGCAAGTAAAGGTATTACAATGCATAGTGAAGAAATCTGACTTATGTTAACAAGGTTAATTCAGTTCAAAACCTAACAAAAATGAAAGTTAAATTTCAAGTAGTTAACAGTATCATATCTAGAAACGGATTATTTAGTGTCAGTCAGAAAGGTTAAAAATGGTTGAGATTACAGTTAAGAAAGTCAAAAACATATATGTATAACACCTTTTGAAATCAATCTATACAACAATTAATGCAAGGATTTAACGTCAAGTCATTAAAAAGGAACAACAGCCTCGACGTTCATGTTTCCTTGTCATGCAAATAGCCCATTAAAATAACAAGTATTGTCTGTATAATCAGTTTTCTCTCCATGCCCAATAACCACCACAGGTGTGAAAGGTGCTAGTTGTGGCTCACTGCTCTAAGTTCATTTTGTTAATTTTCATCAATAAAGAGTCCCAGTAGTTCAAAAGGTGGACAACACTAACCAATCACTATCCACTGGACAACACAATTTGTTTCCAAAACATTGGATAGTGATTTATCTGGTGGATAGCCCCATCCAACCATTGAACAACAAGGGCCAGAAAATTAGGAATGCAAGTCTTTCAATGATAACATCACAGCTACATAGCAAAAATGATTCCCAAGCACTATCATTCTCACTTAACACAGACTACTATAGAATTTAGAGGACAGCCCATAATGAACCAAATGATGAATAGTGTGCATGTATCAATGCGGCCTGTTACAAACAGTTCTCAGTTTGTCATAGGCATTACAGGAATACAAAGGAAAAACATGTGAGTCCCTGATAACAGTCAAACCAATGACATACACATGCTCCAACAGCAGCTTAGCTGCAAGGAAACAGCAAACTATAGCTCATTAACACAGCAGCAACTGGCCAGACATTAGGCTCCTCAAGGATTTCTCCAGAGATCAGTAGAAAGGTACCCCATGCAAGCAACATTGCAGGTGCAGGGTCAAGTGTAATGGTTAGTGAAGTAACAGTTCATACAATGCCTATTCCCTTGTGTTCTTCCCTAGGCAAAAAAAATTTTTACCCTAAACTATCTTTCTCCATACAGTTGCATACATTACAGGTCCAATTTCATTTTTAGGATAAATTTTTTTAGTATATACTAAAACAGTGGATAGTGTTTTTCGCACACTCTGATTGGCTACTCAATCAGTGAATATCCTGCACTATTCACTGATTCACCTCCAGTTCCTCTGAGCTAGCGACGCCAAACTCACGTAAGTTGCGAGCAAAATGCCTTTCCGGTTTGCTGCCGTAACAAACTAAGAAATTTCACAACTAATCAAGCAAGCTATTCTCAAAATACATGAAGAAGGTGACAAAGTTCGGTTTGGAAGTTTTAACAGGTAAAGCTTTGTCTTTTTGACTTGAATTTATCGATAAAACCGGTGAAAAAGTTTTTTGTTTACAAATGCAAATTGAGCTTAAGTCTTGTGTTACTTTATTTAGTTGACTTATTCATAAATAAGCTTAAAACTAAATTTAATAATCTTTTTTACAGAATGATTTTAAATACAAAAAGAATTCACAACTCCTTTTGAAGCAACTTCCCCAGAAGAGCTAAACAAACGCTGTCAAAAGTTTTATTTGTCGCCAAGAAAAAGCGACGACCACGGCCGTTCGGTCATCACGCGCCAAAATTGTAATCGTTGGCAACAGTAAATGAATTCAAAATCATCATTTTTGTGCTCAGTTATCTCACTGTTTTAGTATATACTAAAACAATTATTCACCTCAGTGTCCGTGGCTGGTAGTGGATATTTACCTCGCCACTTCGCAGCCTCGGTAAACATCCACTACTAGCCACCTCCACTTTGGTGAATAACTGTTATTTAACCTTGGTCTTAAAATCAGGCACACCTAACTTGGGTCACAAAGCTTCTGTACATGTACTTCACTTTCACCCTTCCCATGTTGCTTGGCAATAGTTTTTTGTGGATTTGTCTAATTTCAAGGTCAACATATAAAGGGAGAAGGAAAAGGAGGCGCAACATGTTAATGTTAGTAATCCAAATTGTAATGTCATGAATTGTAGGTTAAATCAGTCACCCTGAAATATAATTTGACCTGCAAACATATACATGGAATGTTGATAGCAGCCCTGTGGTGACCCAGCAGCCTAACAAGAACGAAGCTGTAGAATCTCTGCTTTAAATGTTAAGGCAAACAGGTGAGTAAACCACCTGCCTCCTGTGACTTCCCCTTTGCTTCTTAACCATGGTTCTTTTTTCTCCTATCCATGCATGCAAGCATCCTCTACAGGACATTTACTGGGCTTAACATTAGCCATTGCTTGCTTTGACTTATTAGACCAAACTTAAACTTGATAACTGCCTTGATTCTGGTAAATTATTATACAGCATGAGGAATGTAAAAACACATGGAGCTTAAAAAATGAACAAGCTCACCATATAGACTCCATGAAGCTCTGGAGTTTGGTGATTCAAAAGCAAGCGGTTGGTCCAAGTATGACACTTTGCAGGGAACCAGAATATTTCCGTTGTATTTCAACCACTCAACGTTGAGGTTTATGTGACATCTTCATGGAAAAGTTTAATGATTCTTAACTTTTAATTTCACTTGTATGCTTCACTCTATTTCAAAGTCATATCCACTGAATACATGTACAACCAAATAGCTGTTTTATACCATGGTATACAAATTCAATCTAAAATCTATATTCTACAATTTTACCAAGTAATTTTTTAAAAAATTCTAAGTCTGCATGGTATAAACCAACATGTCGTGGTATGAAATTCGTGCAGCATGTGAGGTATAAAAACAACCTAGAAAATGAAATTCGTCTTCGTGGCAAACTGCCCGTACATGGAAGTCACTGACGTTCAGTGTTGTCTACTGCAGCACAGATGTCGCTACTGCGTTACCCCGACCTGCGGTTGATCGTGAGTTTCCAGTAACTTACTCGGCACTGAAGTTTTCCTGTGTGGATGTGGAATGTTCTCTGGTGTTGGAATAGCTTTACCCACTCCAAGGGGCAACGGAAGGGGTTTTCCTGAATTTCCTCTATTAATGGCGGCTGCAGGGCCTCCTTTTTTCTCGCTTTTTGCCATCGCATAATCACCAGAATCGAAATATTTGACCTAGTAGAGGATAAGCACAATATGAGGAATAAACAAGTCGATTTTGTCCGTTTAATATGATTTGAGCGTCAAAAATTATTACACGCTCTAAAAATCTTAACATCCACCTTACATATAGGTAAATATTATATTTAAGGCTAATACCCCTCTCTGCATTCTCTTTTTCAGAATATCAGTGGCAACTGGTTTCTTCCCTGGAAATTTCAGTTCCAACTTCTGCTCTTCGGTGAGCTACAAAAACAGAGAATATGGAAAAACGAAACGGTTAGCTCAAAATCTACATAAGGAAGTTCCATTCACAAACTTTACCTCGCTAAGTTTTTCTTCTGGGGCTGTTTCCTCGCTCATTTTCAGCCAAGCAACGACACACTACAATCCAAGATGGCCGACTTCAACCCCTCACTGAATAAACTGAAAAAAACTTGTTGAGCTTACGTCACTAGAAGCACCGCAAAGCATGCGTGGGTTTTGTGTAATGCCGCTCGATTCCGCCGCTCTCAGCTCTGGACAGGGTAACCCCCGGGGGGGGGGGGGGGGCCCNACCCCGTTCTAAAAAAAATTTCCCCTAAAATTAATACCCCGTTCTAGAATTCGCCCTAAAACGGATACCCCGTTCTAGAAATGGGCCAATTTTTTATACTCCGTTCTAGGGTGCTTGTTAACGCATTGAGCCGTATTTTTAAAAGCAATCTGTCCTTGAATAATTTCAAATGGCTGCTTACAAAACTGGAGCTTTCGTGCGTTCGAAATATTATACCCCGTTCTAGCAGACGCCTCTGAAATGGATACCCCGTTATAAATTAGGAGCTTCAAACTCACGAGTCACGACCCGTGGGCGGCACATACCAGTATAGGTAATGTATGGGAGTACCCCCCCCCCGGGGGGCAACCTAAAGATCAGGCCCAATATCAGCGGTTCTCATACATTCTCTCAAACGGCTACCGCTAAAATTGGTGTTTTCGTTTCGCCTTGCCCACCGGAATGTTGTTACAAAGCGAAACGAAAATTGAGTCTGATCTCAGGTTATGAACAGGGGCCAGGAACCCATCAGTGAATGGAGCCTCCATCTCCCATACAAGCCCTTGGAGTCAACCCTTTCCCGAGTAGATTTATAATTAGAACGGTTCCCAGGGGAGACTTCCCGCGCCGACTGTGGGAAGAGCCAATCACAACGACGAAACGACACTGCTATAGTACTTCATCAAACAGCAGGAAATTTGGTGTTGACAGGCCAAACACAATCATAAGCAAGTGAAACGTGACTTTGGCGCTTTCATCCCTCAGAGATTTTCTTTTTTTTTTCTTTCTAGCGGGTAGATTATACTGTGGAGAGTTTTAAACTCTGACTATTTAATCTTAATTTTGGTTGCTTGTCTCACATTAAGAGGCCATGCAGCTGGTCTGCTACATGCATTTAGTCAAAATTTCCGGAATTTCCGGTTCGGCGGTAAATGGAACACGTTTCGTTGGTTAAGGTTCGTTCCACTGGAGAATTCCCAGAAAAAGTGGAAAATCTAAAAAGGTTAGCCTGCGTCGCAGACACTCTAAACCTTACTATACAAATGGTTTAGACGAGTGCGTGGGCCGGCTGCAACTCAGGCTAAAAAAGGTGGGCCCGTTTACCCGGTTGGAATTTCCGAACGGAATTTCGTGTTCCATTTACACGTTTCACGTAGTAGTAGCCTGCGTGGCAGGCGTTTGAAAGGGAAGGGAAAGGGGGTTTTGGGCGTGAGGGAACGTAGTAGTCGTAGTTTGTACCAGTTCCAGGTCCACGGACGGGCACCGCGACGTACCGGGGTTTACGACCAAACGGAACAAGTTTTTACCGCTCGAAAATTCCACTTTTGCTCCCACCGAAATTTCCGGGTGTTTTTCCTAAATGGAAAGCGCCCCAGGCGTCCGAAGCTCACGTTACGAGTGTGTTATCTAAATTAACTTTCTCACCAGAGAGTCGGTGTCGCGTTACAAGCAACCGTTGAGATTTGTATGAGAAATAAAATACTAAGGCCTGCAAACTCTAAATATCATTATTCTTACTTATTTTTCTATAAAATAAATAAAGGAGACTTCCCTTCGATATTTTCCTGTGCTTTTTGGTATGAATTCATCGATTTAGTCGGGGTTTTTTGGCTGTTATGTTATTGTTTGACCACTATCACTTTCCTCAGGTCCGGACCCCCCTATCCGACCCGACGCTTGTTTGAGACTGAAATTCTTACATTGACAGGATCGAATATCACTTTTTAACTGGCTGATTTTTTTTTTAATGAAACGCGCGTTGCATTTTGCCACTAAACCAGATTCGAGGGATATTTGCGTTCGAGGTACGAGAACGCAACCCCTAATTTGTGTTGGAAGCTCTGTGCATTATTGGGTGTCCTGTGCAATTAATAAGGGAAGTATTGTGCATTCGTCGTCGTCGTCGTCGTTTGACGCGCTAACTCACGTGGTGATTCGTGTGTTCTCGGCGATCATCTTTCAAACGTTAGCTGAGGTCTGCTATTCTGTCGTCGTAAATAAGTGTGCTGAATCTTCGTAAAGCGTACATATTTAAGAGTTTGCCGAAGGTCTACTATCGATCTGTGAATAATGAATCTTCCAAAGCGTTTATCTTTCAAAAGTGAGCTGAAAGTTTACACCCTAAGTAAAATTTTACTTTGGATTGACTAAGCCTTCATATTTTTCTTTGGAAAATGCAGTGAAAATGCGTGCTACTCCTGGTGCATGCATCAAACCGGGTTGTTTAGCTCGGCGTCCGTTGTGTCACAAAGTAAATTTACCGGCGAGTTGTGAAGAAGCTCAGCGTCTGTTCTGCCACAAAGTAAATCTACTGAGTTGTATAGCTAGGCGGCCGTAGTGCCACAGAGTAAATCTACCGAGTTGTGTAGCTCGGCGGCCGTTATTCCACAAAGTAAATCTACCGAGATGTGAAGCCCGACATGTACAGCACCATTTCATCATGACTTGTGATATTTTCGGCACTGGACAAACGAACATTGTAGCCCTATGTTATTTTTTCGGAAAAACGTGACCAACCCACGGTAGCGCCAATCTAGCCTGCGTGGCAGGCGTTTGAACAGGCTAGCGCCAATCAAGCCATTGAAATCAATACACTCGACCAACCTCGTTCCCAGGGTTCTCTCCTACCCTGGGAACGAGGATGACACAAGGATGACACTCGACCAAATTACTGGAAAAGTCAGGGGCACCCAACGACAATTTTTGGAAAATATCTGTTCGGAAGACGATTTGAGATCTAGAATTTTCGGAACATTTGTTGTTAAATTTCTTGCCTGCCTGCCTCTCCTAGGATTTTCGAACCTCCCAAAAATGGTATAGTTGGCCATTTTTATCGGATTTTTCCCCTAAAAAAGTCACCTAGAATTTTCGGGATCCTTTTTTCTGGCTGAAATTTTCGAAAAGGTAGGTTTTGATCCCTACAATTTTCGGATCACTAGACTTTCAGCTAGGAAATCCGAGCAGATGAAAAAAAATTAGGGGATAAGAAATAAAAAAGATATATCAGGGTCGTAACTAGATATATGGGATCAGGGATCACAGGGCCGGGATCTGAGATCACAAGCCGTGGGATCGGGATCAGTAATACTGTAAGGGGATCAGGGATCCGGTTCCTCTCTCGGAAATGACAGCCAAGACCACAAAATTCTGAAATACGCGTTAATTGGAGGGACCTGCCAACGTTTTAAAATTCAGTTGTAGTTTTGCTGTAACATTTGGATCCGGTACTAAACTGTATGCAATCTGATCTAGCCGAATCGTCCAAAATCCAGGANGACCACAAAATTCTGAAATACGCGTTAATTGGAGGGACCTGCCAACGTTTTAAAATTCAGTTGTAGTTTTGCTGTAACATTTGGATCCGGTACTAAACTGTATGCAATCTGATCTAGCCGAATCGTCCAAAATCCAGGAAACAAAATCCCCATCATGAATCTGGAAACAAATTGATCCAAAATTGTGAAGCCAGATTCCTTTTAAATTTCTTGTCGCTACACCTTTTCAATGTTATGCTAGCATTGTAAGCCGTTGTTGTTCATACGGCTGTTGCGATGGGGATTCTCTTATCATCCTGGGCTGAGTTGCTCAAAGCATGGTTAGCTTTAACCATTGGTTAAGCAGTATCAAAACCAATACGTTGTCAAGGTATTAAACGCTGGTTAACGCTAACCATGCTTCGAGCAACTGGGCCCTGGTCTTGTAGAATTCTGTAGCTATTTTGATCGCTGTCAAGCCAATCTTTGCCCAAAGAGATCTCATTTGGATCTCAGTCATTTTGCTGGAGCAGGAGTTACTGAGGAGCGTAGCGTCCATATACGCACATGCGCCCGTACGGCTAAGATAAGATATTAAAAATTATTTCCTGAAAAAGCATTTTTATCACTTGAAAATCGAGATGGCTGATACTTAGTTCGCACTATATTGGTGACTTTGTGTTAGTGATTACTCAGTTATCCTTTTATTATTCCACTATTCTGAGGGTGTCACTCGCCTTTTTTTCTTAAAGAATGTACCTTACCGACAACTCTAGAGATGGGTAAAGTAAACAATAACTAACTAACTGCATTTCCCTGCGTATCAAATCATTGCAGAAAATGCTGGAAATAACATTTCCGAGACCCTTTTTTTTTGGGGGGGGGCATGCCTCTTGACTCTCCTAGGCTGGGCCGCCTTCGGTGCTGCAAATCTTCATCACCGCGCATCGTACACCTTCAAGATCTCAGGCTACGCCCCTGAAGCTACGCACACTAGTATGAGTAGTCTACAAGGATAGTTAGATGGTGATGTACGACTAGAGGCCTTAGTTTTTCTATGATATGCAGCTTATCCAACCCAGATTGAATCCAGGGATCAAAAAATTTTCAGGGGGTCAGGGATCAAGATTTGCAGCAATTTTGGGATCAGGGATCGAAATTTAAGGTCGAAATGTGGGATCAGGTGGGAGAAAATATACCTCGTTACGACCCTGATATATGCCTATATCTACCGTTTAAATACAAAAATACGTTCCAATGCTATGTTTAAGTGGTTTTGAACTATATTCTCGTTGGATGTCCCTGAAAATTTATTGACGTGAGCCGCACACACATTCCACGGAAGGCTTTAATGATTCCCTTAAAACGTGTGAAATTGAGAGGTGTAGTGTAAGTGAACCAGTGTTCAAAGACAATCATTTTGCCCAGCATTCACCACAAAAATGTGATCTTGGGTCGCTCTTTAATAAGTTAAGAAGACTTGCCAGTAACGGTTCCGGCATTTTATTGTAAATTTTAGTAATTGTCTACATGTTGAATTCCCAATATTAAATAAAATTAATGATTACATCTAAAACTTTGTCAACTGTTTGCTGTTTAACAATACCTGGGCCGGGTTGTTCAAAGTTGGGTTAAGATAACCCAGGCGAGGAGGGTTAGTGCGAAAATTGAACTCAGATGTGAAAGCTTCATTTTGCCAACAAGGTGATGATTGGACGCTCTCAAAAATAACTGAGAAAATTATCCAAAGAAATGTTTTTTAACGAAAGAAAAAGAATCCTGGGTTAAGCGCTGATTGGCCTTCGAACAGCTGCGCCCTGTAGAACATCTATTGCGCCAGTGAAACAAAAAGTTCTTTTTACAAGCCCGAAGCACTCTGGCCAGTGTCTTCTCAAATAACAAGCACTTGAGACGAACCATACGATATCACGCTGATCACTAGCCTTCAAAACCTTTTCATTATCATACCGCACAGTTTAAATCGAGGTTTCGCTGTACGCAACCCTTACGTTCAAAATATGCCATAATCATAGTTATCTATCGCAAGAACCATCCACCCTTTCCCCTCAACTGCTACCTGTACGCCTAGCAAAGATATCGAACGCACTCTCCTAAGCTCCGATTACTCCTAGTTTTAAAAAAAATGTAATTGTTTTTAGGCAAAGCAGTACTTCCCGCGCCAACGGTGACCAGCTTTCACAGATTGAGAAACACGTGGTCATCTCTGGGAGAAGTAATTTGCCACAAAAAAGTTCAACAGTCCTTTCCGAACCAAAGTTTGGATCCCTCGCCCCCCATCCCAATAAAAAATTCCTGGATCCGCCCCTAATAAAAAAAACCGAGCCAAAAAAAAAGCATCTCCTGTAAATAAAGAGCTTCCTCAGTCCCAGGCTGTTTTATCCCTTTATGCTGCTTGTTTATGTTAACATCTTAATCATGAGGAGATATGCAGCCAGTAAGCTTTTGAAGAAAAAAGTGCAAGAACAAACTGAGAAAATTGTCCAGAAGTGTTGACAGAAGTTGTCAGTAGAAATTTATTCTCTTTTCGACGACTTTTAGGTTGGTCTTGTAAAAAATGAGGGTCACCAATCGTAAGTTGTATGCAAATTCATTAGGAAATTTAATGACTGGATTTGGGGAAAGACCAAATAACCTCGAAATTCTTGGTTATCTATCATCCATGTTGCCATAGCAACGTCTCAAATCTCACTTTTATCCTAATAAATGCCATACATTTTACCTGTGCCAGTTTGAGCTTTAGACCAGCGAGGAGTTTTAGATAACTTTAAAATGATTGGTAACGATCCACAACCTTGAAACTGTGTCCAGCCACCTTAAAAACGCTAACTCTCCGTAACGAGAAAGACTAGGAATCAGTCAGTTCCATATATGGCCATGACACCATTGGAATCCGCCATTTTGTTTAGGTAGCGAACCTGAACTCGTGGCCTCGGTAAGTTCGGTTGAAAAACAGCCAATATTGATAAGATGGACGAAAAACCGATACGAATGGAATGCCCTAGCCTTCCCAATGGCTGGCAGCGTGAAATTGTGATGAGAAAGTCTGGATTATCTGCCGGAAGAAGCGACGTTTATTATTACAGGTATGGTTTTATGATCGATTTTACAACCCTCTAAATGGTATCAAGCTAGGGTGGATCGTTTTCCTTTAAATTCTGATTCAGATTGTTTGGTTTTATTTGTCTTTTTCGTTGTTGTTGGAAATCGTCATGCCTTCTGAATTGTCGATGTTTCGCATTTTTGGTCTCGTTAACTTTGAGGGACTTTTCGGCGGTTANTATTACAGGTATGGTTTTATGATCGATTTTACAACCCTCTAAATGGTATCAAGCTAGGGTGGATCGTTTTCCTTTAAATTCTGATTCAGATTGTTTGGTTTTATTTGTCTTTTTCGTTGTTGTTGGAAATCGTCATGCCTTCTGAATTGTCGATGTTTCGCATTTTTGGTCTCGTTAACTTTGAGGGACTTTTCGGCGGTTACTCAATCTACTAAGGGACTTTCCATTGTTTGAATAGTAGTATCCAGGACGCGTTTGTTCGCTTAATGATCACCGGGATTATTTTAATCCCACGTTATTTGTAGGAGAAGGAGACTTTCCATTAGATGTGCCCAGTTAGTGCCCTTCTAAACAAGTTCCCACACATGTCAGGCTCATCTGTGATCTTGAGATTCCCCTTTTAAACATTATTTGCATAATTAACCAAAAAAAGTTGAAGGTACCTGTACGAAGTGTTTGATACCAGTGGGAGAAGCTACAGAATACAGGGCCATATCTTAAGGTCTTAAACAGAAGTGGCTCGAAGGGTTGCTAGTCATGACGAGTGTTTAAAGAACAAAAAGACGTAACACATGATAAAGTAAAAGACCGGTGTGCAACAAACGTAGACAGCAATTTCACAACATTGTTGTGAAATGTTTTTACAGATTCCCTATCCCTAAAGTTTAAGTCTTCTAAAAGTCTATTTAGGGATAGGGAATCTGTTAGAGCATTTCACAACAATGTTTACCTTATTTACCTGCCAGTCTGCAAGTCTGCAGTCTGCATTTGTCGCACACCAGTAAAAGACAGACATAAAGAAAGACATACACCTATTTCAATTAAGGTTGCTTCTGAGAAGAATAATGCCTGATCCATGTTTCTTAGTCCGCGGTGCCTTATTGTAATTAGAAACTTTAAGATCCAACAACGCGACGGCGACAAGAACGTCGCTTAAAAAGTGAATTTGCGGTCTTTCAGTCTTAATAGTGATCCTACCCACTTACTTTGCAAATTGTAGGCGAACCCTCCTGAAGCTGAATTTCAAGGGACCATATTCAAGCTCAGAAAGAGAAATAAAATTTTGTCGTTGCTTGTTTACGTCCTCCAGAAAACGCAAATTAGGCGTTTTCACATCATAGTTGTGCAAAAACGGGAAAGAAATGTACAAAAAAGTGTGATGCACGTGCCAAGTTGTTGTTTTGCTGATTAAACCTATAGTTTTTCTGACGTTCTCGTTGTTGTCCTCGTCATTGGATCTTAAAGTCCCTATATGTGCCCGCAACGAGCCTAGAAAGCAAACGCTGCAAACGCTTCTATGCTATGTCAGCAGAACGTTAAGACAATGTATTTCAAAACACTGAATCCTAGGCTTTTTAATTTAAGACAGTGATTTGAGGTAAGGTTTTTCTCTGTGGTAATATGCTGCAAATTTTCAACGAGTTTGCTTCGCTCGTGCACGTGGGAATTTTGGATAGAGTTTAAAAAAAATCAAATTCAAGGCGTTTGTCGAACAACAATAAATAACTTAACATTACGTGTTGATTTATTTTTGAGGCAATTTTTTAAAACTGAATAAGAAAAAGAATAGCGTTGATTTGCTTTATTAAAATAACCAGCATTCTGGCCCATGCAAAAACGCAGCTTAATCAGGTGGTAGAACCCTATTCATTTAATGTTGTTAGAAGAAGAGGCTTCTAATTGTTTACTTTGAGATTTTTAAAAATGAAATTTTTCAGCTTGCTCATGCTTCAGAATTTTAGCAGCCATTTGACTTGAAAGCTGTCTTGAACACCTTTTCACAAATGGTCACCATTATTTCAATGAACGTGAACAAGATTAAACTTCCCGCTACAAAAGGGTTTATCATAGTACACTGCAGGCTATGAAACGTGGTTCACGGGAGCAACCTTAACGGGAATAGGTGTATACATATGAGTTTGGCAAGTTTTAAAGAACAAGTATATAGTTAGTGGCTCAATGGCTCATCAGTCGATGTGAGTGTCTCTGTCAAAGAATAAGAAAAGTATATAATTTAGTGGCTCAGCAGCTAAGCGGCTTGTCAGTCAAGGTTACTGTCTTACTCAAGAAAGGTATATGTTTTGATGGCTTGGTGGCTTATCAGTGACTGCCGAGCCACCAAGCCACCAGAACAAATATATACCGAGAAAATTTGCCCTGTATTCTGTAGTTATGCCCGCCACTGGAAAGGTGGTGTATTCTAGTGATTTTGCTGCATAGCAGGTAATCCATTTTTCTGCAATTAATTTTTGTATAGAAACTGGGATACTTTTAAATCAAACTCTTGCATCAACTTAAGGCCCTTGAGATAGAAAATAAGTACCATGTAAGCATGAAATTTCACTGATTTGAAACCAGCATACCCAAATAGCTTTGACTATTGCTGCGAGTGTTGCAATAGTAACAACATTATCATGTTATATCTGAGACCAGACAACCTTTCCATGGCCAAACAATTTTGATTATTATAACTGATACCAGACAACCTCTCCATGGCCAAACAATTTTGATAATCTAAAACTTGAGAAAAATTAAAAGTCATGACATAATTATCATCGTGAAGTAGACAATGAGGAGAGGAATGCCTGTTAGCCAGCAAAGAAGCTAACAGAAATATGAAATGTGAGGCCGTTGAAAATTTTTAAGATTTTTGGAGAAACCAAGGACTCTTGTCTTTTTTAATAAGTGGCAATCCTTAAGAAACATGTAACTACATGTACAATAAGTCCAAACCCTGTTTTTTTCTCAATACATTAGGCAAATTGATTATTATCAAGAAATAAAAAATAAATTGTTTCTTTAATAATTTTACTAGCAAACAACAACAACAACTGTCAAAAAAGGAAAGAAGCACAAGAACACATAAAAAGTTCGTAATTCTGTAAAAATGTTTAGTTTCTTTTAATCTCTCAAAACAACTCAGGTGAAAAAGTAGTTGGACATGGCTAACACTGGGAAATGGATACTTCTCTTCAATTTTGAACTGGAAAACTTTCGCTGCAAATTCTTCTTTAAGTTGCAATCTCAATGTCAGTGACATGATGGGGTTAGGGTAACGTACCAAGTGTTATGGTTTTAGGCTAGATAATAAACCAAGTTTTTGAAGATTGGTTTGAAAAGGGTATATCCAAAGTAAAGTACCTCCAAACAAGAAANCTGTATTCTGTAGTTATGCCCGCCACTGGAAAGGTGGTGTATTCTAGTGATTTGGCTGCATAGCAGGTAATCCATTTTACTGCAATTAATTTTTGTATAGAAACTGGGATACTTTTAAATCAAACTCTTGCATCAACTTAAGGCCCTTGAGATAGAAAATAAGTACCATGTAAGCATGAAATTTCACTGATTTGAAACCAGCATACCCAAATAGCTTTGACTATTGCTGCGAGTGTTGCAATAGTAACAACATTATCATATTATATCTGAGACCAGACAACCTTTCCATGGCCAAACAATTTTGATTATTATAACTGATACCAGACAACCTCTCCATGGCCAAACAATTTTGATAATCTAAAACTTGAGAAAAATTAAAATTCATGACATAATTATCATTGTGAAGTAGACAATGAGGAGAGGAATGTCTGTTACCCAGCAAAGAAGCTAACAAAATATGAAATGTGAGGCCGTTGAAAATTTTTAAGATTTTTGGAGAAACCAAGGACTCTTGTCTTTTTTAATAAGTGGCAGTCCCTAAGAAACATGTAACTACATGTACAATAAGTCCAAACCCTGTTTTTTTTCTCAATACATTAGGCAAATTGATTATTATCAAGAAATAAAAAATAAATTGTTTCTTTAATAATTTTACTAGCAAACAACAACAACAACTGTCAAAAAAGGAAAGAAGCACAAGAACACATAAAAAGTTCGTAATTCTGTAAAAATGTTTAGTTTCTTTTAATCTCTCAAAACAACTCAGGTGAAAAAGTAGTTGGACATGGCTAACACTGGGAAATGGATACTTCTCTTCAATTTTGAACTGGAAAACTTTCGCTGCAAATTCTTCTTTAAGTTGCAATCTCAATGTCAGTGACATGATGGGGTTAGGGTAACGTACCAAGTGTTATGGTTTTAGGCTAGATAATAAACCAAGTTTTTGAAGATTGGTTTGAAAAGGGTATATCCAAAGTAAAGTACCTCCAAACAAGAAACAACAAATTTGTGACTCTCAATGATTTTGCCCCCAAATGTGATGTTATGTTATGCTTCATTAGGTTTATTTTTAACAATTAATGAATGAGGCTGATTATCTTATGAAGAATTATGGAGATTGAGGAGGGTGTTATCCTGTTATCCTGAGGCAGATAGCACCCTCCGAGATCTCCATAATTCTTCATATTTATACGAAAGCCGAATTCAATAATTGTTTTATTATTCATTCAAAATAATTCATAGTTTAAAAACATGGCTAAACATGCTTACCTCCATCGACCCATCGGTGTTAAGCTCATCTTCGATAGTGGACGTTTAGGGTTGTTCAGCTCCGCAAATATTCTCCAAATAGCAGATGTCCCCCTTCGAGTTGTCTTCTTGCTGTTCTTGCCATGTTTTTAGTTACTTTTTCGCCTAGTTCTTACTCTTGAAACGAGTGAAATGTCCACCATTTTTCAAGTTCAGAACGAAAACAACTCAACCTCGTCCCCAGGTCTTCTCTGTTAAGGGTGCATTAACCTGTAGAAGGCTGCATTTTTGACATCATTTTCTCGTGAAACACAAAATTCTTCCAAATTGGGTCATCAGTAACTGGTTATGGTGAATTATGCGGGTGCTTTTAGCCAATCAGAATTGGGGAAATATTTTGAATGAATAATAACAGCTGTTAAATACCTTTGCCAAATTTTACCAAATCTGGCAGGTGAGGCAAGAGACTACAACTTTGAAACATTACATGTATGTGACAAAAATATTGTAAAACTGATCAGAGCCGAAAGTTTAACCTCATGTAACAGCCAAAGTAAATGCTTTCAGGACTGTTAATACTTAAGAGAGAAAAAAAGCTTAAATTGGGAACTTGCCTACATGTATCACATGGCACTTTGATGCCCAAGGAGCACAAGACTAATCAAGTTTTAGTTTTAACTTTTACATAGACTCAAACCAAATAACGATAACTTACTTAAAATTGGAAGAAAATGGCAACTTTACTTTTTGCTGCAATTCCTTAGAGACGTCAATAGTCATCTTTTTTTGGTCATACCATGTTACGTCCTCCTTTTGGAAAAGCATGACTGATTGCATGGCTCAAAGATTACAACTAACTGGTTGCATATGCGACTGGATTTTTGGTTGTGCACCTAAAAATTCATATGTAATTGCACTTGTGCACCACAAAACCCAAAGCACAGTGCGACTGACTTGCTTCCCACCATACTTACGTGCTCGAACTAAAAAGACGTTAAACAGTAGCTTCAAGCAAATTATGAAAGAAAAAGTAGTGTAGAAATAGCACAACGAGGCTCTAAATAATAAGTTACATTGTTTTTCTTTCATCTGTGTTTGTTTAATTCGTCTTTTCTCCCAACGGATTCCATGGACCCAAATTTTCATTTTCGTTTTGATGTTCTACTCCATCCCATACTCTTCTGTTTTGTAATAAACGCTGCTGACAAATTTAAATATGCTACGAACAAAACACATGCTTTTTGCGAATAGGCGATCGTGTCGAGCGTTCAGTTTTAAGGTCAATCAAAACAAAAAAAACAGTGCAGATTAAGGGCCTTTTTTTTCCATGTAAGAAAGTTTTTAAGCCATATCCCAGTTACATGTAAGTCATTGAGCATTTTTAAACAAATTCATCAAAGATTAATTTTCATTCTCATTTGACACACTCATTGTTGTCAGTTTTGAATTTTTTTTTGAAGTGTATGTTTTCTTTAGTCACAACTGTACTGTCAAAAAGAGAAATTAGTATTAAAAATCACAGAGGGTATTACTTCTTAGCAAATCGGCTGTGTTTTATCAATCACGAGACTGAAATAAAGGTAACAAACTGAATATGACATATAAACGTGGCACTATTAAGTTTTTTACTTTTTCTTTTGAAAAAGATGCTCCCAATATTATAAACTGTGCTCTACAATTTTCAGCTGTCTGCCTAAAATTTCGGCAGTGCACGTAAAAATTTACATCTGGTAGTACAAGTGTTGCCAAGCTCAAATTTAAACTCTGAGCCCTGGATTGACTTCAAAACTCTCTTCCAATACTCTTCAAATACAACTTGTTTAACAAAACTGCATTTGGGCGTGAGGTCAGAATCTCATTCATCAAAATACTTGCTTCAGTTGTTAAAGTACTGTCTCCTGCTAGTACAGTTCCATATTTGGCAAGCAAGTAATTAACATACCATCTTCTATACATGTTCCTAACCATATAAAATCAAGATCTACAAACTTGGGCAACACCAAAAAATAGAACTTCCTTGCAGATACTTTTTAATAGTTTTAACTTGTTTTTCCCTTCCCTTGACTGAAAAATACTGGAAATTTGTTTAATTTTTTGTACATTCATTATATGGAATTACATTTAATAAATAAATTAATTAATTAATTTCAAACAACAGGGTTGTTTATCTTATCAGCAGGAAATTTTTTAAAAAAGTTATTGGGTTAATGAACGGAAATTTTGTTATTCCATTTTCCATCACTATTGCTAAACAATATTGCTGTTTAAATTTTCTTAGTTTCCTAAACCTTCAGAAAGCGAAAATTGAACTTTTTTCATTTTCCCGAGAAAATGAAAATTAAGGATAGACATTGAATTTCAGTTTTCATTTTCTGTTGTTAACAAAACTCACAAAGAGATATTTTTGGAAATGTTAATGCATACTTTTGGTGCACGTTCATAAAGTTTTTAGGTACGTTTACCCCACCAACATGCAATTATTACTGATAAGCAAATTATACCCTTTTTACAGGAAACCCTTAGATTACAAACAACAAATCATATGAGCTAAACTTTTCTTTCATAATTATATGAGTGTCAGACATTATTGCCTGGGTTTGCGGTAAACCTAATTTTCCAAACAAATCTGTTCCTAAAATGAACACTTAAGAATGATGAGGTGTTATAACAGGGTGTGGAGGAGGGGTCCTGATCCCGCATTCCCGCTCTTTACTCACGAAAATCCCGCATTTCGCACTTTTTTTCATCGCTTTCCCGAAACCCGTTTTTTTGTGTTCAAAATATGTACGTTAATTAAAAAAACTAATTGATTGATATTTTGAATTTACGAGTGTTTTACGGCCATTGCATAAAAGGGAAATAACTTTTCATACCTCAGTTTGACCAACCGGAGGGGAAAAGGAGGAAGAAACGAAGAGGAGGAGAGAGGAGGGCGGGTTTCTTCCCCCCTTCTCTCTCAACCCCCACCCCCACGATGTTTTTTCTTGCTCCCTTTTCTTTGCGCTGCCCCCACAACTGAACGCCTGAAACGTGAAATTCTGGCGCTAGAGAACTCTTTGTGGCCTCAAGAAACGACACCAAAACTCTTGACTGTCTTATTCACAAGAGCAGAGCTAGGATCACTGTTCTGTTTGCAATATCTTAAGTTTAATGGATCAAAGTATCTCTTCAACTTATACAATAAATGTGAAGAGCTTGAGCAATTGAAGACATAAGCACTAGGTCATTAAAAACCATGTGTACTTTTCTGGCATCCGCTTGAAACTGTAAGTCTTTTATCCGCTCGTCCGTTGATTACTTGATAGTTTCGATTATGTAATCATTACCTACGTCACTCTTTTTCATAGCCAGGAGAACGCTCGCCTGTTCGACTTCGCATTTGCCGCTAGAACGTACGACTTCCCGAATTTCCGACAGACGGGCAAACAAAATCGCGCACCCCGTGCCCAAATTTTGGTGAATCCCGGTAACAGTCAAATCCCGTTTCCCGTCAAGATATTTTGCGTTTTCCCGAATCCCGCTCCGTATTTTGTTCAAATCCCGGATCCCGAAAATACCCTTCCAGATCCTGTTTTAACAGTGATTAAATTTAACATTATATCGGAGAAGGCCTGGCGTTAGTGCTGGCACAGGTACAGCATAATATGACGTCTGAACTTGGAGGTGACTTAAGCAAGGTGTAGAGTCAGATAAAAACAAACAAAGAAGAGAAAGAAGACGAGACAAAACCCGGCGATGGTTCGAATTCATTAATTATTTCATTTGTAAAAACTTTGACAACTGCTTTAGCCGTTTTCGTTTGATATGGAACGGTGCATATTTTCCATCCTGGACCCATTTATCTTTTAGTTTAAGCAATTAAGTAAGTTGGTAAACAACAAATTCAGCAAATATAGATCTTTCCATAGGTACTCAAGTTTGCCAATTTTGTTTAAACCTGACAGAGTTAAACACAGAAAACCTAGTAACATTTTGAGGACAAGATTAACTTGATGTTTTGGACGGACGTAATCACCAGAATGACTTAGACACGGTATAATATCCACACCACAAAACAACAGCTAACCAACATAGTCTCCGCAACACCAAGAAACACCCCAAAAAGAGGAGTTGGTGAAAAACCAATGCGGTTTATCGACATTCGCTGGTGTTCGCCAAAGGGTTACTAGTCTCTCACCCAGCCGTTTTTGCCTCGTCACGCAACGCTCCTTCCCAACAAACGGCTGCTAGTTACATTCGAACCACATTCCTTTCCTTATTTTACTGTAAGTGGCGTAGTACATTCAGCGAACATAGAGATAAGACCATGCTTCGAGTGTTTTTTAACCGCCCACCTCAAAAAGTGGTCGCGGTCGTTTACGAGAGGATCTAATTAATTCGCCCCTGGAAATTTTGCCTTGCCTGCGTGGCAGGCGTTTGAAAGGGAAGGGAAAGGGAGTTTTAGGCAAGAGAGAAACGCGAGGGACGTTTCCCTCGCGCCCAAAACCCCCTTTCCCTTCTGTTTCAAACGCCTGCCACGCAGGCTAAATTTTGCCGAAAAACGCGTTTTGAAGCTAGTCGAGCGGTTTTCTGGTCACTGTCGTGCTATAAATAGCTATAACTTACCATAAAGCCTTTTACAGGTCTTACACTTGTGCGGTCTTCTGATCTATTAGCTTGCGAAGTTCGGGCATGCGCAGCAAGTGAACATGATCCTTGCAATACAATGAACAACCCAAGCGGTTGAAAACGTGAAAAATACTGATCAGGCTTCACTTTCACATGTATAATTATTCTGATTATTATCTGGTATTTTGTCCGTTTTCTTTAACTTGTAATGTTTTTTTCTTAAACAGTCCAGATGGAAAGAAAATTCGCTCCAAACCTCAGCTGGAAAAACATCTTCCAGACTTGGATCTGGGCAACTTTGATTTTCGAAGTGGTACTTATTGCCGACGAAGCAAACGTAAGCAAGGTGACAAGGATCAGAGTTTTTGGCGCGACTTAAATGGAGGCATCATCCCAGCTCCGGTGCGTCAATCCAACAAATCACTGTCAACACAGAAAGTCACATATTATCCTCCATCTATGGTGGTGGCAGGTCCAAAAGAGAAAAAGCGCAAACATGATAATGCAGTGAATACAAAAACTGACAAAGATAAACCAAAACAGCTGTTTTGGGAAAAAAGACTACAAGGGATCCAGGTTAGATCGATGGATGAAAACGTGATTAAATGCTTTCAATTGCCGAGCCAAATAAAGAGTGTTGGGCCCAGTATAAATCAGAAGAGTTTAATGCACTCGTTAGTGACAAATTTATACAACAAAGCAAGTGTCAAAGGGCAAGACAGGTCGGCAGTAGCCTTGGAGAAACATCCTGAGGTGTGGCTTAATGCTGAACAGCCTCTGTGCGCACCATTTGTTATTACGGAGGCAGATATTAAAAAACAAGAGGAAAAAGTATCCACATTGAGGAGGCAGTTATCTGAGGCTCTTGTTGAATACGAACATTTGAAGAGAGACCTCCCGGTAAAGTAGGCGGAATGCATGTATGCAACATAAGTCGCTCAAGACAACTCTGCAATTATCTTTCTGAAATCTATTTTTCTAACACTTCTTGCCCTTTAATTTCATCGTATTGTTTGCATTATCAATAATGTATTTGTTTATGATTTTGGATTTTTATAATAAACTAGTGTTGGATGTTTTGTATTCTTTTAATTCTTTTCCTCTTATCGTTTCATATAAACTACATTTGCGAAGTGGTCCACTACTGTAACCGAAAGGCTGTGTAGTCAAAATTCCTTTAATAAGTTGTCTATGTTTATACCAGAGCCCCAGCCGTTCAAAAGGTGTATGACTTACTAAAAACAGAACTACTAAGGCAAAGGGCCAACCTTTGCCAAGTGTTTACTTGTCCCTTATCCAAGGGTGACCGCCAAGTGGAGGTTGGACTGTTGTTGAAAAAATTCCCATAGTTTTCAAGAGAGGAAACAATTGACTAAGTTATTCCAAGCTCCATTACTATTCTCTCTTTTTCGGCGAATAACTCTGTTCGGTTGTTTCAGTCACTTGTGGCGCGGGTGTTAAACCATAGCCACTTCCCTTTAACATGCTTTAAAAGAGTGGCGAATGGACAAATCCGAGACTCGTCAGAACGGTATTGGACAACCCTGACAAAAAATCCAGAGTGACTGGTGACGAAGCGCAAGGGATCGTGGGAAGGAGAAAAATGAGCGGCGCCCGTTTTCTCCCTCCCGCCTTCCTTTGCGCCCAAATTTTCATCGAGAGGGAGACGTCTGAGTACGAAGTAGCTCTCGGTCGGTCCGTAACATCAGCGCCTGTATTAATGTTCGCCTATAAACCGCCAAGCAGCAAAGCCTGTTATCTCCATAAAAAGATACTTCAACAAAAGCACGGTGGTCAAGACGTCGATCACCGAGTTCAACTCCAAGGAAGGACGATCGGTTCCTGTTTCCCTCTATCCTTCTTTCAATTTCTAAGCACTTAACGACACAGCTTTAGCACATCGTTAGGCTAACTTAGGTTCAGTTCTTAAATAGGTCCTTATTTTCTGAGGGAGAAAAAAATTACATCGTAGCTAACAGAATTTAGCGGTATTCAGATTATTACTTATATCATTTACAAACCATCCATTTATGTAAAAGCAAGCGATGATGAATCACTTGTTGGCTTCACACTAGAGCTTGTAAGCCGATAATCTAAGTGCACTTGGAATCTAGTTGGAGTGTGAAAGGGTAAAATGAACTCTCTTGAACATGGCAACGTTCGCAGTTCAAAGAAGCCGAAGTTCGCGGCCAAGTATAATATTCGGCACCGCACTTGAGAACACACTTCATGAACGTGCAAATGAATATGTTCTAAATTCCAGGTAAATTAACTTGCTACATTTCAAGAAAGTACGCATCGCCGGGAGTTTGAGAGCTCTATACGGCGATTTCTTTGCCCAAAACCAACTTGGTTTTTCGCTTGTTTCTTTATGTTATTGGTAGTCTTAACACTAGAGCCTAAATAAGCTAGGAAATATTTCAAGACAAGTACATTTTGAATTCTTCAAGTAAAAGAAAGCTTTACACACAACCTATCCTTTTTACTTTAGGTTTACTCAAGCCTCTTTTCCAACGCAACATAATTAAGATTGATTGACATGCTTGCCTTTCTCAAAGCTTAGAAACCGCAAGTCCACTAAGTTGGTTTTAAGGATGGTTTTCAAGTCACTTGAAACTTTCTTGAATCGCTCCAACTTTCCGACTTAAATGAAATGCAAAGAAAAGTAAAGTTACTTGAGATTTTACTTAGGCCTACACAGACGCATTTTTGGTTAAGTAAAACTTAGCAGCTCTTAAGTCTTACTTAACAGCCCAGTGTAAAGACAACCATTGCCAGGTACTCGTTAATTAATAACGAAGTACCTAATCATTTCTTGTTCGGTTAAAACTCTTTAAGTTAAAATGAAAGCCAAAATTGATATGAAAACACAGAAATCTTTTGGTTTTAGTGGCTTGCAATCGTCAATATTTGTGATATGTGTGACTGATTAAATTGTGAAAGATAACTGGGAGCTTCTACTTCAAATAAGAAGTGTGAAGCCCAGTTTTGTACCGAGGGACTTACAATTTTTAAGTGCACTTGAATCAAGTATTTACTTGAAACTAAAGATGCCAACAATTCTCTTTTGGTAAAAGTGACTGTAATAAGAACATGTATAAGTTACCTTGGGAAAATGCAGGTTCTTACTTGCGCAGATTTTTACTGTATTCTTATTTTTGTTTTACGTCAGATTGATAAGGTATCAAGTTTTATTTGTTTTTGTTTTGTTTTTCCAATGAATGCCTCATGAGAGAACACATGGACGTATGTTTGCGAGTGCTAAAGGAAAGCAACAAAAGTAGCGAGGTTCGACAGCTACAGTGTCAGGAACAGTGTATTTATCATATCCCATGTTACCTTTTGGGATTGTTGCGTGCACATTTTTTCCGACAACCTTTCAGGGGCACCAACGAGAATATAGTTCAAAACCACTTAAACATAGCATTGTTAAACGTATTTTAGTATTTAAACGGTAGATATAGGCATATGTTTATCTCCTAAAAATTTTTCATCTGTTCGGATTTCCTAGCTGAAAGTCTAGTGATCCGAAAATTATAGGGATCAAAACTTACCTTTCGGAAAATTCCAGCCAGAAAAAAGGCTCCCGAAAATTCTAGGTGACCTTTTTAGGGTAAAAATCCCTTAAAAATAGGCAATTATACCATTTTTTAGATGTTCGAAAATCCTAGGAGAGGCAGGCAAGCAAGAAATTTTACAACAAATGTTTCGAAAATTCTAGATCTCAAATCGTCTTCCGAACAGATATTTTCCGAAAATTGTCGTTGGGTGCCCCTGACCTTTCTCGAAATAGCTGTATCATCACATTGATCATCATCATCATGATTAGCACTTTTTTAAAAAGCTTGACCAGGGGGCCCGAGAGGGCCAAATGATATTGTTAAAGTTCTCTGGGCGCTTACTTTTTACTGACAAGGAAGCTAAAAGGTAAAAAAAATTATCAACATTCGCATAACAATTCTTGCCCGTTTTGTAGTGCAACTTAAACAAATAAAAATAGCACAGTACCGGGACGACTAGGCAGGGGCACCCAACGACAATTTTCGGAAGAGTATCTGTTCGGAAGACGATTTGAGATCTAGAATTTTCGAAAAATTTGTTGTAAAATTTCTTGCTCTCCTGCCTCTCCTAGGATTTTTCGAACATCTAAAAAATGGTATAATTGTATATTTTTGACGGATTTTTACCCTAAAAAGGTCACCTAGAATTTTCGGGAGCCTTTTTTCTGGCTGAAATTTTCGAAAAGGTAAGTTTTGATCCCTATTATTTTCGGAGCACTAGACTTTCAGCTAGGAAATCCGAACAGATGAAAAAGTTTTTGGGGATAAAAATATGCCTACGTCTACCGTTTAAATACTAAAATACGTTTAACAATGCTATGTTTAAGTGGTTTTGAACTATATATTCGTTGGGTGCCCCTGACTAGGGTGAAGCTTGAAGCTTTATTTAATCTCGGGTTTGATGACGTTGGTTAGACCTCTAGCAAAAAATATGCTAATAAGTCGAGGAAAAAAAAACAATGAAAACAAAACAAATAAATAAAATAACAGAGAAAGAAAGGGAAATCCAAAAACTTATTTACAGTATAAAGCCTAAAATTACGTGACATAACTTGCCCAATTACTTAATAGAACATAGATATTATATAGAATTAGCTAGAACCTTAGCTGTCGGACTGCTTTTTTAAAAGCTGACAATGTGCTTAGGGTTCTTAAGGTATCAGAAATCTTGTTCTAAGTAATAGCCGCCAAGTACTTTACTGAGTTCTTCCCATAACGAGTCGTATTAGGTTTCGGTACTTGCAGCTTGTTAACCCCTCTCAAGTTTTTGATGTTGTCTCTTACCTAAATAGGTCTCTCAGATATTCAGGTGGATAATTGTTAATTGTCTTAAATACAATAATCAACAAGTTCTGGATACGTCGATCCACAAGGCTGTAACCAATACGATCAAAAAGAGTGCTAGTTTGTGAAGACTCGTCACTGTACAAGTAACGAATCCTTACTTTTGTGTCTTTCTCAAATTCTTTGCACATTACGAATCGAAATCATTTAAACCAAGACGGACAAACGGCCGTCATTTCACCACGCCACCCTGACTGGTTTTCCCACATCATTTGTCGGGGAAGTTGAAATGTCGGCTGTTTTCTCAGGCTAGAGAAGTACTGGTACTCGGCATTGCCAATTAGTAGGCAACAGATGCTGACTGAAATACCTAATTTGGCAGATTTTAGTCCAACAAAGCCTGGTTGTTGAACATACAGTCAACCCCCAGTACACTGTCCCAATCAACTGTCACTCAACCTCTATGTATAACACGGACACCTCTTTAGAACGAACACCGGCCAAGAGTTGCTTCCTTCTTTTCTTACTCCTTTTAGTTGACCCTGTTATAGTGGAGAAGCAAACAATGAGTGCAAGTTATGCGAATTCTCAGATTTTCGATGGCAGCTTTTGCATGGCACGGATGGCACTTGCCTACCAAACAATGCCAAGTCATTTGGTAGAAGATAATGATCAAACTGGACTCCTCCTTTAATAGGTACTTTCAATTACCAACAAACAACAAAGAAATCTTTATTACGTTGATCTTTTATTCACCTAGTGAGAAGCAAATCTTAGCCGGCCACGCATTTTAAAACTGGTTAATGACTGCACGTTAAAAAAATGACTGGTTTTCCTCTCGCAGGTCACTGACTCCTACTCCAGTCCGGGGTTCCAGCCAAATATAATACAAATCATAAAGTGTGGGAAAATACGCTTAGCTATCTCAGTGTTTACGATACCAGATAAAACCTGTTGTATATAATAGTTTCGAGTCTTTTTAATTGTTCGAGTCCAAGTATGTTAAATATTAAGCACATTCAGTGTCCGCTTCGGCTGTGCGTGCAGGCCAGTCCTGGCAAATAACAGCTTTCCCATGGAACCTAAATGGCACAACTCGTTATGGTATAATGCATTAGAAAAGTGTCAGTTCATAGCCGTTTTGCAGTTGCTGATACATTGTTGTCGTTAGTAAGAGATTCAAGTCACGTTTTGCTAAAAATAATGTTCAGAAGTTTCTGAACTTTCACTAGCTTTATACATAAAGACAAAGAAATAATGCAATTAAAGTATTGCGATTGTCTTTTACTGCGTCAATTCATTAGGAAGGATCTCAAAGGACTTTTATATTCTACTATATCAGCTTTTATGACTACGGTTTATCATAACACCCAGCCTCTGAAAAGACCCAAGAATTACAAAGGTGCCGCAAGCCGAATTAATCTCGTGGGCAGAACAATCTTACGTTAAATGTAAATAAAAGAGTATGATTAAGTAACAGATTCCATCCCTCGGCTTCCGAAAAAAAGAAACCGTTTTCTCGCTGTTTGACTGAGATATGAGTTCGGTTGAATGCCAGCGAAATGAAAAGAAAACGATCATTGGAGATAAATAATCTTTTTTAAAAAACAAAGTGTGTACAAAGTTTTAAGTTGAAGCCCTCAGGCCTGTTTACACGGACCTAATCCACAATCAGACACCGCACGCAGAAGAGTTGCTAGGGAGCCACCGAAGGAATAAAAAAATATTTGGCCCATATAAGACACTGACATTTTTTCAGACACAGGGTTTCTAGAAGACTCTTTTGTGACAATAACAATAAGCCAATTCATAGTGAAATAGTTTGACAGAATAAAGATGAAAAGATCAGAGTGTACTGGAGCGTGTATACACTCTAAGTTGGTGGCGTTATAATTTACAGTTTGTGTGGGTTGATGCTGGTATGTGCTTTGAAACCCTTAACCACTGCTTAGCGAGACTGCAACACCGGGCAATATGGACCCGATTATTATGCAAATATATAGGCATTCGCCTCAGTCAAGGTCATAAATTGTTAATCCATTCTCACAAATGCACGGGATTTACAATGTGAATCTCTCTTGGAAGAACTGTAGTGCATTGTCTGACGCACAATAAAGAAAAAGATTCCTATATGACAAGCTCATGCAGGTTTATTTTTAAGATTGTTTCAGCAAAATGAGTTGTGAGCTTCATCTCGGGAAGAATTTTGGTTTTAATGTGATGCTGATGCAGGTGCTTGGTCGCTGGAATCATAAAGTTTGTTAATGACGTCTTGCTGAGCAGGCCGTCACACAATAGTCCACGACAGTTTCACAAAACAACGTCAACAAAATAACTTAAATGAGGTTTGGCCGGAGGGAAAATTTATGCAAAGCAGCTGATGAACTCGACGGAGAGCAGTAAACAGTAAATAATTTATGTCGTTAACAGCCAATCACGTGTTGATATGCTAATCTCTAGCCCCATGTGACGTCAACATAATTGGCGCCACTTCGAACCCTTTTGTTTGCAAAAAAGCGACCTAAAGCTTCGGCTCGAGCAAGAATAAAACCTCAACTGACATTAAAAATTTAACTCGCATCTTTGGTTGTCTTCAGATTTTTACCTTCTGCATTACGGTGCAAAAATCTTACTTTACGCTATCAAACAGGAGCCAATCGAAAACCGCTTACATAAGCACTGCTTAAGTTTCTTAATTCAGGCATTAAAACATTGCACAAACTTCCAAAGGCAATGGAAATCACTCCCGCTGCTTTTGATAACTAGGTGTGAAGACTCCAGAATTAAATCGAGTACTCTTTGGGCCAAGTTGCATCGTGGCAAGCTTAGTTTTATTCATGAAGCTTTCTTCCTTTGTGACGCTTGAAGTTTCAACACACGAGGTGGCGTGTGCATTGAAGAACTTGCAAAACATTTGAAGACACGTTCCGTGTATTTACCCAGCTCATTAAAATTTAAATAAAAAAAGGGTGGAAGGCGAGATATGGTAAACAAAACTGCAAATTTGTACAAAGCGAACAAGCCTGTCTCTCACTTATATTTATTATATTTCGAATACTTTATGCGTTAGCTTCAAAAAAATTTGTATCACCCTGGTTAACTATGTTGGCGCATTATCTCGCCTGCTTATGCAAAGTTTAAAGTATATAAACAATAAATGATAAATTTGTTCTGCTAAAACTTGTCATTCCATTTTTATTAAAACAAATCTAATACAACTACGTGACGATGCAAAAAATCTCTTGAGTTTCCTACCAATACATAAATAACAGTAGTACTTCCTCTATCACACTATTTCCTACATATTTCGAATCTGCGGACTACTAGAGCTCAATTTATCCAAGAAAAGATTATAGACTCGATTTTAATAGCAAAAAATAAAATTTACACTTTATCTCTGTATAATTCCATATAGTATTATGTAGAGTGCCATAAAATAAAAATACTTTAAACTCTCAATTCTTGACCAAGATTTTCTGTGAGCATTTGCCGCTAAATATACAGAACAACTATAATCCTGGTTAACTTCTCTTAGTAATATTAAAATAGTAAATAGAACTATGGTGCAACACAATATTATATAGAAATTATGACTATTTATACAAATATCATATAATTTTAGGGCATAGAATTCCTTAGAAGACTGTATCAAAAAAGTTTTCGATATGACATAAAATAGTTCACTTAAATATACCTATAAGTTTGTGCTGGGCTAAGGAATCTAACCCCTATTCTGTAGCATATATAGCACGTACTTTCAATTACTGATTTCAGATAATTTCGTTTTGACCGTCTATAAACTTAGAAACTAATTTTTGAATATAGGATTTAAGTATGTTGGTTCAAACACGACTAAGCATGTTTCATTTCTTTAGATAATTTTAAACCCAGCAATGTGGTATCTTTACATAACTTAAGTCTCTCGTATGATCTAATCTTAAATTAGCAAAAAATCTAGCTTTACATAACGTTATCACTTAACAAAAGTATAGAATAAAAGAATTCTTCAAAATTTCAACTAAATATACATAGAGACAAACTCTCTCTGAATTAATATTCAAATACACTCCATAGATTACTTCAAAATGTTTATAGCATTGCATGTCATTTCAATTCGGTAGTTTTAAATTCACTGAACTCTGTCATGAAAAGTTCAAGCTAAATAGTTCTATCGCTCGGAGAAGTTCAGTTCCTAAGAAAATATACGAAGGACTTGGTCGATATTCTTTTGGCATACTGGACAAGAATTATTTTCCTCTTTGATGCGATTTGCACACTCCATGCAAAACAAGTTGTGGCCACACGGAACGAGAGCTGCCACAACTTCACTCTCGCAACAAATGACGCAATCCTTCTTTTTCATATCTTTACCGAGCGGACCTAATGTAGTGTTGTTATTATTTGCTTCTTCGGCGCTAAATCCAATCGTACTCACCCCGTTTGAATCGCTCGTGCTTACAAGCGTTCCATTAGAAGTCGTGGCTGGAATAGTGGATGCAGTTGACGTAGTTTGGGTTGTAAAAGGAGTGAATGCAGAAAGCGGAGAAAAGGTTCCAGACAATGGTTCGCTCTTCATTCGCCTTGCTGTTGAATGTGGACTTACTGGCCGTCCAATTGCTGAGCTCATAGCTTGGCTATTTAAACTAGAGCTGCGAGTAAACGGAGCTTGCTCGTTCATCGATCGTGTGGATGGTACGTTTCCCCAAATAGAAGGCGATGGCGGTGCGGGCGCTGGATCAAATCCTGAACCAGTCGAGCTCCCTTCTGATCCAACATCGCGATCCGTCGGAGAGGGAAGATCGTTGAAGAAGAATCCATTCGCTGAAAACGGGCTGTTTATAGGATTAAATCCGCCATCATTAATACTGGAACTCTTGCTACTTGGGTAGCCGTAGAATGAATCAGATCCTGTGCGCTGCGTTAAGCTTAGCGAGCTGTTGCTATCTCTAAACGCAGAGAAACTCGATGACATGCTGGAATATATGGAACCAGGTGCAAAATCGTTGAATGAGCTTTGCAGACCATCACTGATAAACACATCATCGGCAGTATCCATTCGTCCACCGGTCCGTGTAGTTATGTGATTGTTGATTTCCTTTCGCGCACTTTCAACGTTGTCAGGCATTCCCGTAACTTCAAAGACAGGTTCTTTGTCGCGAGACGGAGTTACGATGTACGTGTTGGTTTGTTGCTGGATTCGTTTAATCGTGGCTCCTTTTGGTCCCACAACAAGACCCACAACTCTATAAGGCACTCGAACGTGTATAGTCGTTTGACCTGGTGTTGTAGGGCTTGGTGGTCCTGGAGCAAGTGAATTCAAGCTGTTGTTCTTGCGCTGAGCTCGAATTTGAGAAAAGTGCTCTGCTGCAGAAATGATTTCCCTTTTAGCCAAAGCCACGTCTTCTTTTCTCCCCGTTACTACAAAAACTGGATCTTCACCCCGTACAGGTGTTTTGATGTACGTATTCGTCTTCGCACGCAAAGCCTTGATTTTGCAGCCTGAAAAATGGAAAGAAGCACAAAACACGTCAAATACACGCGGTTTCCACAAGCCAGCCTGCTAATTTGATTTTAACCTAGACAAAGACGTTAAACCTTACCCTGTCTTCCTACTATCTCAGCTACATGCTCAGAACTCGGAACAGGAACGCATTCTGTCATGTTCATACTTTTCTTATTGCGGATATCGTCAAACGCAGTCGAAGTTTGATCGTCGTCATTTGTCAGACCGAGCATGGAGAGCTCGAGCGCGATTTGCAGAGCTCTTTGATCTGCCTCCAATTGCCCGTTTGTAGAACGGTCCATTTCGACAAGAAGTGAGCTCGGCATATGGACTGATTGCTCCGCGAGCCGTTAGCTACTACTCTGTAAGTGCGCCGTGTTCGAAGAGTGTTCGAGGTTCTAAACACCTCTAGATCGTTCTAGGTTTGCTTCAAGTGAAAGCCGGAATAAACGTCATTTGGTTTTGACCTCAAGTCAGGCCATAATGCACCACTCATTAGCAACATCTGCTACACGTGGGACTATTGGTTTGCGTTGATTGGTTCAATTCGTGGGAGGTAAAGCGTCTTGTCAATTTCGACTTTCGCTTGTCAAAAATTTGTCACAGTGTTGATTGGGAGACTTTTTAACACAATCACGCCCCTAAACTTCTCGTTGAATATTGTTTCTTGGTTCACCGTGAACTATGATCACCATAAACACTCCCTAATGTCTACCCCTCGTTTTCTACATAGCTAATCATGCGAATTCTGTGTTTCCGTTGCCATTATGTGTAAATATAAGGCAGTTTTTGTTGTTAGCGAATTATGCAAACTCTTCTCTCCCAATGTTGTCACATTGTATGTAGCACACCCAATATGCAAAATAGGAACGTTTTGTTTATGATCTTGCATTTTTTACATCTGCCTGGTGATGCGAAATATGAAGGAGATAATAATAATAACACACGCAATATGATCTGCAATCTATGATTTTCAGCAACGATGTTTTTGAGGAAGAAGCTTATTTTAGAAGAGAGCTGAAAAACGGACTTTACTTAAGCTTACACTCCTGCAGGTGAAAGAGCTGTCAAGTGCAAACAATAATTTCCTTTAAATTTAGCATATGAATTTCGGACAAGCTAGGCCACCCGCGAGCTTCTTATTTCCAAATGCCTTTTGATCATAAGTTCAGAAATCCACCTGGAGCTTATAGTTTTAGTTTTCGATTTTTTTTACGAGTGTGTGACGCACTTCCTTAATTTTCTTTTTTGAATGTCTGGACGCTTTCTTAGTAGCGCATTTCACATCTACAATAGTCTGGACATGCATGATGGCCCACCAGCGACATCAGTTATGACATGTGCGTTTCCAATGTTTGTAAAATTATTAGTGAAATCGATCAGTTAAGGAATACCCAGTCACGAAATGAACAAGGACGATTAACCAAAGAAAAATCAGTGAAAATTCAGTGTTAGGAAGCAAAATACAAGACTTCCGTCTTTTGCACGAAAATAGAACTGACAAGTCATCTCTTATTCATGGTTATCATTAAGCTCTCAAATTTGGCGGCAACTTTGGATATTGAAGCACCTCAAACATAAAGAATATATTGTGAGGCAAATGAGTTTAGCTGGGAGGAGTTTGACAATTCTAGAGTTTATTCCCTTGGTGGTTCTTTTCGTTTTGAGTCCTCGATACGCCTTTTGCTTTTTGTGACGAAATTTGGACGGCGTAAACTTTGAAGTTTTTTGAAAAGGACTTAAGAATGCCTCTTGTTGTATCTAAAACCACACAAAACTTCTTGAAAACATTACACAAACCCTTGCGGTTGTCTGTAGGTATTACCATCGATCTAAAACCAAATAGTCTTAATCCAGACATTACGGCTAATCCAAATGAACCAATAAATATATAGGAATTTTTTTACTTAAGAGGAAAAGATATTTATTGCCCCTCTAAACTTAACAACTATTTTATTAGACAATTATTTAGAATTTAAATTTGATATGCTATCGTAACAACATACAGAGAACTGTAGATGGCGTTTTGTTTGGGTTTTTCATCATAGCCATGGACAGGTATAACCTGATTTACAGTGACCTACAGTGCTCTTTGTAGCCGCCGCAGAATAGTTCATTGAGGACAACAAAGTCTATTGTAACTTTTGGTTCCATTTGATGCGGTTTGCTGTGATGTGTTATTTTACATATTCACTGTCAATTACTATCACTTCTAATAGTCTGAAGTGTTGAGAGCTTGTTAATTATATGCAATGCGTAAGACACTTGACTGGAGTAGGCGTGATAAAGCACACTGTTTACAACACATTGTCCAAGTAAAACTACTGCAACCATCAACAAGATCGGCTTAAAATACAGCACTGGGTTAGAATAATTTTATAGTACCGCGAATTCAACTTAGCAAAACGAAAATAAGCTAAACACAGCAGTGTACGAACATTGAATTTCAATATAACTGATATAACTGGATCAACAGATTACTGTTCATACGATGAAGAGTCTGTCAGCTGAACATGGCGGCTGATTGAAACAACCAAAAGCAATTTCATACAGCTGCAAAGAAGAGTTATGTTCCTTTCAATTTTAAACCGATATTAATCGTGTAATGTTTGCAAAAAGCATATTAGTAACGACATTTTACTGTGCAAGGTTTAAGATGGTCAGTGGGGCATTAATAATCCAGTTTCTTTGTAAATACCTACAAACAAGACATAACCTCAGAGGTTGATAGTCATTAATAGCCAATTAATAATCCAGTACGAACAAAGATTGTCAAATGAACAAAACGCTGAATATAGCCGGTTTGATTATTGTGGTCCGCGAGGTTACGCTGGTATTTCTAATTACAACCCCCGCAAGGGAAATTCGTGACCAAAGCCGAAGTGCTTTACGCAAAGAGCCATACTTCCTTGAAGATTCTATTAGTCACTTCAGATACTCAAAGTCAAGGTCATTGGTTGGATTGATGCCATCTCAAAGTTTGTAATTGTCATATTGGACCTTACACGTGCTTATTAATTTAATTCAGATATGCAATGACGTGCTTGAAGGTTTTCGCTTGATATTGCTTTTTATGTCTGTCAAATACGTCTCGGCCTCTCCTCATCAAAATGGATCGACACCAATTGCGAAGCTGGTAAATCACAACAAACAAACAAATCAAACATGATTCGCCTGACGATAAAACTAACAAAAATGCCATCTTGTTTTCTACTCCGTTTATATTTGCTCTTGTTACTTTCCATAAAATCAGAGAGCCGCCGAAGTGTTACATAACGACTATTTACTGAGCATAGTGTTAATTAACGACTGATGCAGTCTTTTCCGTTGTCCATCTGGGGTTGTTCTAGTTTTACATGTTCAAAGTTAAGTCCCTAAGATGTCAGTGAATGCTGTGGAATCTTAAAATTACATCACCTCGTCTTCTTTCAAAAAATAAAACAGTCTTCATAAACATATTGTCGATATCGGCCCAAGAATATAAGACCATTAGATAACAGTAAATTGAACTGGGACTTAACGTTCAAATAGAAACTTTGTAATGAAATGAACTGGTTGTACAGATTGGTCACCAAAGTGTTTTACTCTGGCAGCAGCTGGCGAGAAAAGACGGGAATAAAACTGTAAAACCGCTGTACTGTGCAAGTAAAGAAATGAGACGTTAAGTGAATGTCCTTTGTAATCTTTGATCCTTCACATGTAAACGATATTGATTAATATATACTGGCAATGAAAAAACAGAAGTCTCCGTCGGAATGAAATCAAATAAAAAATCTTTATCATTCCTATGAATCTCTATCTTGTTCTTAAAACTTGTGATTGCTCAAAAGTGTGTATAAATTAACAATTAACACTTTGAGTCGAGCTCATTTCAAATGAGAGAACAAAATACTTCGCGATCCCACTTCTCCAGAGAGAAAATCGGTTAATGCATGTTAAAAGAGCTATACAAGGCTAGATGGGTTCGGCCGACCTGAGTTTATGGTGTTAGAACTCAGCTACAGGGTAAAAACAAATTATACTCCAGCTATTTCTAAATTCTATCTCTGCAGAAATCTCAGTGCTTGCCATGCATTTAAGTCGACATGTTCAAATTTCTGCACAGATTGTAAGTATCTAAAACGTGATTAAATTTCTGTGCAAAGCGCTGAACTGCACCTGGCGCTTGTATGAGCAGCATGAACATTTGAAAATTCAAGACATGCGTATTGGGCGTAACGATACTATCGACCGCCGGTCGGACAGTCGGTTGTGACTCGTTATGTCGGTCGCCATTAGGTCGCTACATTTCGGTATGTGGTCTGTAAATGCTAGACCCGATATACTCAGCAAAAAGATTGAATGGTCCATTGAATGACGCATTTCCGTCAAGAGCCTTCTTGATCAGTATTAAAGATATAAACAGCCACCACGGATTGGCCTCTTGGAGCTTCTTAATCCATGATATCATTCTGAAACCTATGTTTTTATCATAGCGGAACAAAATTCCCTGATGAAAGCAGAACGGCTGCAAGTTTTACGTGTAAATCAAAATGATACCTGTTGAAAGAGATGTTTTGTGGATAAGTGTCCACTGAACTGGTGTCATAATATTTGTATTGCGCTCCATTAAGAAAATAAGGTAAGGTTACAAAAATTCTGTTCCCTGGGTTGGACGCAAAAAAGAGCTTCCTTTTATCGATCAAGGGCCATTGACCTGCAACTTGAAAAAAAATTCATATACTGTTTTAAAACTACCTTTAGAGAATACAGGGAGACGATTTCGAACAAATTGGTTGCAGCTCTTCGGTTCGACTTTTGATTGGAACTAAACAGTTAAAATGTGTGTGTGTGTGTATGGTAGGGGGCACAGATGTCTGTCGCTTGGCAACTCGTAGATAACAATATTCAAACTTCTGAACGAAAACCAAATTAATATCCAAATACAATTTCCAATGACTGTATCTGTTTTTACAGATGCGACCTAACGCGTGAAAATAATTAAATATAGTGGCCGGCGGAAGTACAAGTTGACAAGAGTGCGCACAAATTGGTGGACAGCCTTATATATTATTCCCATTTCGGTTCAAGCTGCTCTAAACACTTATGAGCGAAACCCGAATATCTGAGGAATCTTGTGAAAACTGAGTACTTCAATTTTCGCCTTCATTCTGACAACCAGAGAATCAAGAACAGAGATGTATAAATCTCCGTTTTACTCAAAGTGATAAGCTTCTGGCTAAAATAAATGGATTACACGACGAATAACAATTCCACAAATAGCTGTAGGCTATGGAAGATCAAAAAATTATTGCAATTAGGGCATTATTGAAAAAACCACACCGAAGGAAATTATCTCACTTGTCAATTTTTCAAGAAGAGTCGGTTTGTCTTTAACTAAGTAAAGATTGTATCAAAAACGCTTTACCGCTACCATTTAATTTTCCTAAAAAAGATCGGTAGGATAATGTTATACCGTCCAAACAAACAGCAAGACAGATCGTTGACAGATACACCTGTTCTGTTAAAAGAAAGTGATTATTGCCTCGAAGCCCTGTATTCATCTTATCCAAGGGAAAGGTACCCTGTGAACTAAAGTGTCCTGCTTGTAGGAAGTCAACTAAACAACACTGGATCCGGGGACACGGAAAA